TGTTTTTTTATTTGCCTGTGAGCAACTTTTCTACCAGAAAACTTACTCCGGAGTATCATGTGTAGCACTTTTTCTGAAAGGTAATATTATCTAGTTGGTGCACTAGGAAGGTCGTTTTTAATATTTAAAGCATTTTTCATAATAATTAGGAAAATTCAAATTACTGCCTAACGATTTCCTTATTTTAAATTTGTACGACTTACGTTTTCTATACAAAATTTTGCTCCATTTGAAAAATAACAAGAGACCATTTTTGTTGAATTTTTAATTTGATTGATGATCAAGCATATGGTTTTTTTGATTCTCTTTGTAATTTTTTTAGAAGTTGAGCAAAACCGAAAAATACTTATGAACGAAAAAATTTAAAATTTACGAAAATAATTCTTTATTAATTTTTTTATATAATTCAGTAAAAAAATATTTGTAGAGACTTGAAATTTAGACAAAATTGTACAGGAGAAGCAAACAAATGTATTTTAAATATTTACCAAAAAAGGTCTAAATTTCATTTTACCAGGTTTTGGATTTTTCATGTGTAGCCACTTAATCGTACGAGTATTTAAGGTACACTTGCCCATCAATGACATACCGAAATCTCATAATTTTCATTATATACTAAATTCGGTCAAGGCGAATTTATATAATATAGATCATATCATAAATGCCCATCACCGGAATCACGGTTCCTATATTTTTCTTGTTCGATCTTATAACTAATTAAGATTTTTTTTGTTTTTACTTTTTATACACATTTCTATATACGTCCAATAATGTACATTAACAACAATCTTATATTTCAAGTAAGTCTCATATTACGAGTTCCGAAGAGTTTGTAAAATATACTGCCTACTAAATGAACCTATAATAATTTCATGTATTAAACCTATTTATTCTTCTACAATTTTAACATAATATATTCTCATTTTATTATTTTAAAAACTAATATTTCGATCGTATAATGGATCACAAAATATAAAACAAAAAAAATTATTAAAACATTCGAGACCTTGAACGTTACGCAGATCAAATACAGGTGCTAAACACCAGCTATTAGCAAGTAGGTACACAATTTTGAATTTTAAATATTTATATTATAAAATAAAATAAAATATTATATTTCCAGCGATCACATATATTATTATTATTATTGTAATTAGCCTTGACCGGTGATATACAAGCAGACACAATATACTACTACTTTAGATTATTATACAATTTATAGGTAGGTAGGTTAAGTATTTCTATTTTTTTTCTCTAATTGTTAGGATAACGTATAAATTCAGGGTTTATTTCCGATAAAAATTATATGTATATATGAGTGTAGTTACCAACGGTCATTTGGAATTTTAAATCTTTACCAATATTTAACGATGAATTATCTGTAGAATGATAAAAGAATCCGCAGCCTTCGATTTAAAAAAAAAAAAGAAACAATAACCAACAGTATACGATATAGTCACAGTAATATTGTGTTCCACTATAATAATATAATATGTCTATACAGCAATATAATATATATATATATATGGTATAATATCAATAAGTACAATATTTTACACAAATTGACGACGAGAATACTCGCGACTCAATGATAACGACACAAAAGTATGCGTCTGTCATCATGCTCGTCGTTTGCAGGCTTACATCGACATAATAATACACGGGATTATACAGGATGATCCATTTAAGTAGTAAAACTCAATAGTTCAATATTTAAAGTATTGACCTTTTTTTTTTAAAATGTTTTCTTTTTACAATTAAAAAAAAAAGAGCTAATACTAGGAATGAGAGCGGACACTGTTATAGGTGAGAAGTTGAGAAGATAAGATACATAAGGTTATTTCATTTATATCTGTAAGCAACGTTAAACCATTGCTTGATGAAAGACGATTCCGAGCGCAGTTCGGAAATACATAATTTGAAGTGTTGTAATTTTTTTTTTTGCAATATTCGTTTAAATTTGATTTCAAAACGCTCATAAAAAAAGGAAAAAAAGTTGTCCGGTGATTTTTGAAATTTTACCACGTTTAGGTAAGTCCAATATAAGCATTATTACCAAGTTTAAAATCTCTACGTGTATTTATAACCGAATTACAATAAAAAACTCCCAAAAATTAGAATTCCTTAGAAGCTCAAAAGTAGCTCAAAAGTTTTAAAAATGATACTTTAAGAAAGTAAATCAAAAAGACAACAAAAAAGGTGTGTGATTTTTTTCTTATTTAAACTAATACTCCATCTATTTGTAGACATTTTAATACGTTTAGGTATAGGTTTTCATATGTAAATCAAAAGTAGGTAGTCCTTTTACCTCCAAAAAAAAAAAGACAAAAATAATCTTAATGTAACATTTTAAAGAATATTTGTTCCTTAAATTGTCAAAAAAAAAAAAAATTAGTTTTTGAAAGAATCAATACTTTTCGTAAACAACGTAATATAAAATTAAAATATTTCAGTAATAATATGCGGTAAAGTAAAACAATATAATATATATAAATATTTTTACCCGTGTAGTCTCTAGGGGATAATAATTAATAACTCATTTAAAAATAAAAAATTACATTGTGTAATATTAAAAACCGAATAAAAACCAGTTCGCTGCTGCAAAATGAGATTCGATGCCGTAAGTATAGGAAGGCTGCGGGCATCATTTAGACTAATTAAGAACATATATACCGGTCCGAGGGCCAGATTAAAGCCGAGACGGTGAGTAGGTACACATCTATAATATCAGAGCAGTGTGCATGTCCCACATTTGCCCTGGACGGCTACGTATTTACACACCCTATCTGAGTTCGGTTCAAGCCAAAACGTAACTGCGTTGGTTTTAGAATTTTTAGTAGTTTCACAAAAACTAACTTGTTGTTTTAAACCTGATAGATACTGTTTCAATGAAATTATTAGTGTCTTAGAATATAAACCTAAAACTTAATAGCTAAACAATGATTAAAATGTAAAAGTCTTCATGGGTTTAGAAAAGATAAAAAGGAAAAATTAACGTACGTGTTCATTCAAACTTGATAATGCTCCAATGAAGTAATAATGTCCTAAGAAAGGTACATGTGGCCACATCTACCGGCTAACTGCAGTCTCCATCTTAAAAACGCATGAAAAAGCGAATTAGCGTTCCGTTGGGAAAATGTCTATGCCTTTAGTTTATGGATATTTTGAATAAAAAGAAAAAACTGCTAAAGATAATTTAAAAAATAAATCTGGAGCATCAATATCATTTTTTAATAATTTATAAATAAAGGTAACATCAAACTCGACTTGTCTTTCAGTTAGACATTTAAAATATTGTAAGAGTTAACTCCACAACGAAATGAGCTCATCTTTAATAATTATTGTGCGTAACTTCTAAAACCTCTTAAAACTGGCTAAAACCAACTCGGTTCGTCTTGACCGAGTTCGAATAGAGTCTGTAAATACGCGTCCTGACTCACGACCGGACACTGTACTCGTACTATATTTTTACAATAACATTTGTTGTTAAAATATTACCACTATAATACAATAACTGACTACACCATATATTTTATTTACACCTACCGCTGAGTTCGGGCACAAGGACGTGCATGGCTGTTTCACCGCCGTATTCGTGTCGGAATTCACGGTTTACAAAAAAAAAAAAACATCAAAACAATCAATTAATAATTATATACTAGCTACTAAGGTGATAATTAAAGTTTAATTTTTTTTTTTTTTGGGGGGGGGAGGGAAAGGCGTGTTTTAAACTTATGTGGTTATCAGTTTAAATTTCAAATTTAAAAATATTACTTGGGCACCTTGTCAATTTGTTCTGCAGCAAAACAATTTTTAATGAGAGTTTAATCAAACAAAAATTAATTTACCTGCTAATGAATGACTATTTTTATTTTTTGTCACCCTTATTTTTGTGGGAAAAATCACTACCTATTTTGAATTTTCAAACGGCAACTTATATTAAAAATTTCATAAATATATGGAGTTTTAGGTAGAATACAATTTGGTGCTGAAATTTTTGATTTCTGTCAATCTGCTGACGAGATATTCCACTTTTAAGTTCTAGTCGGAGGAGAGTAGTGGAGCATCATATGCATGCCTCAACGGAACGGCGGAAGTGGTCTTTGGTCCCAAAAATTAAGTTGACAAAAAATTATGTAAATGTTAAATTTTAGAGCGGCTTGTTTCTTAAATTTTCAAAAAAGTAAATACTTTCTGAGATATTGAGTGTACCCACTAATGGATTACCTTATACTTTTCGAAATAATAATGTTTTTACGATAGATTGATTACCGTATGATAATAAGTACATTTCATAGTGATTTAAAATATTTTAATTTTGCGGGCAACATTTGTATTAGAATATGCGATTTAGTATAATACACGTATGCCATTTAGAGCAAAACACAAAAGGAAAAACAATTTACATAAACTGCAATTATAAAAAAATAAATGACTTAGAATTTTCATCCCTGGGACGCAAGGTGTATTGTATTAAAACTGATTTATTACACAGAATATCAATTCAAGGAAGACTTTGGACAATTTTGTGAGACTTAATCCTCTCTAGCCCTCCCTCTCTACCAATAGTCAATCGCCCAGCAAGAAATCTAAAGAATAAAAAATTATCTCCCATTGTTATTATTATTATTGTACACGATTTTACCGTACAAATCAATTTTCAGTAATGGGTAGGGCGTCTACGACGCATTAATTATTTTTCGGAGAGGCACGCGTCATTTTAGCGAAACGTTTCACTACGTCCCTATCGAGGAAATGCGACGTTATGTACAGAAACGTAAATCGCAAAAGGAAAAAAAAGAACGCTAAATTTGCGGATGGATAATAATTATGATAAAACGCGAAACAATCGCGGAATAAATTTGTTTTAATTGATTTTGATTAGAGCATTATTATCATGTCGATCGACGGCGGCGGTGACGGCGCGAAAGCTGCCGCTGTTACTGCTGGTACCATATCGTCGCACGGAGACGCCTGCAGTAACCTTCACCGGTTACCAGGTCCCTATAAAAGCGCCGCGATCCGCCGAACGCCGGTCCAGTAGTCACACATCGCAGACACGCGACGGCCACTTTGAGGTAAACGCGTTTACACCGGAGTACCCTTGTGCATATAAAATATAGTCCGACTTTCTGACAAAGACAAGTAAGTCGTTATTATTATTATAATGCCCGCCACAGCAGCCGCAAATTACGCGCTCATGCACCCGATCGGACCGATGGCCGTCGTACAGGACAATAAAAAACCGCATTTGTCGTACCATCACAATAACCAGTGCGCCGACGAGAAGACGCCGGCGATTTGCGATTTTCGGAGCGCGCCCAACGCGGCTGAACACGAGCAGTTCGTCCGGGACGCGGTCGGGTTGATGCTCAAACAGGCCGTGTTCCGGGCGACGGACCGCCGGAGTCCCGTGCTCAACTGGAAGAGCCCCGAACAGTTGCAGGCCGCGTTCGACTTCAAGTTGAACCATTCAGCCACCACGCACGGTCACTTGTTGCAGTTGATCGAGGACACCATCGAGCACAGTGTCAAGACGGGACATCCGTATTTCATCAACCAGCTCTTTTCCAGGTAAGGACGAATATCCTAAAATTATAGATTTAAAAACATAATAAAATTCCTATGCACAGCGTTGACCCGTACGGCCTTATTGGACAGTGGCTGACGGACGCGTTAAACCCGAGCGTGTACACGTTCGAAGTGGCACCGGTAATGACCATCATGGAGGAAACGGTATTGACGGAAATGAGGAAATTTTTGGGTTACCCCGACGGCAAGGGCGACGGTATATTTTGTCCGGGAGGTTCGATAGCCAACGGTTATGCGATCAATTGTGCAAGATATCACGCTTTCCCGGAAGTCAAGGTAGGTAGCATTCGTGGAGTTTTTCGCGGGTTTATTATCAATTACAATAATCGATATGATTTGCAGACGAAAGGGATGCACGGTTTACCCAGGTTGGTGGTTTATACGTCAGTCGACGCGCATTATTCGATCAAAAAATTATGTGCGTTCGAGGGCATTGGTTCGGATAATTTGTATCTGATCAACACGGATGCTAAGGGAAAAATGGACGTGGCCCATTTGAGACGGCAAATTCAAAAGACGCTGGAGGAAAACGCCGTGCCGATCATGGTGTCAGCTACCGCTGGTAAGTGCGGATTGGTTTTTCACGAAAATATATTAAATTTACTTTTTTTTCTAAGTAGAACGAAAGTATTAAAACGTTAAAACCAATAAATTAGCGATGATTTATGTGAACCTCGTTTACAAACCATGCAATTATTTACTTATATAATTATCAACGAATATTTTGAAATAAAAAAAATAATTATCATGTTGTCTATTGTTAGTAATATAATTATAATATAACACTGGCAGATTTATACGCATTATTATCGACGTAGTAAAAAGAAAATACTATCGATAGAAATTCGAAGATTTCAATAAACGAAAAAAAAAAAATAGTGCCACTTTGTATACATCACATATAGTTTTGAACATTTATAACTGCAGTTTGCCATTAGTATACAATTATTATTATTTAAAGGAATAATTTACATGTATATATTTGGATGCTAAAAAGTGAAAGCTACGGAAACCGCGAAGGCAAACCGCGAACTGCAATTTGGTATTAGTTTATGTAGGTAATAATAATATTATAGACGGTAGACAATCATCGTGAAAACTGGCAATTACTGTTTCTATTCCACTGCGGAAAAACAATCTAAACCGTTTCTATTTATGATATAATATAAGCCTACATGCACAGTACACATAATATTGTAATTGCATGTTTTACACTTCGGTGTATCGGTGAATTTCAAATATACCTAATAATTATCGTTACAACATGTTCAATTTATATTCAATGTTCAATTATATAGATATTTTAAATACTATTCTGGTACAGGTACGACCGTGTTGGGCGCTTTCGATCCTATCGAAGAAATCGCCCGAGTCTGTCAAGAATATGGGATTTGGTTACACGTGGACGCCGCATGGGGAGGCGGAGCTCTGGTGTCTAAAAAACACAGGCACCTGTTGACCGGAATCCATAGGTAACAATAATAATATACAAGACTGCAGTGAGATATCCATAGGGAATAATTTCCGCCCACACTTATAAACGGCGAGTCAATTTTATCGTTTTTTCACTTTTTCGCAGGGCTGACTCAGTGACGTGGAATCCACACAAAATGCTTACCGCGCCCCAACAGTGTTCGACCTTTTTGACCAAACACGAGCACGTGCTCACCGACAGCAATTCTTCCTGCGCCCAATATCTGTTCCAGAAGGACAAGTTTTACGACACGTCGTACGACACCGGCGACAAGCACATACAGTGCGGACGTCGGGCGGACGTGTTTAAATTTTGGTTTATGTGGAAGGCCAAGGTAATAACAGAATACGCTGAAAATATAAATTTCTCGCGGCTATACATCATATAAATACTACTTTAAATGGTATTTGATTTTTGTTTTTTTTTTTTCATTTCGTGGCAATTCCTATAGTTAAACAAATAATACCTAACTATTTATATTGAAATCTAATTTCCGTTCGTTTCGTCGTTTCGCTATAGGGAACAGACGGACTTGAGGCGCATGTCAACGAGAACTTCGACAACGCCAAATATTTCACCCAAAAAATACGCAACAGGGTGGGTTTCGAATTGGTACTCGATGAACCGGAATACACAAACATCACGTTTTGGTACGTACCGCCCAGTTTGCGGGGACGTCAAAACGAACCGGATTTCAAGAATAAACTGCACAAGGTCAGTACACTTAACTATACAATTAATATTACTATAGTTGATGCTGGGGACAGTGACAATAAGGCCCTAAACGTTTCATTCATTGCCCCGTCGCCCAGGCAATTAAAATTAATTTTTAAAGGGAGCCCCTAATTAATAATAAAAATTATATTATGCTTTTGTTGTCGGTTTTTTGTATAGGTGGCACCTAAAATCAAAGAGAGGATGATGAAAGAAGGAACGATGATGATCACTTATCAGCCCGTCAACGATTTGCCGAATTTCTTCAGGCTCGTACTGCAAAACTCGTCGTTAACCACTGCGGATATGGATTATTTCGTCGACGAGATCGAACGATTAGGTTCGGATTTGTAGTGATTGATGTGGAAGGTTCCTATATTGTATGCGAAAAAAAAAAAAAACGAAAAACCGTAGACTTTTAATATCTATTTTATTTTTTAATTTTTTCACGAGCTCGATATTGCACACGCACACGAAATATTAAATTATATAAATTATAGTAAAATATATTGTATGCATTGTTGTTATTATTATTATTATTATTATTCCTATAATATTTACGTAAGCTTTACGTATATAACGAGAGTTTACACCACTTTTATGTAGGTAATAGAATAGAATATTTTATATTTATATAGCGTTTTTAAACAACAATATAATGTTTATAAAATATTTATGCAGTGATTATAAACGATATATATATAAATATAATTTATTGTAATAAAAAAATAATATGTTACTATATTATAATATTATAGTGAATAATAATGTGTCATGTACGACGAGAGGTAATATATTATGTATTTTATTTTTAATCGACCCTGTATTGTATTATTGATATTTTAACGTGCCTTTATCCATACCTAACTTTCCTGCTTGTAAGCAGTTTTTATACTTCGCAGCTGGGTGTCAGAAATAAATCTATACTCACCAATTGCGCGTGCTTATATTTTGCGAAAGAGTAAAAAGACGGGAAGTGTACATTACACTTTATGGCCCAAGGTCATTTGCAGTGGCGTCCACCCGATTATATAGTAGCAAATAATAAAATTAAAAATACGTTCAAGGTTGAAAATTTCTATTTATTTTTTTTTTTTCGTGTTATTATTCGAGACCACGAGGAAATACAATATTTATTAATTAATGTTACAATTACCTATTATTTTACTTTCTAATTGTTATTAATACAAAAGGAAAAAAAACAATAATCAATTTTAATAATTTACTTTTTGTTTGTTTATACTTACGTCCTATAGCTACTTTGAAAACTATCGGAAATGAAGTAAAAAAACCTCAGGATTTCAATAAAAAAAAAAGAGTTGATACTGGGGACGGATACGGTCACTGTTGTAAATAGGTAGTTGAGAAAATAGGATACATAGAATTATTTGTAACTAACTATAAACCTTTGCAAACGAAAAACAATTCGGAGTGAAGTTTGGTTATACATACTTAAAAGGCCGTACATTTACGTCAAAATTGATAATAAAATTCTTATAAAAAAAAAAATAAATATTACATTAAACTCAATTTGTTCTTGTTGACCACTAAGTAATACTTATAGAGAACTTTCTGTCAAATATTCATGTATTTCTGTTAGGTCTAGAAATTTTGTCTACAGAGTACTTATGTACTAATAATATTTGGTAAGTCCAAATAAAAATTACGTAAAAAAACTCGGAAAATTAAAATGTCTATAAAAAGCTTAAAAATGGTTCAAATATTTTGAACATTTTACCACGTCCAGAAAAGAAAATTTAAGTTTTCTGTTAAAATTTCAAGTTTCTACAAATATGTATTAACTGAATTAAACAAAATTTAAAATAATAAAAAAGGTGTCTTGTTATTTTTTAATTGGAGTAAGATTTCTGGTAGAAAAATTGTTTACAGACAGATAAAAAAAATACATAATAGTAAAATCAATAGATCCCTCGCTACGTTCAGAATCTAAAATAACATCTTTGAGTTCCCTCACTAGAGTTGAATTTCCCTCTATTTATTTTGTATTAAAGAAATTTGTAAAATAATAAATAATAATATAGTAATGCCAGTATAAAACAATACTATACTATACTAATTATAATAAATTATACATCAAAAAAAAAAATTATGCAATTTGATCATAAAATTGGTAAGGGGGGAGTTATAAGTTAAAACCTACGAAAATAACATTATTATATTTACATTATTCTTCCACAACATTTGCAAAGCTAAAAAAACACCCCTACTCACAATAATATAGATAAATTTATATTGAAATCCAATTCAACTTTTAACACTTTAATCCGATATTATAAAATAACTCCCGAAATTCTCAAGTTTTAAATGATCCAAAAGGAGCTGCTAGAAATATCCAAAAGTAGTCAAAAAAAAAACAGCTGATACTGCTGATGGGTCCCACTGTTGTGGGTGTGAAGTTGGGAAGGTTTAAGCAATGATAAATTACTACTAATGAAAAATGATTCAGAAGGAAGTTCGTTTGAACGTGAATTGAAAGGTATTTGAAATTTAAAATTTGATCTTAAAGCTAATAAAAAAAAAATTTAAAACGAAATACTTTTTTTTTTTTTAACACTAAATTCAGCCTATAGGTATAATGAACTTTGTTTTAAATATTTAAGCATTTCTGTTTGGTAAAATAATTATATCAACATAATAGTATCTACAAATGTCAAATAATTTTTGTTGAATTATTTAAAATTCGTGTTCGGACATTTTTACTTAAAAAGTTTAGTGGTTTTTATTTCGTTTCCCGACACACGGAGTACACAATATCTTTATGTGTTTATTGTTTATGTTACCATGGTAACCGTGGACTGTAAGACTTGTAAATAGACTTTCGTGGATTTGCAGATAGTCTATACAATATTCAATATAATCAATACCAGATAAAAAAAGGCACCTTAGTCAAGTTTGCAGGACGATCTGAGTTAACAGATGGACTCACAGGGTGAATCCCCGGCGATAAACACAACGCAGCACCAGACGGATGTGACGGTGTTGAATGACCAGGACAATTTGTCGGAAAACTTAGACGGGACCGACAAAGAGAAACAAGGATCCGACTCCAGCCCTTTGGTTGTTGTCGACGGTGCAACAGTAAAAAACTTTGTCGACGCCGAGTACGCCTGCAACCGAGAGACGGTACGGATGTTGGCGTCCCTCATAGCGGCAGACGACCGGGCCAGAGTGAACGCATGGCTGACCAAGTTGGACGAGTGCGAAGATCCCGAGGTCCGATCGTTGTACGTACTGTACTTGATAAGGGCGGTATCTTGCGGCCATGCCAGGGCCGAACCGTTCCGGCACTTGCCTCACGACGGGCCGCTCAGGCGACTGAACGAGGTCGTCGATTCAGCTCTGTTGTTCGGTTTGACCAGAGAGAACGCGCCGGAAGAGGACCGGGAGGCTATTAGACCGACTCCCAATACCCGAGTGCACCGAGAATCGTTTTACAACCGTCAACCGATACCCGAAGACGGGATTTACTGTTACGCCGCTGCGTTCACTGACATGGAATAGTCTGCACTTTATTTTCGTATAGATGCAAGGCAAAAAAGGCGACACCACACATCAAACACAATACGTGTTACTCAAAATCAATAATAATAATTTAATGTGAAATGTAATGTTGTATTTTTGAATAGCTTTCTATTTTATTTTGACAAATTGCCATTTTTAATGAACTCTGAAATTCTGAATACCGTCCAAAATATCCTTTTTAATAGGTGGCTACATTATTCTGCGTCATCATCCAGAGTTCGTAATACTTCCAATATCAAAATGGCAAAGTACAATTGAATATTATTAAAAAAAAAAAAACCAGTTTTATGTATAGGTATGTATATACCCAGTGGTTTATTGGTAAATAAATGTGTGTGTGTGAATAGCGTGTACGCACTTAAAAGGGGTTGAACATATGTATCTTCTAACTAATATATGTTTTTAACAAACTATGTTTATAGGGTAGGTACCTTAACATTGGCTTGATGTGTATGTATTAATTTAAATAACTTTTTACTGGCGTACTTTTGAAATTTTATAATTGTATCCTATTTTAAAAATAGTTTTGAAATTTGTTTTAATAAGTTTCTAACAAATATATATATTTTTTTTTATTTAAACCAAAATTGCGATTTAAATAATAGTCAATGCAACCACAATGTAGATAAAACGGCATTAACGTGTAGACTTAGTTTGAAAGTGAATTGTAATTTGACAGCGCTGGTTCAGCGTGATATCCGCTATTATGAAAGTTTACATTTTAGAATTGCTTACCGGTTTGTTCTCTTTTGGAACAAATTATGCAAACCTAATAATAATTATTTATTATTATTAATAATATATAAGGTGCCTAGAACACAAAGGGTTTAAGTGACATTTTATTGATTTTGAAAAAATCAAGTTTAAAATTATTTGTATTTAATATAATTACTATGGTAAGTAGGTACCTATACTATTGTAATATCATCACTGTTCTTGTATTCGAACGATAAAAAAAGTTTTAGACACATGGCAATAAAGAGACATAAATGTGTTAATAGTTGTTATTGACGCTTGTACCTATTTATTTCTAATCTATTATGTTATTTTCATTTGAAGACTATTTTAGTGCGAATGTGCGATCTAGTATTTGATACTAGATCACAGCACATGACGAATAATTAGTTTATATTTCCTCACCACCAAATAAAATGGAAAATTTGTAGTTCTGCTATGTACTTAACTCAGATTTTTTAAAAATATCACTTATACTCCATATGTTCTAAGAGCCTCATATATTATATTATATTAGGTAGGTATTCATAATAGATGTATTTTCTTATATATATCTCCTACCTTTCCAACTTCCCACCTACAACAGTGACAAATCCGTCTCTAGTATTATCTTTTATTTTCTTGTAGTTTTCTCAATGCATAAGAAACACTGGCAATTTTTTGTAAAACTATTGGTGATTTCCTAAAGTATCTTGCCAGTAAGAAGAAAAATACGACCAATAATAATCTACAGATTCGTTTTTTGTTAGTAATGGTTTGTCCTTATGTACAAATATAAATGAAATCACTCTATATATCTTCTCTTCTAACTTTGTGTAAGATATTTGAAAATTCAACACCTAGAGTAGTTAATAAACGTAAAAATGGAAAACGTTATTTCTTGGTTGGATTTTTTTGAAACTTAGCATACATTAATTAAATTGTTTTAAAAATTAAATTAGATTTAACAAATCGAATACATAGTGTCCTAAAGTGTTAGTCATATATTAATAACTGTTAGTATTCATTTTTCAATCAAATTTGTATCAGGGAAACATAAATGTAGAGAAAAATTAAATTTTTAAGTCCATCCCTTATTAACACTGAAAAAAATATAATTTTTTTAGTTAAAATTTTTAAAATAGCCAATTTGTAAAATATATTATTCTAAAAATTGTATAATTACATGCATTCATATCTGATCAACAGTTTTTTTTAATAACTATAACTATTTAATTTTAAACATTTATCATTTTTTATCATGTATTACGACTACGATTCGCTAATACTTAGCATAGTATTTCCATTTGTCACATCTTTCTTTAGATATTAAAACTTCGACAGACACAATGGTCAATAAAGACAACGCTACTAATTATTATTCTGTCGAATTTTGGAAGCACTGGAAGCACTGGTATAATTATATAAAAAATAATGGTAATAATTAACTTAATAAGTAATTAATAATTAATATATGCATAAAATATTTTTTAAACAATATTAATTAAATTTTATTAAAATCGATTTAGTAAATAGAATAAGTAAAATACTAAACACTGAGACAAACGAAGTTGCATGGGATTTCAAGGTTTTTAGCAAAAAAAAGTTTCTTAAGATTGAAAAATAAACATTTAAAACAGAAAAAATTATCCCGGGCGACGTCTGGTAATACAGCTAGTATAGTAATACGGCCACTTAATAAGAATCGATTATTTTTTTAATTACATAATTGTTTTTGGTAAGTAGATATATAAACATAAAGTTTATATTTTAAAGAATATAGAACATTTGACCAAAGGACATAATATTTTGTTTTTACTGGGAATAAAACTCAATAAAAAAAAAAAAGAATTTTTTAAGTCTTTTATTTATATTTAATTTACAACCAACAGTTTCTCTAAAACACATAATACAATAATAGTTTTTAATATATTCATATATTAATTTTGTCTTCACTATATTATAATAATAATATAATATTATTGTTACATATAAATATAATATTAGATATTCACAACACTACTAAATCCAACAAAATAAAAAAAAGAAAAAGAAAAGACAGATCTGTCTAAAAACTTAAATTTGGAAAAATCTTTAAAAATATAACATTTTTATAGTAATATACAATATATCATGTTGCGTACAGATTTAAATTTATTGTTTGTATATTATGGCATAATGATGATTAGTCATTTATAATATTATAATTTGTGTATTTTTTTTTTAAATTAAATATTCTATAGTTACCTATAATAAAAAGGCATAATCAGTCTTTTATTATGTACATTTGCTGATCTTTAAAGGTATAGTTTTAGAACAGTTTAGATCATGTATTATCTAAAAATATATATTTCATAAAGAAAAATAGTCTTTGTTTTTTTTTTTTTTTTTTATAGTTTTTAAAATACACATTTTATAGTTTAGGTACAGTATAAAGTATTGCGTATTTAGTCAAACAACATAATATATATATAAAGTTTTAAATAATAATATGGTACGTAGGTACATACTACGTATAGCTAAAATATAACATGTGTAAAATTAAAAATTGCAATAGATCAAAACCAAACCAAAATATTTGTACAATATCGAATACACAGAACATACAATTGTATGTAACAGGACTACTAAAGAAATGTTATAATTTTTTTTTTTCTATTGGATATTTTTAAGGTTTTTATTTTTAAATTGTTATTACATTGTAGGGTTATAATTACAATATGTTTTAGTTTAATTTTAATGTTTAGACATTTTACAAAATATACGTATATAATTGTATTTTAAATTTAAAAAAAAAACAAAAACTATATAGCCGTTTTTTAAATCCAATTTTTAGAAAAGTGTTAGCGTAAAAAACATTTACTAAGGTTAAGTCAATTATTTTTAAAGTTTTAAAATTTTCAAATGGTTAATTTGATTTTTCCATAAAATACTGTATAATTTGATAATCTTATTCTTATCATATTAATTTAAGCTGTGAGTCCATAGTCCATAATATATGTATATATATACATATTATTTAAATCTGTATGTGACTCTGATTATTCTTATTATTTATCGTTACTAAAACTAGCCAGAAAAAATTTTAATTTTAACAGACTTTAAAAATTGTTAAGTAATAAAGAAAAATATGAAATATAAAAATTATAGTACCTACTGAGCTCTAGTGATTATTACAAAAAAAAAAAAACTTAAAATATTAAAAATATCCAATAGAAAAAAGTTATTAATTTATTAAATAGTCTTGTTACATATCCTTTACATACATTTAGGGTACCAATTTTTAAAATAATGTACTGTTGAATAATATTTATAAAAAACAAAAAAGATGTAATCCACCAGGAACTTTTTGAATCCATTAATTTTTAATTAAATATTTTTTTTTTATAAATACAACTTAACTGCATTTTGAATATTAAATTATGTTATAAATATTATTAAACTTATATAATATACATCAGAGGGGCGGCCAAACGGTTGCAAACCATTTCAACATGTTAATTTCCCCTTATTAGAATTTTTTTTACTCAATTAGTAGGTAGACAGCTAAATCACAATCGTCAATAATTTGTATCTTATTTGATCATTTGCTGTCAGTTTTTCTGCGGCCAATTTTATTTCTGATATATTTAATTTGTAATATTATATTATATTAAAGTCTTTATAAAAGTGTGATGTCAAACATTATTTAACTATACACTTTTGTTTTATTATTTGTACATGTATGTTTATTATTAGTACCCAATAATTTTTATGGAATTCGATTCTCAAAGGGAAAATATATTCTTAGTAGATCTCTATCAAAAGAAGTTTGGCCTCCCTTGGTATACACAATATATTGTATAGCATTACAGCGGGTCTAATAAAACAATTTTTTCTTTTGGACGTCTCAATATTATTATCATTGTATAAAATAGAATTTAATACATTATTATTATAACTTTGAGGTAACATAGAAAACTTTGGTAAGTTAACAAAACTTATTGCACATTAATATTATAATAATACAATAATATTTTTATTAGGTAGATGTATATAATAAAACGAGAGCATCGAGGTAGGAACTCTATATAATGAGAAATTATAATATCCATATAACCATAATTTAAGGGTCGATACCTGTATCTATTTTTATTATTATTATTATATACACTCTAAATAAATATATTATATATGTATATTATCTCTACGTATTAATGTATTGTAATTATATTATTATAAATTATTTATGCATTATTATTGTTATAGTAGTCTAAAGGCTACTATAATATTCTTGTCTATTTTATATATACATTTTATTTCTATTATTATATTTATCAACTTATTTATTATTTAATTTTGTCCGTACCACAAACCCATCAATTTAATGTTTTACAATATTGTCTTATGATATAATAAAATTACACTTTATTGTTATTATTATTATTATAATTATTTGTTATCCGTAAATGGCCAAAAATTGTCTTATTTACTTTATTTTAATTTTAATAATAACTTATCTATACCTATAACTATATAACTTAACCAGTGACGTTCCTAGAGTTACCCCGTTTCTCATTGGCTTAAAAATATAACAAATATGAGTATTTGTTTAAAAACTTTTCTTGAAATTATACAGGCAATTTTTAAGGAAAAAAGGTGGATTTATTGAATAAAATTTAGTTCTTAAATTCCATTGTTGGATTAAGTATAAGAAGACGATTTTATGATTTATTCATGGTTTATGATTATGTACCCCCTCCCACTAATAATTCTTGGACACGCCACTGATAGTTATAATGATTTATTTGAAAGCAGTTTATTTAAATTTTATTGGGTAAGTATTTTATTATTATTGCAGGTAAATTATTGTTTAAACTTTAAAAACTAAAAAAAAAAAATTGTTTTTCATTATTGTAGACATATTTAGAAAAAAAAATAACTGAAATAACAAAAATTTTCGAATAAAAAAAGCAAAATCTTAATCATAAATAATAAAAATGTATATAGATACCTATATGGGCTAAAATATTATACATGGATTTTTGATATGTGTGCAGACGTTAAATAAATTACACAAAATATCTACTGAAAATTATCAAACCTAAAGGATAGTGAAAAACGAAAATACAAAAAACAATCAAAGATGAAATAAAAATAAATAATAACTCTCCGTTATTGTCATTATACATTTTATATAAAATATATATAGGTATCCTGTATCTATCTGACGATTAAACACGACGGTAGATGTTCGTGTAAATATTCCAACAATTCCGGTGACGCACCCACACAGTTCGTCAGCTCTAATTCTTCTAAATGTCGCATTTGAATTAAACTAGACAGTCCGCTAGAGGTCAATAAATGACAACCTAAAGAAAAAAAGTACAATCAGAGTTAAAAAATATGAAGATTATCGTACAAAAGTTATTAATATAGAGCGGCATTTTTCACATTAAATTTTATATATAACAGTTAAAGATCATTTTTAAGTAGGTTTGTACTTCTGTTTTTTTGCCTTCATTTATGTCTTTAATTATTTTGTGATGAGTACAGTAGTTCATCATATCTAATGTAATGTAGCAAATTTATATCCACGTCTTCTTCCTTTAAGTAGTATTATTAAAATTTCTTAAAATTTTCTGATACGGTATCTACTTAATTTAAGAAAAGTTTCTCGTGATCGTATTATAAGTATTTATTCTCAAATAGTAGGCATTTTTAAAATTATTATACTAAATACATCGATCAGATTAATTTTTCGTGAGACGAACTTACATATTTTTAGAATTTTTACTTTCAAGGGTAACTATAATATTGTATAGGTTTGCATAACATTACCGGCGAGTGAGAGTATCCTTAGATGTCGCATGCTACACAGATGTTGTATGCTAAAGTTTCGTAGTTGCGAACACCAACGGAGAAATAGCGCTTGTAAACATATCATTGTTGATATATACCCTATGCCGATGTCAGTTATGTGTATGCACCTATAAAGACAAATACAAATTAAAAACACGACACACACACAAAGAACAATAAATTATTAACATATTTTAACTCGAGTAAATTAAAAATAACATAAAGGTACCTAAATAAAGCGAATAAATTACAAAATAATTTACAATGGTAAAAAATATACATACATTTGTATTGACAACTGAAATTAAAAAAAAAAAAAAAGGAAAGGGTCACGTTCTATCGAGCGACCTTTAAAATCAGCACGGTTATGGTTTACGAGTATATTATTATATTTTCATACAGCCGGAAAAAAAGAAAATTATAATTTCTTTTATTTCGATGGTAGTTTTCAAAATGTATAATATATTTTTAAAAAGCTAAATCGTTATTCGCGGTTAGCGATAAAAATTTACAACTTATATAAAAAAAAAAAAGAGAAGAACGTTACTAAATCAAGTTAAGCTTCGAGGGTTTTTTTTTTCTATAATACTCAGTATACTTAACGGTACCAATTTTCATTATAGATATATTTTTTAATGTTTTCTGAAGGGTTAATACCCTTTATACCGACCGTCGTTAACATAATATTTAACTATAACCATAATTTTGCCAATAAAAACCCATAAATAGATAGGTATGTTTTTCTATAAGATATATGGTATAATCGACAAGACGTATATGGAAAAATCATAAATGAGTGCACGGGGAGGAGGGGGGGAGGTTTAGTAGGCAACTGGCCTCCTCCACCTTGAAAGCTAAATTTTTTTCCAAATAAAGTATCCAAGTTATACATTTTAGGAATATTTAATTAATTAGTCATTATTTAGGCTATCTTAAATCGTGATTCGTAGTTGATATAAATGTGTGTTATCATGGACAAAAAGATCTAGTTCATTGTTATTAATATTACTGTTACCGGCAGTAGTTAGTAAAATTATTCTAAGGATAAATGTTTTAATTTAAAACGTGTTGTACAGTGAAAAGTAATAATGAATAACTAATAATAATTATACAAATAGAAAAAAACCCATGCAGCCATACCTACGATACGATAAGCAAAAATGAAAACTTAGACGACTATATACTCAGATACTCTTATGCTTTGACAATTATTATTTTTTATTTTTTATAAATAAACATATATGATATACCTACATTTTACTTGTTAAATGGCTTAAGGGAAAACAAAATATTTTGCTTGAATTTTTCATAATTATTAATGAGAATTACTAAGACACCTAAACAATGAAAATACATAGCCATAAGAGTTCTTAAACATAGTAGCAAACCAGATAGTGTATACATTAATAAATAATAATGAATGGTAAAACTGAGAAAATTAATTAGAACGAATACAAAGACTGTAAGTGAAAATCCTGGTAAAGATTCAAACAACGTCAGGAATTTCAGACTTGATTCGCTTATATGTCATATGTACAAATTATTTGAGAAAATGATTTTAAATAGAATAAAGCACGAGATAGAGAAGAAACTAGAAAATGAACAGGCAGGTTTTTGGCCTGGAAAATCGTGAAAAATTAACAAGTTTTTAATTTAGTCTATTACATTGAAGAAAACAAAAAATATAATTTGCGTGGCATATATTGATTTACCTACTGCCTATGATACAGTTAACCACAGATTATTCTTGAAAAAGCTAAATTAGACAAAAAAAAGAATTTTAAACGAATAAGTTTTATCGGTATGTTGCTGTGAATTCGAAAATTGTATTGTTACATTAAGAAGAAAGAATGGTAAATGGAAATTAAAGAATAACGGGTTACCATAAGGCAGTGTACTTACACCGCTGTTATTTAACGTGTACATAAACGATTAACTAAGGGATAAAAACACAAAACACTGTTGGTATGCTGATGATTTAGCAGTTGCAGCTAGAGGAAGCAATTTGAGGAGGCCAAAGCCAAAATACAAGAAACGTTAAATAAGTTACATAAGTACCACCTAAAATCTTACCCTATAAAAACAAAAAAATACAAGAAAAAAATATAAAATAGAAAGAAACAACTTTAGAGCACACAAATAATTCTACATAGCTGGAGATAAAATTGGATAGATCATTAACGTACAAAGCACATCGTGAAAACGTAACCAAAAAGATCGTTGCAAGAAATAACCTAATAAAGAAACTAGTGGGAACGCAATGGGGCGCTAACCCAAAATTGATAAGAACATCTGGTTTCGCTTAGTGTTACTTAGCTGTACACGCGTACAGTCATTCTATAGGAAGAAAATGGATGCAGCATTATAGGGTAAGATAAGATTAGCAACAGGATGTTTTAAACCAATTCCTAATGAAAAATTAAAAATCTTAAGTGGAATAGCACCACCTAAAATTAGACCAGAATTAACAGATAAAATAGAATGGAAAAAACAAATAAATGACGACAGGCATGTAAAATATGGAGTAACTCCGACCCATAGCAAGCTAAAATCAAGGAAATATTTTATGAAAATAATAACCATTAGGGCGAAATCCTATAGTAAGACGGACTGAAATATGAAAGGCACGAATAAGAGGACATGTACTAGCCGATTAGATTTTAACTACAAAATCTTAACGACTAGGTCATAATCTACCATGGAAAATGTAGACAACTCTTAACCAACAGTGGACACTAGTAGGAAGAACTAAAGAAAAATTAAACTGATGAGAAATAACAGACAATGAGAAATGCAAATGTGGAGAGAAACAAACATTAAACCATTTGTTTATGTATACATTAATAGTAGCTGTAAAAAATAAAATATATCATTAAACTAACAAAAATCACGGACGAAATTATGGGAATCATTTAATATTGGGAAAAGAAAGTATTATAAAATTACCCGAAAACACTGGCCGGAGAAGAAGATTAATAATAATATAAACATTAAGTTAAGTATGATATTTAATTGTTATAGATAGCTATTAAATTTACTATAATTAATATAATTACTTAAAATTAGTTTACAATACATTATAGATGTTATTGATAGATAAATGTTATATTAATAATAACCTTCTTTGTTTTAATAGTTTCCCCTCTACTCCTAGAAAACATTTCTGCAGACGCAGATATAAATAGGTAATAAAACAATATTTTTTCACAACCCCTCCTCTAAAATTAGGGTTTAGGTACGCCTATGGAACTGTAATGAAAATAATCGACTAATATGCATTTTCTTTATAGGTTTTCATTTTTGTTTACATTATTAACATATTTTATACAAATTGTTATAATATTATTACCTGTCTAAGACTAGCTGCTCCAATCCGACAAGATCACAAGCAATGTATTCTAGTGCTGCGTCAGTAACGCGAGGACACCAAGATAAGTCTAAGATTTGTAATTTTGGCAGATTTTCAGCTATCAGTTCGATCCCGTCGTCGGTAATTTTGCTGCAACCCGACAAACTCAATACAGTGAGATTGGGAAGTGAGTGAACTGAAAATATATACAAAATAATGTATAATATATAGTTATTTTATTAAAATACATATGAAGATATTGTTATAGATAAATAAAATCCTAAAATAATATAAATCCTATTAAAAAACAAAAAAAATGAAACGGATATACTTCGCATGATGGGCCACTGTTTTAGGTGAGAAGTTGGGGAAGATAGAGGGTAGAGGAAAAATTGAATGTATATCTGTACGCAACGATTAATCATTGATAATGAAAAATGATTCTGAGTGGAGTTCAATTAATAGTGTTGTTTTATAATATTCACAAATTAGGCGTATTATTAACGAGTTTCGCTGAATTTTTTTTAAAAAAAAAACTACAATAAACTCGAATTTTTTTACCATAAAGCGCGACTTATAATAAACCTTCTGTTAAAGATTCTAGTATTTCTGTTTGGTCTAATAATTTTATCCACAGAGCAAAAATTACGTACAAACCCCGTAAAATTAAAATATCTACAATTTTTTGGAAATAATACCACGTCTAAAAAAGGCAAATATAAGTTTTTTGTCCAAACGTCAAGTCTTTGCAAATACTTTTTACTAAATTAAATCGGAGCAAGATTTTGGCTGAAAAGTTGCTCACAGATACAAAAAATAATAAAAACACATAGTGAATCAATACGCGCTCCGAATCTAAAATAAAAGTTAGTTAATTAATTATTTCTTTCTAAGTTTCAAAATATATGGTTTTCAAAACGTAAGGGAATTATACGATATTTTAGTTTGATTGGCTTTTGTTAAAAATCGTTATAGATGTTTAGAATTTAGACAACCAAATTATTGAATGTTTTCGGTATAAAAAATAAAAAAACAAAACAAAACCCAATCTTTAACATTTTAATAATTTAGAAGTTGTTTTTTGTATTCGTTTAGTACATTATATAATATGTACTCGTATGCCGAAAAGAGGTTAACAGGCAATGGGCGTTGGACATTCGTCCCGCTTGGCCCACCTCACACAGAATAGAATAGTAATGCATTGTTATTTCAAATAATATACAATTGTGTATATAACAAACCGTCGTATTCCAAAAACCATATTCTAATAGTAGAGGTAGCTCGATATTTAAATTTAAACGGTCACTTATTTTGGCCGTCTTATCTAGTAAATATGTTTTCATTTTAATTAGGTAAGTACTTTGTAATTTTAAGTGTGGCCATTAAATATGCTTACACAAAACTTTAACTTTATTGTCTGAAAAAGTATTAGGAAAATAAAATATTACAATACAATTTTATTAAAATATTAAAACAGATTTAGACCACTCTAAATTATTACTCATGGAAATATAGTTGGGTAGTATCTATGATATAAATATTTCGGTATAATATTTTATCTTAGTGTATCTTGTGTTATAATTTTGGCAAGTATCAAGAAATTCGAAAAATAAAGCAAGCTAGATCATTTAACCACTCCCGTTTCCCAGACTTTTCAAAAAATATAATACAAATTATAAGTGTTAGGTATTATAAGATATTTCCATCCAAACAATTTCAGTAAAGTAATTATTAAAAATATTTTTTTTTCATAATACTATCCCATAGGTAGAGTCGTTCATATTATGTTATGATTTTTTTACATTCTGAATGGAACGAAGAATGTATTGGTTTTACAAAGATATTTATTATTTTTTTATGAGAACACTTTTTTTATCAGAAAACTTACTCCGATGTATACGATGTAGCACATTTTCTGAAAAGAAATTTTTTCTATGGTAGTATTTTAGGGAGGTCACTTTCCGATTTTCTAAAGAGTGTTCCTAGCAAACGTGAAAAACCAGGAAAAAACATGGGAAAACAAGAAAAAACTGGAAAATCGGTTCATTAAATAAATATTATTAAAGATAATATATAATGCCTATTTAATTATTTTATCATAGTATGGCATACTATATACTGTTGACAAAGTATCACTATCAACTGAACTTCATTGAGAATCGTTTTTTCGTTAGCAAAGGTTAATCGTTGTTAACAGATATACATCAAAATACATATTACAATGACCTATAACAGTGGCTGCACCCGTCCTAATTATCTAAGATGTTTTTTATATTATTTTCAATTAGAGCACATCGCATAGTACAAATTTAAAAGTTAAATGGATTCAACATTTTAATTTGTACTATAGTATTTAATTAGTATTAATAATATTATAAAAAGACATCCGTCCAATAGGATGCACTGAAATTGTTATAAATAAAACAATTACATTTTTAAAATTAAAAAATAATAAACAAATTTAAACTACAATACCATTATTATTGTAGAAGTATTTATAATATTGAAAAGTATTCAAATATACAAATAATATAAATGTAAATAAATACCTTACAAGTCTGTGTGTGCGAGGTAAGGTTTTTGAATATTTTTTCTACTACATTATGTGAAACATAGTTCAAAGCCTTTTCGATGTTAAAAATGTAATTTAATTTGATTATTAGTTTTTAATTTTAAAAATGTAATTGTTTTATTTATAACAATTTCAGTGCATCCTATTGGACGTATATATGAGAAATATTTCACCCCCACCCCGCTAAATTTTGCTTATATCAACAAACTGAAAAATAAAAATAACGAATCAGTCAAATCCTTTGAAAACAGATAAGACGTCAACTGCTGGACAATTTTCGCTCTCATTATTATGATTGGTGTTACACGTTTGTAAATTCTCTGGTTTTATATTACATAATTGTTATCCTGTATATTGTATAGTATTCCGTCACACGCAGCCGTATAAAAAAAAAAAACTATGGGGTGACTGTTTCTGGCACGATGAATCACGTGCCCTATTTGCAAGCGCGCAACCGAGAAACGGCGAGGGGATGACGAACATAAAGGCTGGCGAACCACTCAAACCCTCCGTTCTTTTGGAAAAAAAATTTAAATTAGGAGCCAGGTGGTTATAACATATACTATAGAAACCGCTGTGGCAGCATAATATTATGTAGCACTGAGGATTTTATAATATATAGTTTTAATAGTCTAAAACGTTTTTAAAAGTGGCTGCGAAAACGTACGAACAAAATATACGCTTAGTATAAAAGCATATAAAACTTAATGGATGTCACTTATTTTTTTCTTATTTTGTATTCATAATGTTTAAATTTTGAAGAAAACTCAAATATTATATAATGTTGTGCTATTCGATAATCGGTTCAAAGGCTCAAATCAACAATACATAGGTTTTTTGTAGAATTTTTAGTGTTTTACTCGAAAAAAGTACATTGGTTCTGTGTAAAGCAAAGAATGTATTAATTTTCATATTAAATGTTTTTTTTTTTTGTGTCTGTAAATAACTTTTCTACCAGAAATCTTACAACAATTAAAAACTTAACAATAACTTCTATTTAGCATTGTTAATCTAATTGGTGTATTGAGTCATTTTTAAATTTTTTTTGTATTTTCCTTAATAAATGAGAAAAAATGGCCACTTTATGTTGACTTTTTTGGTTATCTTGGTAATAAAGGGAAAAATACAACTGTTAATAATACTCTGCTCAGTAGTTTTTCGTTAATAATGGTTTATCATTGAGTACAAATATAAATTAAATTATTTTTTAAAAAGTTTGATTATGCTTACATAAAACACTAAATATTTCGGCCACATGAACTTGGATTTAAATTTCAGTTTTAGGAGTTGGTGAGAATTATTGAAATACAAGTTTTTCGGTGCACGTTTGCCCAATAAAAATACAAATTACATATTTTGAATAAAATCACGTATTTATGTCATTAGATTTGATTTGAGTACTATTTTTTTAAGCAACATTGATCAATAAAATTTTGGTTTATCTTAAAAATTACTTGAGACAAAGCTATCTAAAAATGGTTAAAAAAAATGATTTGGCAGATTTTTCGAAAAAATTTAAAACTTACATTAATACGTATGTATTATTTTATGATTATCTTTACAAATTATTTTTTTTTTCATAACAATAGAATAAAGATGATATTGATTATCGCTCCTGTAGGGGCCTTTGGTGTATCAGGCTGATACTGTTTGGATCTATATTTTTGTGTATACATATTTTGCGCATCGTACGGACACGTAAAAATAAAAATATTTGTTATTTTATTTTTAATGGTGATAATAATAATAGATATAAAACGCAGTTATTTGTAATTTTTTCGTATATTAGACACGATACTTACGAATAAACGATTCGCGTATATTCGATATATTCGCATCGTTATTATAAAAGTTTTTGGCTTTTGGTCAAAAGTCCCAAATATATACCCCGACAGAAGTTTGGTATCCGCATTATATTAATTTTATTGTACATACATTTAAAATTATAAAAGAGTATACACAAACGCGGCTGCGTACTACAAGTTTTGCTGCTCAGCATTACATTTTATCGATTCGAGTTTGTCGTTCTTTTAAGACATGTATTTTATCATAATACACTACGAATACACTAGTAACAATAATATTATAATATTACAGTTAATACTTGTATAACATATTATTAAAACGAAATTCGGAAAATTTTAATTTGTTTTTAAATTTGATGAAATATATAAGTTATATACTATAGGTATATAACTTTAATCCTAGTCAATTTTTCAGATATTTATATTTTTTGTGTAGCGAGTAATGCATATTGGTTTTACTATGATGTGTATTTTTATTTTATTTTACTTTTTCTGCCTGTAAGATACTATTCTACCAGAATTAAAAAAATAACAAGATACTTTTTCTTTCGTGTTTTGGATCTAGTTGGTGCATTGGGAGGTCATTTAATGATTTGGTAAAGGGCTTTCATAATGACTGGAAATAACCTAAAATAAAAACGGACAAATTTATGTCATCAGTGATTTCATTATTTTAAATTAATTTTTCAATTTTATTTTCTTCCAGAAATCTTGCACCGAAATTTAAGTGTTATGAAGAGAAACATCGACTAGTTGGTGTGAATTTCACACTTCGAAGATTATCGTTTGATGATAGTGTAGTTTTCTTTATAATTAGGAAAAACAAGAAAGTTATATCGATATGTTACAATATCGAACGATGAGTCGACATGTCTGAATAAAGTGAAAAATGTAAACATAATATTAATCTGTATTCACCGAAATTACTGATTGAGTCTTTGTTGAACACTTTCTGCATTAAATCGTCATACACAATAATATACAATATCCGTATAAATGTATAATACCTATATTATTACAACCTTGTACAACGACAACAAAAACATTAATCTACACATACAGTATACGTTTCTGTATTAAAATTATTTACCATTGAAATTTATGAGATACCATTTTATTTACTGCACGTTATATTATTATAAAATATACAACACAATACGATTAATATAAACAAATGTTTAATCCGTTTAGCGTTTGATGTACATTTTACTAGTTTCCCACCCCTCCATTAAAAATGTCAATTATTTTTTTATGCCTATATTTAACGTGTAATATTAGCATGAATTTGCATGTCTATTACCGAAATTTGTATGCTTTTCATTTTGGCATTATATCAGAAAAACTATGGAGGCTAGAGTAATATTTTTCTAATTTAACGCCTAGACTGAAAACATGAAAATGATTAAATTAATACATGAAATTTATATATACTGGAGTAATTTATTATACAGAACTGAGAAAAATGTTTGAAATGAAAATATTCCTAAAGTAAGTAATCATAAGTTTTTATAAACGAAAATTGAATAGACTTTCAATATATTTTTAGTTTTTTAAAAACTTCATAAACACCAAGGATATTTTATTTGGAAACGTATATAATTTCCTAAATGCTAGGTGTATAATGTTATTATAACCTGTCTAATAAACGAATTATCGTTCTGTAAATCAATTATCGTAATAATATTCAATCATTTACCGCACTGCACAAGCAATTTCCTTTCTCGTCGTTATATTATAGTCGTTCCTCGAACACTGTTACTGTTTATACAATTTTACCCTCAGTCAATATATAATATCTGAATATGCAATTTATATACATACATATAGGACGTTTTCCGCAAATAACAATCATGTTTGAAATCAAACAAAAATATACTTCAATATACTTGTACGTGTATAGTATAGTTTTGAACATACACAAATATTAACATCGTACCTACCTAAACTTAGTATACAAATAGTTTTGTTTAACGTGTTTTGGTTCTCATATTACGTATACTAGAAACTTCTGATTGGTAATTTCAATCAAATATAAAACTAATATTTACCATGGGTGTTTTATTATAATCGTAAAAAGTTTAAACCTCGAACTGTGATCGATTAAGCAATGCATTTTGTAATTGCGCATTCGTAATGAAATAAATATTCTAAAGTTATTACAATAAATTTTTTCATATTAGTATTTAAAATTTCATTTTTGATATTCAACTGTACGTACAGATATTTTCCTTTTATTTTTTTTTTCGAAGGTTCATTAAATCTTTCAGTTGTTTATAACAATATAAGCTAAATAATATAATATTATAAAAGAATAAAATACAAAATTAGCATCCGTCGGTATAACTCACTGCAGTCACGCATTTTTATCGTTTTATCAAACCACACATAATATTATACATTACGATCGATTAATTTTAGATTCTCAACAGTAAGAAACACGGGCAAGCTATTAAGCTGTATACAACTATGAGTATTTTATTATTATTCTTTCTTTTTTTTGGGCCAATAAAAATACTCAATAAACAACTTTATATAGATTATAGACGATGCACCTTATTGAACACAAATGGTTTTTATTTTTAGGGCGTGTACATGCAGTGGGACACATTTTGTGTAGTTGAATATGATATTTTGCACGGTACGCAAAAATCATTTATCTTATAATTTTTTGTAATAACTTAAATTTATCATACATAAAATACAGAGTATTATTATTAATTTTTAAGGAAATACTAATATTGAAAAGCTATAATCAAGTGATTTCAGACACTGATAAATGATGATATGACGAAATAGAAGCAAACTTTATAATATTGTTAATGGATTGAAAAAGAATAAACGATTTCATATTTTACGGTTAGGTGGGTATTATTTTTAGTTAAAACATAAATAACTATAGATCGCTAAGACAAAGGTTTAGGTATGTTGGGTTAAGTATGTACGAGTATAAGAATTATTACGAGTAATGGATAATTTAAAAATAAAATAAAAATATTATAATTAAATTAAATATTCTAAATCTTTACATAATATTATGTGTCCTTATTTTAATTTTATGGTTATTGATTATTATTCCGTAACAGTAATATTTCGTTTAGAAGCGTTTTGACTCACCTATATTTACAATGCCATGGTTGGTGAGTTCCCAGCATGACTGCAATCTCAGCACAGATAGGCTGCTAGACTGTCTGGACGAGAAGAATCCTAGGGCGGCATCAGTGACGTGGTAGGCTTGCAACGTGAATTCGTTGAGAGCGGGCAGCATCTGAGCAACGGCACCAACCGCGTCGTCCGCCACGTTTATGCAATCACTTAGAGTCAGCGAAATGATCCTGGGCGTCAGACATGCCCAAAGACCTGCCTCCGTGATCTCGTTGCACCCAATCAGCTCTAATCGCCAAATACCCTGTATATGACGAATCGACGTAAATAATTTACAATAATTTAATATTTTTACAATTATTGTAAAAATATCCTATTATCATAATTAATGTTATTTAATAGAACATAAATATGTTTGTATACCAATAATATTATAAATGGGTAGGGTCAATAATTCAGGATATTTATTTATTAACAAATAAATAACAATTCACTAAATTAAGTAAAAAAAAGATCTGAAAGATCTAGGAACAGATGTCACTGTTGTAATTGGGAGGTTAGGAAGGCCTACCTTCCTAATACTTATAATAATACCTTCTTAATACATATGTATCATAATACATATAATTATATTTGATTTATATTAGTAAATAATGATGAGTCATTGCTTACGAAATACATTTTCTTCTCATAAAAGATAATGCGATTAAAATTAAGAGTAAAATCTCTGGTGGGAAATATAAATTATATACATTTAAAATACCGAATTCGTAAACAATGTGACGTATATATTTTTTTGTTTTTCCTATACGTCTTTCCTGTTTTTCCCAATTATTATGAAAACGGCATAGAAATTTAAAAAATACCTCATCAATGCACCAATTAGTTGCAAAATGTACGAAAAAAAAGTTTCAAAAAGTCATTTTTTGGTTGGAGTAAGATTTCTGGTAGAAAAGTAAATAAAATTAATTAATACTCTGTATGTTTAACACAAAATAGTGTCATAGTATCATATACTTGTAAATGCATAATATTTAACAATATGTATATATATACCATTAGGAAAAATAAAAAGTAATAATACGTGGAGCTGAGTAAAATATAATATTCCTCAGTCACATCGACGTTTTATGTTTATCGAAAACATCAAAATTATTTTAAAAAATGATTATATTATAAGTATATCGGAAATAAAAAATATCTTCATACTTTACCGCAATTAATACTGATCAAAATAAGTAGTTTCGTAAAACTCAAGTAAGATTTAGCCGAAAATTTAGAAATATAACAATCAAAATATGTCAAAAAATAATAACGGATAGGTTTATAAATATTGTATGGAAGGGAGAAAACCTCATTACCTCTATGGATTTTAAAATCGCTCTCTTTCCTCAGAATTATCTGCCTTTATAGCTTCGAGGCTACGAACTCAAAATTCATAGTTTAAACTCTTAGTTCCATGTTCACGTTTTCACAAAACAATTTATAGTGTTATTAACTTTATTAATTCTAGCATATTATAGCTTCGGATTTTTTTTTCTGATAACAGATGTTTAAAATAATAATAAAAATAAGTAAAAATAAATAAAAGTAAACAATCAAAATAATCAAATAAATAAAATAGTTGTATCTATAACTAACATTATAAATGTTATTGATTTTTTAAAAAATTTAAAACAGTTCTATTCTATATAATAATAATAATTTTATATTAATATTATAAAGAAATACAATTTTTTTGTACGTTTATAATTAATAAGCTCAAAAACTACTTAACCGATTTTAAAACTTCTTCTACTTATAAAAAGATTATCAGCGAGTAACATGAGCTGTATTTTATTTTCAAAATAATTAGAAATCACTACGAAAATTACAATAATTAGGTGTTTAGATATTTTTGGTACAAATATCTAATTGTTTATTTATTTAAATTGTGTGTGTTAATGGGCTACCTTGGTGACAATTTGGTTGTCGTGAACAAGAAAATTATTATTATTAAATATATTTATTGACGAGTATTAACCATTTTAAGAATTTTGTTTTTCTTTTATTAGTATAGGTAGTCTAATTTTTGAAAGTCGTGCATATTACATTTTTTGAAAAATTATGAAAAAATCATAATTACTTTAGAAGGTTGTCTTGGGACTTTTTTGAAGTAAAAATAAATTGTTTTGATTTTAATTATTGAAGTTGCTTAGGAAAATTTTAGTGTGTCCAGTTAAAAGTAGGGTTGCTATTCAATAATGTAATTTGTGTTTCACCCACGCGCAGCGAAAGAGTTGAATTTTGAAATTTATCCTAAAATGTATATTTCAGTATGTATATATATATCTACCTTTTCCTTATCACTTCCCAAAAATTGAATTTAAATCCAAGGTTACTCGGCCGAAATATTTAGGCCCATTTTTTTTGTTATATTTTAAGTCCCGAATTTTGATTGTAGATTTTGTGTGTACGAGTGAATAACGTATACCTACGCGTAGTGCATATATTGTGTATATAATATTAATTGGATTTTTTTTTTAAACAAACCATGATAAATTTCGCTATTGAACACTATATTTTCGCGTTACGAAGTGCCATCACGCGCGCTGGACCGATATAACGGGGCTAACAAAATAAAAATGGTAAACTATTGTTAGAGAACCTATGCTAATCCTATTTTCCGATTGGCTCCAATCCTTATATCCCACATAAAAAAAAAAATTTCAAAGCACTCATAATATGAATTTAAAAAAAGGACTGATATTGGGAACGGGTATACTGCCATTGTAGGTGACAAGTTGGGAGAAGGTTACTACCTTCCTTGAATTCAATGTATATCTGTATGCAACAATAAATTATTGCCAAAGAAAAACTATTCTAACTATTCTTAATTTACCTAAACGTGATTTGAAGTAATATTTAGGATTTTCATCACAAAGTGCGATTCATAACGAACTACTTATAAAATTGTCGAGTATTTCTATATAAAAATTACATAAAAAAAACTCATAAAATTAAAATGTCTATAAATAGTTTAAAATTGACTGTTTTAAAAATTTTACGACGTTTAGAAAAAGCAAAAATAAATTTTCTGTCAAAATTTCAAGTGCCTACAAATATTTTTAACTGAATTATAACTACAAAAACAAAACTTAAATTAATAAAATAATAATTTTCGTACATTTTCTAAATATTTCTATGTTTTTGTAGATTTTGAGTGGTTTCTACCAGAAGATATGCTCGGATTTTTAAGTATAGCAATTTTTCTGAAAGAAAATCGGTGTAGGGAGGTACGTTAAGGATATTTTTCAATTTTCTCAAAAGCAAAAAATCAAAAAAAAAAAAAAAAAACGCGAATATGTATGAAATATATTACTACAATATTACGATTTTATTTTTTGTGCACAACTTTTCTTCCAGCAATTTTACTCCAACTCATAATGACAAAAATGTTTCTAAAATGAAATTTCACTAGGGAGATACTTTAGAGAATTAATTTTTCGACTTTCTCCGGAGTTTTCTCATTAAATTTAAAAAATCGAAAACAACAGAGGAAAAACTGGAAAAACGTAGGAAAACTGGTACAACATTAAACAAATATTATTAAAGAAAATATATAAAGTCTATTTAATTTTTTTACTATAAATGACTAATAAATATATTGTTGACAAAGCATTATTATCAACTGAACTCCGCTCAGAATCGTTTTTTCTTAAACAATGGTTTATTGTAAGTCCAATATAAGAATTATTACCAAGTTTCAAGTCTCTACGTGTATTTATAACCAAATTACAGCAAAAACTCCCAAAAATTAAAATTCCTTAAAAGTTTAAAAGTAGCTCAAAAGTTTTGGCAATGATACCGTAAGAAAGTATATCAAAAAGACAACGAAAAAAATATCTTGTGATTTTTGTAATTTCAATCATTTTTTCGGGTAAAAAACGTCTTTCGCCTTTTTTTTTAAATAATGAAATCGTGAAATTGTACGTTTTCCTACGTTTTTTTCCAATTTAGGTTCTTTTATTTAAAAAATGTCGAAAATTAAAACAACCCTTTTAAAGTAGAATTTAGACAACTTGAACTTTCAGAAAAGTTGCTACATGTAAAAATTGGAGCAAGTTTACTAGGTAAAAACGTACAACACACTAAAAAAAAGAAAAAAACAATAAAGAAATATAAACACCATTATAAAACCAATAGCTTCCTTGCTATGCTCGGAATCTAAAATGCTACAAAAGTGGTCTCTAATTGTTTTTATTTGGAGTAATAATTCTGGTAGTAAACATAAAGCGTACAAATTCAAAATAATGAAATATTAACTTCGTAAATTTATCAGTTTTCATTTTTTCTAATTATTAATATAACTACAGGAAAATCAAGAAATTACTTTCTTCTTAAGCATCAATCTAGATCTAAAATTAAATGATAAATAACATTTGGAATTTTTTTTTTTGATTAAAGCAACCTGTTTGAAAACATAATTTGTAAAAATTAAAAACAATGAAATCGGTAACGCTTTGACACGTTGTGAATATTTGTCGTTTAAACTAAACCGGCTACCATGTAGACCTTTCCCCCTCTAACTTCTTTTTATCAAGACAAACAAATCGGAACAAAATTTACATAATATTATTATGTTATCCTAGATATATACACCCAAATTTTACCCGCAAATACATTCAAACATCTGGCGCGAAATGTACGTTTCCCCAACACCGCGATGCTCCTCCGCAGACAGAATATACAAACATCCTTTGGCAAACAACATTCAGTAACGAATGTTATGATTGATATTATTACTATAAAATAATAATTATTCTAGTATGATGATATAACGTTTGAAGTCAAACTATACCCGTATCTGAATCATGTGAAATTTTAGATTCTAAGCGAATCGAGAAATTGTATTTATTATAGTTATATTTTGATTCGTTTTTTTTTTTTGTATCTGTAAACAATTTTTGCTACCAGAAATCTTCAAAACTTTTTTGTAGCATTTTTGATACATTGTAAAGGTCATTATTTATTTTCCTTGTTGATTTCTGGGTTATCTTGGTAACAAGCGAAAACATACAATTAATAAAGTTATCTCAAAAGCAACTGTGCATTTATTTAAATGTGTATTTACATCTTATATAAAAGTAAAGAGGGGTTAAAAGGCTTTAGCCTTCATCACAATTTAATTATACATTTTAGTGAATTCTCTCCATTTATTGTAAATTCTCACTAAGAGAAGTCCTTGATCGTGAAATATCAATTAAAGCAAAAGTTTCAATTATGTTATAAAAATAAGTAATTTATTTATGAATTTGGAAATAGTTGCAAATTTGTTTCCATTGTATCACTACAGAGTCCTCAACAATACTTATTTAGTGAATGAATTTTTAGATGTTAATGAAGTCATTAAATTATTTGAGGCGAAAAAAAAGAACTGTGATGAATATTTTAACTTTAAAAGTGCATCTTAAAATAATAGCATCATTAGTAGGAAAAGAAATATAAATTTCTAAGGTGTGTGATCGTCAAACAAATAGATTGGTACACAAAATTCAGAAGAGTTTTATGGAGTTACTACATACTAGCAACAACACTAGAGATATTAATATAATTTTTTACAAAACATTATTTCGAATAATATTCAATTATTTGTATTATTTTTTTTTCGAGCAGTAAATGAATAATTAGGTAGATGCCAATAATAATGAAGAGTAAAACTATGATAAAGGGGATAATGGAAATATATATATATATATATATACATATATATATTTTTTTTTTTTTGACGCGGTACACTGTGCAGCTATAATTTCCGCACAGAGAAGCGTAAACTGGCATACTTAAAGGTGTATATTATTATAGTTCGTATTTTTAATTATTACCTAAATCAGTTATGCGGGACATGCATTTATAATTTTAAATTTTAAATAGATTCCACACAAACTAATTATTATAATATTAATAATAACAACAACAAGGTTTTGCTAGTGTCGATTGAAACACAATTACAATGAAAAAAGGTCGTTTCGTCATTGAATAATAATTTTTTCGAAAGTAACCTGTAGTAACCGTGGTATCCGTGATGAGAACATATAGCATTATATTGAATACAATATTAAATATTCAATATACTACAACATTTTAAGCGATCAATAATTTTAGAAATTGTTTAAAAAAAAAAAAGTTACCATAATATTTCCGCTTCTTTTAAATTTATATCTTAATTTTATCGATTTTCTCAGTTAAACATATTGCATAAACGCATAATTAAAGAAAACATCTTATAGAAAGATGTTTTGGATGAATAAAGAAAATATCTCTAAACTTATTTGGTCGTAGAAATTTACCTAGGGAAAGAAATAGCGCATACTACTGATGGGTAACCACAGTTTGTGAAGACATGGTTACTTAGATCTTAAAAACAAATTGTAGTTATGGCCAATTATAATTATTCTAACTGAATATATTATTGGCTTAATACATGAGTGTAAGCATTAGCCGCTCACAACATTAATGAGCTATCTCCGTAGTCTACAATGAGTTATTAATGAATAAAATAAAACAAACAAAAAGAACTGATACTGCTGATGGGTGTGCCACTGTTGTAGGTGGAAAGGTAAAAAGGTAGAATACACAAAATGATTTAATTTATGTCTATAAATAACGTTAAAAAATTACTAACGAAATACCATTCTGAACGAAGCTCCGTTTTACGTGTTTTAAAATGCCCTAATATTTACTAATTTCGTCAAAGTTAAATATTAAAACGAGTATAAAAAACTACAACATTAGGCTCAACAATTTTTTTTTACCAAGTTAAACTTATAATTTTAAATTATCAAGCATTTCAGTTAAATTAAAAATTGTATCCACATCTATCAAAACTACAAAATAAAAATATGATTCTTCCCGGTTTTGTCAAATTATTTAGAAAACTGCATAAAAATCAAAAAGTGACTTATTTATTTACCAAATTACTAGATTTTAAATCCAACAAAAAGAACTTATACTGCTGATGGCTGCACTATTGCTGTAGGTAAGAAGTTTGGAAGGTATGATACATACGATTATTAAAATATTTAACTCATATCAGTAAGCAATGACAAACCATTACTAACGAAAAATTATTCTGAGCGAAGTTTGCTTAAACATAATTTATAAGGCCGTTATATTTATGATTTTCTTCATATATTTGATCTAAAAACCATAAAAAAAATTTTAAAAAATTACTCCATTATATAAATATTATTTTATTGACCACGAAAAATGCAACTTATAATGAATTTAGTCTTAAATTTTCAAACATTTCTGAATAACCAAATAATTATATCCTCAGAACTTACTAAAAACAACTATATAAAAAAAACCTTCCCGGACTGCAATTAGCTCGAACAATTTACGTCTAAAAAAGGCAAATATAAGTTTCCTGTCAAAATGTCTACTCTCTACGAATATTTGTAACTGAATTACAACATTTTTACGGATTATCATAAGAAAAACACATAGAAAATCAAAAAATGGCATCATTAATGCACTAACTAGATTTAAAATGCAACATAAAAGGTCTGTTGTAATATTTTAATTTCAAAATTATAATATTTCTGGTATAAAAGTTATTTATAGGAATAAAAAAAAAATTATGCATAATTGCAAAACCAATACATTCCCCGCTTCGTTTAGAAACTGAAACATACATAAATCAATATCATTTTCCCCTATTGTCCAAATAAGAAATTTGCTACCCTTCTAATAAATAATTTATATAGGTTATCTAAACATATGATTAATGATAAAAAATTCATAACCTCTATAGTCTATATTTCATATTCTGTTTAAGAATATTTTTCTGAACATTTATATAAGATTGGAGTTTGGATAATGTTTATCAATTTATATGTATATATATATGTACATAATTATAATGAATTTCATATAATCTCTTTAAAGATAATTTAGTATAAGCATTTAGCAGGTATACATCAGTTAAGCACTGATTGGTGCTATTTATTGAAATTAAATTATTAAATAAATTAAATCAAATATTTGGAGGAAAATAATTTTTTTTTTTTTTTTGATAGAAAATGTATAATATTGGAAACCTGTATTTATTTTTTTTTTTCTTTGGGGGGGGGGGGGGGAAATATTTCCGATCCATATATTAAGCCCACTTGATTTTAAAAATAATATTCGTTTCTTAAATATTTAGAAATATGAACCACTCAACAAGTAAATGTATCAAAAACCATATTTTTACTTTTTGAAATAAATCAACTATAATACCAACCCACTACACATATACTACACTATAGTATACACAATATAGTATTATTATGATCTAAGGTTACCACGCATCATCTTATTGTTTACTATATACGTTTGTAAACGGATAGGTGCTATAGAAAACGGGTTAAATTTCTGGTTATAATTAATCGTATAAGTCTAAACTTGTTTATCGTGAATGCATTTAAATTCTTAAATACATTATTGTCTAAATATTATGCCAAGTGCATAGTGATTTTCGTTTTGATTTACCCAAAACACCACCCAAATTAAACTTTTCCATAACGGACGAGACAAATTTTATGTATATTATAAAAACAAGGTCACCGCTCTTTAGTTTTAATTTTATTGCCCTCGCCACCATGTGGACCCGGCACGGCATACCTACATTCTGTTTTAATATTTAAATTGTTACATTTTTTCATTAAGACGTGACCGTACAAAAGGGTGAGAATTTACATAGGTATACCGGCACTTTATTTATATGTTTTTAACAATTACTTTATATTCTTGTTTAAACTGCAAATATACAATTTGTTTTTTGTATGAAATATTTAAAGAAATATTTATTCATACGCATTAATTACCGGTTTCTCCTGCGGTGTATTTTCACATATAATTATAATGTAATATAATAATGTGGAATACAACTGATTGAAAATCAATCCTTACCTGTTATTGAAGGGCACGCTTTAGATCTGAGTGTATAGATATATTTCAAATAGAATAAAAAATACCTGTGACCATCAGAGTTCTATAATATAATTTTCTCACACTTTTTTTGTATTATAGAACTTAAGTATACTATACTTTACTATAACTTTATAACTTCCAAACAAATGATGAAATCCGATCATAAAAATAGTATAGGTGGAATTGAAAGTTAAAACCCCAAAAAGTCTTGAATACTTGATACTTGCAACATGAATCATACAACAATATATATATATATATATGATTTCATTACATTTATTTAATTTAGTGGGTATAGGGATGCATACAAAGCTAAAAAACCATCCTCCTCATTCATCAACATGGTGAAATCCATACTAAAATTAGTTAGAAAAAATGTTATCACTGTAATCCGCCTATAAAAAAAACTAATTTTTTAATTTTAGCTCATTTATTCGAGAGAGAGCCGCTAAAAGTAACAGGAAAAAGATATATACATGTATGTATTATCATAATATATTGGCCGACCCTACATAGTTGGGATGAAGGTAAAACAGAAAAAGAAGATATATATATATTATAATATATTATATACATACAGTTAAATAGTCTTTATTTTCGGGGAAAATTCAACATAAAATTAGCAAAAAGAAGTTTATATTCCGGCGTGCAATCCCTTCAGAAACGTTGTTAAACCATTAGACCATTCAATTGGCAGACTATAGATACGAATACGATTCCATCACAAATTAGCAAAACCTAACCAGTTGCGACGACTACATGCACACATTAAAATTAAACCGTAAACGGATTAATTCAATTAAATTCAATTATATACGATATACGTGAGCGTGTGTGATGCGCACTCGTATTACAATATTATAATATATAGACAGCGAATCCGAACGCATCCGTAGTTATTATATCCAACACATCCGCATGACATATTTTAATCCGGCCGTATATACAATACACATCACGCACACAGACACACATACACACACACTGTTACACATGTATGTAAACTTTTAAGGAAACATACATAATACGCATGTATACAAATGGGATTTTTTTTTTTGGATATGAACATAACCATATAGGCACAAATAACCCAAATATTTTGAAAGGACTTAAGTTATTGATTATTATCGATAATATTGTATATTCAACAATAGCGCCGTTTTGATACGGTCTGGTTAATATTTTTAATATATTTTTTTTTTTCATTATTTGAATTTCATACAATGAATATTGGACAACACTGAGAAAAACTTATGTGGAGGTCCGGGAGTTCTTACATTTTCTAAATTAAATATATATGATTATAATTATGCATGCTAAGATGAATATCATACAAAAATAAAATAAAATAAGAACACGATAACAAGAATAAATATAAACAATCAACTAAGAATATAGATAACGAAATACTATCACGAATGCATACATAATATTATAAAGTGTGTAATATATCTTTCTTATACTAAATCATCCGTGTTTAATAATCAGTTAAACATTATTTTTTTTTCTAAATACTCCATATGAGAAGTTAAAATATCAATAGGTATTTTTAATAAATATTTCGGTACCAAATATTTGAATATTTCTTCCTGAGGTTGTTTTATTCAACCAATCTACTATGAAGTTCTTTTTAGCATATCGAGTATGATGCCATATGCTATAGGATTTAATAAATATAACAATAGTTGTATAGTATAATTTTTTAATGGGTACCTTTAGCTCAATATACAGTCCCATCAAACTATACCATAGGAGATAATTGATTCTACTGAAGTTAAATATATTTATAATACATTATTTATGTTTAAGATGTTATCTCTAAAAATATAAATAATTTTTTTAATTTGTTTACACAAAACATTTATTTGGTTTTTCCACCTCATATTGTTACAAATTTAATTTCCTAAGTATTTCACTGAGTAACAAATAATAATAGAATAACAAGAACAAGTAGCTGATGTAAAGTATGATATATTGATTTGTATGCATTTTTTGGATGGTATAATGTATTATCAACCAGGGAATGAAGGACGACTCAAGTTTTTTAAGGATGATATGACAATATATTATATGTAGTTTTACATTTTTCGTTATTTTGATTGCACGAATTTTGAGTGCTATAATAACCTAATATCAGCTCAAAGCATAAATCATGATTTTGTATTACAACCACGGAACTCGACTATTATGACTAACACGAAGATATAACAAATATTACATTATGTGCCAACACATTAGTCAAAACTCAAACAAATAATGTTGTGAACTAGTGTATTGGTGTGAATTAGTCAACCAACACCATCCCCAAAAATATCCAGGTTTTGACCAGACGTACCTCGTGTTCGGCGGCACTAATACTTAGTATTTATTTAATAAAAGGATTGAGTCCCCCTCTATTTGAAACGGCATACACAGGACAAACCGCAAATTATTGGAAATAACCGTTTTGGATTTATATTATATAACCGTAAGCACGTACATAATAATTTATATTATATATTTAATATAATATGTACATGTCGCGTAGGTTAAAACCATCGTCGTCTTATTATTTAGCACATATTATTACACAACGCCACCGATTCGACTTATTTAAGGCCATAAAATGAAACAAACCAAATGTACATACAAATAGGAAGAAAACATGTTTTTTTTTTTTTTTTTTTTTATTTGTACAATCCGCGTTTTCTTGGCTGAAATTATTTTTATAGTTTATAGACAGTCGGAAATCGACAGATCGTATAGACGCGATAAAATCAATTGCATCGTTTTTCTAACACGGATTCTCGCGACCAATCTGTACTCAAGCACCACAAAATAATACAGAATATACAGTGACATAATTTATAAAGTTTGTCAACTTAACCTAATTATTTCACGTAGCTAACACGCTTCCTTGGACAAGTATTCAAAACCTAAACATTTTAATATTTTCTTATATAGCTGATATATATTCTGTCCACATTTACATATCAGGGGGTAATGAATGAATCGAATTTATATTAGTTTCAGAAATTCACATTCAGAGATTTAATTTTACCTAGCGTTGCTTGCATTATATGTGACGCAACAAAATTATAATATAAATCAAGTTTATAATATTATGTAGGTTTCCCATAGTGAAAACTGAATTTGTTATTTTGCCCTTTGTACCTTCTTACTGGAAACTATAAAAATCAATAATGAAGTTAACAATTTCGATTTTCATATTCAAAATCCATGACGTGTTATAAGCCCGTTGGGAGCACACATTTTATATAGGACTAACCAAAACCTCGAGAACTGAATGGATTAGACTAAAAATACATTTTCTATTAAAATAACATACTATTTTAATCGTATTCAGCCGGTGTTGTCTTCGTTTAACATAATTTAACGTATCCGCTGCCCAGCTCACATATGAACGTCAATCACTTGAATTACACACCGATAATATTTGCATAGCCATTTTATTTTTAACCTTTTTATGCCCTTCAAAGTTGTTAACATCGCCTTTTACATAAAATCTGATCGAACCATTTTCGTATGGACAAAAAGTTCTACTTAAATTTATAAATTATATTTTCTCTCGAAAAAAATACAAAATAATAATGCATCATATTAACACGTGAAAAAAATACGAAGCGTTTTATTTAAAACCGATTATACCCAAAAAATAATGAAATTAAATATTAATACGATGTAAATCAAATCCGAAAGTGTAGGTATACATTAAAAACATGTATTCCATATCCATCACATGGATGAGGAATAAAACAAGACAATTTACGGTTTTTCCAATTACATACAGTCTCGAAATGAATAGTCTTATGAAAACAAACATTGGGTCAATTACATAATGTTATAATAATAAAAAAGAAAATATTTCAACATTTTGACCTTTGCATCGAAAACATGCAATAAACAGAATACGTTCACGTAAACTTTCCAGATGAACTTCCAATTATTTAGATTCGATATTCGTTGAATCCTAACAAACTGGTTATATTTTATTATACGTCTACATTATAATACTGTAATATTGACACAACTGCTTTCTCACGGCCAGCTTATGTCTCACCATAATTTTTGCTATATTAGTAAAACTAATGTACATTATATTATTCATTTCATTGAAAACGCATTAAAAATAATAGACCATTTGGCAAAGTTCTCTAAAAACAAAATAAGCATAGGTACATTTATTTGTGCTAAGTATACTGGTTAGTATTTAAATTACAATCATACCTATATAAAAATATGTATATAATTAAATAGTACTGGTATTTACTATAGGCACCTAATACTTAAAATAGTGGAACGATCCGGTCAATATCAAGTGTTCGAGCAGAAAACTAGTTAGTTTAAGAAAAATAAATGTAGTATCCATTGCTCACTCCACCAATCCTTATATTGTTGTTTGCTTATGGTGTTTACAGTTGCAGTGCGGTCGAACGTCATGTTATAGAAATAGTGCAATCTCCTATACTACATGGATAGTATAATGGAAAGTTTGAATAAAAAAAGGTTAATCATATTAATAATACCAGTTATGTAAGTTGTGAAACATTAATACATAATATTCAATAATCTATTTAAAAAAAAAAAATTAAAATAATTATTAATATAAAATAAAAAAAAGTGATAGGTATATAATAAAAAATACTTTTTTATTATAGAATCGAGTATTTTATTCATTATTAATTCATTATAATATTTTACATAAATAAATTTTATTAAAAAATCAGTCTTATTATATTAACTTTTTTTTTTTTGTAGCGCGTCCTTAAAATAAAATCATAACGTAAAATTTCCCCTTGATCGTATTTATTTTGATTGTGTTTGTCAGGAAGCAAAACGAAAACTAACGGTACATAATTTTGATTTTTATAACCACAAATTGTAAATAATTGAAAAAAATATTTTGTGCAATAATATGAAGTACGGTCTACTAATATTTTATTCAATAGAATAGAGAAATTTTAAATTAGTTACACATGAAAATACTATAATAAGATAGCCTGGCTATCTTTACCATTTAATAAAACAAATAATTGTTCAGAGCGGTTTTTTTTTATGTTCATTAAATTTATAGCACCAACAATTTCATCAATACTTATAGCCAATAATGGCAAAATTGATTTTCATGTAGTATACACATTTATTCTAACATAATTAAGGTCAGTTGTATGTAAACTATTTTCGTTATTCAAATTTTTAAAGACATTTAAAATACATTTCGAATTTTTGTCATCAATGTTGTCTGCGCTAATCTTTATTTTCTGTAAATTATTTATTTCTCGACGATTCAATGCTGTGTACGTACCTTCATTGTGACTATGGTTCTAAACTAAATTTGTTTTATTTCTCTTGTTCTCAGTATTATTCGAATACGTTTTACTTTTACACTTATTTATGATGCCACGTTTTTTTGGCAACTTTTTGCAGTATGATGTAAGCAAGATTTAAATTTATTCGTTATTAAAATTGTTTACCATTTTGGCTATGCCCCATTACCCCTATACGAAGTGGGAGATCGGGTCAAATGAATGTTTAGAACGAAAATGACCTGCCTCAAATAAATGGAAAAAAGGCGAAGGAGAAAATAAAAAAGAAGAGAAAAAGATTATTATCTATTATACTTTGAAAATATTATTGTTATTTGTATTATATAAAAATGTATGTACATTAATATGCTGTATTAATGGAATCTAGGTAATAATAACCATCGAAAAAATATCCAATTTAAAACCGTCATCCATTTGTATTTATTTGTTTTAAGAAAAAAAGTATTCAGATCCAAACCTGAGTTAAGTAACTTATAATCTATTAAGTCTATCTATCTGAATAAAAAAAAGATAGAAAAAATCTAAATTTCAATTTTTATTTTTTTTTTTAACATAATATGTTTATTGCCGATTTAGGAACCATGTTGAAGTCAAAATTGAGCAGAAGGACTAAGTTTCGAAATATTAGCTTTTTGAAGTTCTGATATTATGTGGATGTTGTATGTTATGTTAAATTACTTTACATTGTCCCTTCTAAAGCATATTTGTCGTGATCTAAATGGTTATTCATGCCTATTACCATCCTATGGGATCTCCGAGTTCAAACCAGTGTGTCGAAAGAAACTTTTTTGCATTTTTTCTCCCCTTTTACCTAAACGAGAAAAAAAACAAATGCATTTTGGGTGTACCTAGAGACCCAAGTCATCGTTCGCTTAGACTATTTTAATCGCAAAATACCCCTCGATTTGTTGTGCAAACTTTTCTACCAGAAATCTTTCTCTAATGTATTAAGTGTAGCTTATTTTCTGAAAAGAAATTTTATCTACATGATAATTTAGGTAGGTCGCTTTTTAATTTTTCAAGCGGTTTTCATAATATCTAAAAATAAACCGGAAAAACGGTAAATGTAAGAAAAGTAGGTATTAATAAAACAATATTATGGAATTTTTTTTCTGTGTACAACTTTTCTACCAGCAATTTCGCTCTGATTTAAAAATTATAGCACTTTTTCTGAAAGTAAATCTGACTGGAAAGGTACTTTGAGGAGGCAATTTTTCGATTTTCCCAGGAGTTTTCTCGATAAATGGGAAAACCAAGGAAAAACATGGGAAAAACGGTAAAATCGGTACAATATTAAACAAGTATTATTAAAGACCATATATAATGCCTAATTAATTATTTTATAATAAAATAACATATATTGTTGATAAAGCATCACTATCAACTGAACGGCACTCAGAATCGTATTTTTGTTAGCAATGGTTTATCGTTGCTTACAGATATACATTAAATGACCTATAACAGTGGCTGCACCTGTCTCGATTATCCTAGAACGTATTTTTTAAAATTTATATATACCTATATAGTATATATTTTAATATATGTAGTGATATTGGTTTACGTGTATTTTTTTAATAAATTTACGGTACAAAACAGTTATACGGCCATCCTAACACACGTTCCACGACAGTGTTCATTTATTCATTCAAGTCGATGGACTTAAATCCTATTACAAGAATTGTATTATATTTCGGTGTAAAGTATTGTATTGTTGTGTTAAAATTATTTACAGTTTACATTAATATACAAAAACAGCTGTAAACATATTTTAAACGAAAAAATCAAAATGACAAATAATATATGTCTACAATTTACATAACAATAAAGTGAGACCTGTTAAATAATAATGTGTAGTTAAATGCGTTAACAAAACAAGATTTAATTAAATTAAATCGTTTTGATGAAAATCACTAGAAGTCGACCTCTATATGTATTAACTATTTTATTATAGAAACCAAATAAAACTCAAATAGTTATTTTGATCTGATTTTTATTAAAACAAGTGTATTAATATCGAAATAAATTTATTTTCTCCGATGTCCAAATAACTATACAAGAGCCGAAATTCGATAAAATTAAATAGTTTTAAAAATCTCCAAATTCGTTCAATTTAACTTTTAAAATCATTATAGTATTCTGCAGGTTTTGTATGTTAAATGGTCTTTATTCGATTGAAATAACCTTTAATACTTAAGGATCGAATTTCGTATTATTCGTGTATTGGAAATTCAACTCTTAACATGAAGATTCGTGACAAGAAAAATAGCAAATAAAAGTAAATCATGAATACTTTGATATGAATAAAATTGCATATTGTTAAACTATAAGTGAGATTAAATTAAAAATCCGCAACTACAATATCACTTTATTCATTTCTGACTATTCAAATTCACACGCCTATTTTTGGAATAATTAAATACAATAATTAAATTTATCATTCGGGGTCGGAGGATTTGGAAATCAAAAATTAAATTGGTGTACCGGGTATACCCAGCTTAATATGCTGTTAGCGCACGTAGTTCATAAATACGCGGTTGCTGATGATGCATATTCGATGTGGATAATAGCTGAGTAAATATAGGTATTATATTATTATTTTATTCATTAAACTATCGCGTGTGACTTAGTCATAATGCGACCAGGATTCGGAATAATTTAACAATCATTAAAGTCCGCGACATTGTGCAAAGACGGCAGTATATACATTGAAAAGAAGTAAGATTATTTTAATTTTACGGGAACAGAATTTCTATAATACTATATTTTTCTATAATTTCTATAATACTCAAAAAACAAAAACGTGACGTTGCCAAAACGCAAAAGATCGAGGTAATATTTCAGTTTCTTATAAAAAGGTGGAAACATTTTTTTCTTGAATTTAAACATAACTATATAATCTGTATCTATGTTCTATATTTTAAAAAAGTGAAACAATAATGTATGTAATTTCACTATGTCTAATGTCTACAATATGAATATTGTAATCAGAACGAAATTGGTCAGACTAAATATAAATATTACATACTAATATATAATTTCAATAAAAAAAAAATAGGAAATATTTAAGTTTCAATACCACGGCGAAAGTATCGATTAACATATAAGCCAATTATGGTTATAAATTGCATTTGGATGCGAGTGTATACCCCACCAGCCCACCCCAAATGGTAACCCTGTATAGAGTATATATTCAATATACGGCGTTCTTATGTTATTTTATACATTTTATTTTTTTTCTTCATGATTATTATTATTATTATTGGTTTATAAACCAAAAACTAATTTCATTTTATTTCTGTATATTTAAGCACAGATAAAGATATTTAGAGGCTCCAAAGCTAAACTTATCAATGAGGCCCAAAAAAGAATAATACAAAAAATTGCTTTAATATTAAGCTTTAACTTGAATTTTTTCACAAAGGCGGGTATTATAGTGTATCTAAGAAAAGGAAAAAAATCTAACAATTACAATTTTCTAAAATTTAGTTCCACTTAATAAGTGTAAGTATTTTTCAATTTTCATATAACTTACATATTGTACATCATTTTTTATGTTTATAAGGGTGTTGAATCCAAATATTATTATCAGGTTAGAAATCAACTTCAAATTAAGAGTATTGTGAGGTGGTTGAAAATAATTTGATTTTTCTAATATTATTATCAAAACATTTATAGTATTAAATTACAAAATATTGATAGTAAGTAATAACCTAAGTTTTCGAAATTCATTTATTTCATTTGAGTTATAATTGTAGGGTAGATTATTTTTTTTATTTTGTTTATTTGTTTGACACCCCAAAGAGGTAATGAGTACAGCTAATATTACTTTTACAATTAATAAATATTTAAAACTATTTAAACTAATATTATACAATTATTTCAATATTCTTTTATCTGACAAGCGAATCGGAACAAAAATCAAAGTTCAATATACTGTTACAACGGACCAAAAGTCGATACTCTGGGTTGTTAGTAATTAAGTTTCTAGAGCAATGAAGAACAGAAAAAGGAGAGTTATTCCTCGAATTAAAAGATGGTACCTTAAAATTATTATTTTTTTAAATAAAACTTGGGGCGAAATAATAGTCCATTAATTAATTTGTAAACAAAAGCTACATAATTAAAGAAGCGTCTAGAAGCTAATGACTCAAGACCAAATTCCTCAGCTAGAACGTCTAACCGACATTAGTCTTTCCCAGTTTAAATTCCATTATCCTCAAAAAACGTCGCTGTGATTTATACAATTAATACTATAAATTATAGCAATTATGAAATTAAAATCAAAAATAAAAATTGATCTTTTTTGAGCCTAAGTATACGTTGTACAATATCGCATAATTCCCAAATTCAATATCCCTTTTCTTAGTGAAATTCTAAATACGCCATTGTAGCACCGTGTGTATATAAAATATTTTTTCTCGAACGAAAAATAATCGGCTTAACAAAACGAAATCTATACATGATATATAAAGAGAGGAATCGACTTATTCGACTTTACAAGTATAAGTAGATAAAATTATGTAGGTAAATCCGATCACCCCTCCGTCATTACATGAAAGCATATTATACTGGCTACGGGCTAGGTAATTTATTACACGTTGTATCTACAGATTAAATTTACTCGGTTCGATATAATAATAATGGATCTCGTGAAAATCGTATATTACGTATAATGACTAGCGGTTACAACCTACAAAAGCAGCACGTGCTTTTGGAGGTAATCTTTACCTTTATATATTATTGAAACGTGAGGCAATTTCTTTGGATTTGAAGTTTTATCGTACCGATTTGCGTGATATTTTTCAGACGCTAGTGTTCTATGTGACCCATTTTATGATAGAAGTTCCAAAAATTGATTAATTAAAGAGTTATAAGAATTAGTTTTCTGTGTAGTGACGTATGTTTCCTGCTACATGCATGCACACATGCTCATAACCTCTACTACGTCTTCTGCTGCGTCACCGACAAATATATCCATGACCCCCACTACTTCTACGACTACAGCTGCGTTATCAAGGGAAAGAACGCCATCTACTTTTTATCTCGAAATTTAATTCCTAAAGGGTAGCTTAATACATTATCTTTACTATTTTTGAAACAAAAGTTAATTTTTTTTTTTTATTTATATAGGTTACCTTGATGATATGGATAATATACGCGAATATGGTAAATACCCTTTTAAAAATATAAAATACCAGATAAAAACGATTAACTGTGATAGAAATATGAATGGGAACGGGGAAACACGTCGAATTGATTTTCTTTTATTAGTTTATGTTTTCGAAATGATTGATCCCGGGAAATAAGAAATATTACAGTTAGTAAATTTAATACATAGTGCTTCCACTCATCGTTATCATGAACACCTGTACAGTGTACATACCTTGCACGCGTGGTAGCAGAAAAACCAAAGAATTATTGAAACACACATATATCAAGAAAAACGAAAACAGATTTTGTCCAACATATAAATTTGGTAACGTATTCGGTCTAAATGACATAAGTGTATGTATTATTCTAACAACTGAAAATTTAAATATCTTTATATTCTAAATATCTCTAAAAGAGGTATTATTTTTTTGTCAAAATGGCCATTTAATTTTATAACTTACGCATTAAGCCATTTAGAAATCCATAATTGAGTTAGAACATTTACAATTTAGACATTTAACAATATCATCGAAATTTAATTTCATTGTATGGAAAACTACACAATATTGACTTAAGTTCTTCTTCTCTGGGACCAATGGTTCGACTAAAGGTACCTTTATTTTTGAATACATTAAATGTATACATCTATAATACTATCGCGATATACATATTAATTACTATAATAATAAATTAATAATTTATGTACATAATGAATAGGTACCTAGCGATCAAAATGTTTTACTAAATAAATCTTCTCTATATATACTCGTACACTTTCCAATATAACATCTAAACTTTAAAATTCTATCTTGTAAAATAATAAATGGAAGTTTTTCTTTATATGTGTAGTTTGTTTCTATGATATAAATTTATATTAAATTAATGGAACAACAATTAATAATTGTTACAATTGTGCAAATTATTATTATGGACCAATAATTATTATTATTATATATACCAATAATTACACTACTAATAATTATATACTATGGATATAATTTGTTAAAAGTTGAAATGAAAAATTGACCAGGACTATGAAAAGTTGAGACGTCTCAACATTCTGTTGAGTGGTTAATAAACCCTTAAGAAGTATAATAGCGTGGTAGATGGAAGAGGGTATGACATCTACTAAAATGGAAGGTAATACGAAGAGATAGAAAAGAACAGATCATGATAATTTAGGGATTCGTCAAGAAAGGAATTTATGATTAACTGAAGTTTTTATATTAAGTGCGGAAAATATAAGAAAACAGTCATAATTAGAATGTTTGATTTTTAATTTTAAGTCAGTAAGCACTATAAATCCGTTCTATACTCACTCTATTTGTAACTGATCACGGGCCAAGTATGGATGCCAAATAACTGTCACTTATTCCAAGATAGAACGAACTTATAAGAAGTAGAGAGTACGAAGAAAAGAATTAGAAGTGAAGTTCATAGAATTACGATTAATGAATCCTAATAATTTAAGTATGCTTGCAATCGTGGCATTGATATAGTGGTATAAAGAGAGAATTGGAGTTAATAAATACCTAGGTCTTTAATAACAGATATGAGATCAAGAAAAGAACCATTGAGATAATTGAAGTGAAGGAAAATATGAGTTAATCCTTGAAAATAATATTACAAAGGTAATATTTTTTGTTGAGAATGAGATTGTTGAGAGTAAAATTAACACAGTAAGAATACTTTAAACTTACTAGTTTACTGAGGTCTATTCCGGATCATTTTTATGATTGATTATTCAATTATTGATATCATTGCTTTCAGTATATAAACTAAATAACCCTATTATATCTTTTACTTTCTTAACTTCTCACCTAAAACAGACAAAACATTGGTCTAATACGTTTGGTTTAAATCATGTATAGATTTGTTTTATCGTTATTTCCGAAAAAAACTTCGCATTTAAAAGAGACGGACTCTAATTTTAAAGAGCAGTGCAATAATACCATAAATAGTGTGAGCAGATTATATATTATATAATTTGTATAAATATTTTTAATTATTTTCTATTTTAATTTTACAGACATTTGAAATCCTAAACATATTAATGTACATTTAGTATTAATCGTAAACTATCACTATTTTAACACCATGCTCTACGACACTGCATTGTAATTTGAAACAACCACAATACAGAATTAATAAATAAATCGAGCAGAAACTTTTCCTTTTTGGGCATATATAATTATTGTGCTATTAAATAACAATCCATTATCCGTACTGTGATTATTATATTCTGTTATCACGCGCATATTAGATATACGTATACATTTTATTTATTATTGTTATAATGGAAAAGTTAACTAAACGTACCTACTTATAATCCATTCGACTGTTTATTGAATACTTACTGGCTATTATTACAATTACTGATATTATGAATAATGTTGATTTAATATTATTCACTGTGTTTGTATATTATAATTTATAACTCATTGATAACGAATATTGTTAATTATTATTATTATATTTATAATTCAAGCTATAAATAGGTAGGTAGGTAGGTACCTACTAAAGAGTTAATAGTTAATCAAGGAAACATTTGCCATTTCTTTCTTTCTAACGGGCAACAACGAAAATATGTACGTGAAAAACAAATAAAAAGACCTTTATAACAGGTTTTTAAAAAAAATAAATATAACACCTATTATACAATTTGAAAGGATAACATTTCGCAGAACGTCTCTGCGTTTTACAACTTTCTAAATATTTAATTCGTTATCGAAATTACAAAAAACCGTTTTCATACATTTTTTTTTCTAATAACCATAACTTTATTAATAATCAAGGGCCTTACCGGAAAAACTCTAATACCTTGTAGAATATGGTTTGATTCTAATGATTATATTTTGTTGGAGAGAAAAAACTTTTTACAGCACTCATTGAACTCAGTTTTTCAGTATTTTAATCTCAAACTTTATACTTTTATAATATCTTTATTTAAAAAAGCAATTTTAAGTTTTTATTTTATTGACTTAATAAAATCAAATAAAAAACTGAGTTCAATGTGGGCTGTATAATATCGTTGAATAAAAAATATATTGATATATAAATATTTAATTAAATATATTAAATTGCCAAAGAGTTAGGTACCCCTATCTCCGTAGAGTTACATTCATCCGTAAAAACGTCTATACATCTCCCCATTAAATGGGAATCGGACAGTAAATTCGTAGAAATATCTTATTAAGCTGGCCATAAAAATATTAAAATTTATTTTCAAATTCAAGTTGAAAACAAGTTGAAAAAGATTTGGAATTCGGTAAATTTAATTGTTGATAACGATTTGTTCAACTATATCAAAATTGTAATCAGTTTTTATTAACCGTTTTTAAATACTAACTAGGCACTGAAAATAAAGTTGGGGAAAAATTAAAGTTAAATATGTTTACTGTTTTCCATAGTTAATAATCACCCATGTAAAAGTTTTGATAAAAATAATTTATATATTTTAATTAATCTTAAATGTAAAAATGATTTATATTTTTCCTTTAAATTGTGGTTACTTTTTATTTTCACATGTATGTATACTGAACCAGTTTCTATAGTAACTACTGTTCGTTATCCTCGTGACAACCATATTCTATACAGCCTTTACACTTATTAATTTTTGTGTTTTGTTTGTTTTAAATTTTTTTTTTATTTCATTCCTATCGACAAAGTAACTCATATGTCAACAAAAATAATTCGATTTTCGTATCAAAATACCAGTAACCCAGTAATAGATACACTTCAGACAGAATTTCCGGAAAGAAAATATGACCTATACGTTATTCCTAATCTTTAAATACATCTATGCAAAGTTTCAAATCATCAATACATTCAGTAGTTTCGGTGTGAAGAGGTAACAAATATCCATCCAAAAAAAACCGTTCATATTTATAATTCTTGTGGGCTGCCTACTAAGGACTTTAGTAGATAGACAAATAATATCGTAAACTTTTTTGTAAGGTTTTTTATAAGATATACAATTTTGGAACATATTATTTTAATGTATCTAATGAAGTTTATCCAGCGTAAGTAATGTAAACAACCGAAACAATTTTTTCTACGTTTTGATTACAAAACATCGACTTTTCTCTATCTTTTATAATTATATTATGCATGTATTACACACATAAAAACCTTTCAAAAGAAATTCTCTAAATTGTGAAAACCGTATTAAATTCCTTTGCGTAGTTTATAAGAACCAAGCACACAGGCAGACGCGGTATTGATCTTGTTTTATACTATTTAAAGGTTGGTTTAATAATCAATAATATTCAATAGCAAGATTAAAAAAACAAATAATACTATTCCACTCATATGTATTTTTCGTTTGATATAATTTATCGTTGCATAGGCACAGTATATAAATTAAACTACTCTGTATAGCCTACGTTCCCAACTACCCACCTACAACAGTGGCGTATATTATATAATATTATTATATTCGTGTTTATAATTGTTGAGTCGCATTATAATATGTACTTACGGTTATAATTTATATTAATATACGCACAATGCAAAGTAAAACGAAACAAATTATTATTGTTGTTTTTCCCTCGGCGCTTGTAAACTAAGTACTAAAATGTTCAAGTTGTCAACAGTTCTATAAACCGTGACACAAAGACACATGATTGTCTGAACGCACATTTAATACGCGTACAAATTATATAGTCTAATATATAGTAATATTCAGCGGAGAAGGAATCGTTAAAATTGCGTCTCACACGAAAACCTACCATCTTGAATTTATATACTTCTACTTTATTGCGACCAATCGCATGTTCTATATATATATATGTACACTAATACAGTTAGCAAACAGTATACTATCGAGTTATTTTACTTATGTATTATTATTACTATTATAATCGATCGTGTACCAAAGTTTGTTGTGTATCAAGAATTCACTGAAACGCATTAAAAGTGCTTAATATTATTAGTAAAACATAACGGAAAGTATCGCGAACGACCAGGCTCATCGAGGTATAAGTTAGGTTAGGTATCAGTTATGACTAACTAATATTATGTATACCCGGTCGGTTGTAATGTAGGGAAGAAATGAGTTAACCTTTTCTTTTGGTCAGTTTGCTGAGATTCAAGCGCGAGTAATATCGGTACCTATTATACAAGTAGGAACAGCGAAAAACAAACCCGAAACATTTTATCGATTTTCAAACACTTCCGAGTTATCGTCATCGTATTTTCCCGTGTATAAGTTAGATTCAAATTGTTATAAATGTTGTAATACGGTATTAGGTTGTAAATATTATCCATAGGGTACATGTTAACATTCCGGGATGCGTTTCGGTATTTAGTTGATTCTTGTCGGTAAATTCAAATTTACCACGATTATCGTAGCACGGTGTTTTACCATGTACGTTATGGTTACGTATCATATTGTATTGTTGTTATCAATATATTATAGGATTTAAATTATTTGGTCAAGGGGTCTTCGATAAATTATATTCGTTTGTCCAAATGAAAACTAAATCGAAAATAACTCTTGGTTTGATATACAAAATCACGCCGGGTAGGTTACAGGAAAATACTACGAAAAAAAATGTGTTCCGTGATTATCAATATCGAACCCGACTTCAATGGTTTCGTAATTCTGTGTTACCCCACTGAGACACCATACATCAATGCTTCGAAAAAATATCGATATTATAACCACAAGATTACAAGAACAATATAATATGGCATTTCTGCTCGCACGCGATTGAAACGGACCAATCACAAACGGAGAATATTTTCTAGGTGCTGAAACGGATATCAGAATGCTTTTATGCCATCCGGGTCAGCTCGTAAAATGTTTTGCTGTTGGAATCAAACATTGTGGCTAATTAAATACAACCTATGTATAAGTAATAATAAAATATTCACGTACAAAGACAAAAAATTGTTAATAAACCACGAAGAAATTGTTTTCAATTAAGCACAACTTATAATGTACCTCCTGTTAAATTTTAAAGTATTTCTGTTTAGTCTAGCATTTTTTTACACAAAGTACCTACCCAATAAAAATTACACAAAATGTCTATAAATAACTCAAAAATGACTCAAATGTTTTAAAAATTTCGCCCATTAAAGGAAATATAAGTTTTCTGTTCAAATTTAAAGTAGAAATTATCACAATATAAAAAAATAAACATCATTATCTAAAAGAACATGAATAACATATTTAAAGTAAATAAGCAAAATTTATAATATTATATCGTCTACAAATTATGAGATTGGAATGGTGTAAAATGTGTATATTATATAACATGATATTATAATAAATCTAAATTATATTTGTATTTAGACATTTACTATTTTTGTGACTATAATTTTATTTTTAACTTTCATAAGATAATATTATACTGCAAGCTATATATTTCAGGTCGAGATATTTAGTGTGCGAATGTATGCAGCATACCTAATTAAAGAATATAGGATTTTTTTGTATTGTTTAAAACATATTTTCATGAAAAATACAAAACTTTTCAGATTTGATTTAAGATCATTTTTATTTAAATATCTTTTCTATTTATTAAATATAATTAAAAATCGCCATATGTAATGCATGATTAAACATAAAACGCATTTAATACATATCGTAATAAATCCCTTAAATTCAAATAATTATTAAATTTCAGTCGACACACGTTTTAATTTATTATTATCTGTGAGGGTTTTCGTTGTTAGTTTAAAATTCACAAGGTGTACTATAAATGGCTTGAGTGCCAAAATGAGACCGACATGTCCAAACTAATAGGTTATGTGTTGATTGACGCAAGTTCCAGAGATGTTTTATTCACCTGCCTTACCTTTTATATTCGAGAAAAATATATTCACTGAATAAATTTGTTATCATTTCTGCTTGAGCTGTCACTTGTAAACATAATAATATAATATGAAATCAATTTAATTTAAAACGTTAAAATTAGAAATAGGATATAGTAAAAATGCTCGACCCACATGGAGCACAAATTTATTTTGAAGTAAAAATAAAACAATACAACAAAACAATGATAACTAAAACCGCAGATGAAAATAAAAAAAAAATAAAACAAGATTTGTTCATAACCAACTTATGTTTTTTGTATAGATAATCAAAAATATTATGTTCTTTGGTATGCAAATGTTTTACGATTATTTTACGGTAATTTTACCTAGTTTTTCAACAACAAATTGATGCCCTTGAAAATTAGAAGATTTAAGATTAAATGTTACGAAAACACATTTTATTTTTCAACTATAGTTTAACGCCGTAGTTATAATAAAAAACACTAGGATTTTATTCAAAATTTCGACTTAATCATCGCTATGTATATGATAATTTACAAGAAACTTTTAATTTATCCATTCGTGTTATATCATCCCACTCAATACAATAATATTCTCCTTCCCACTTATTTATTTATTCATTATATTTAATAACAATAAAGATAGGTATAGTCTTATATGTTGGGCAAATTCTGAAAATTACGAACAAATAACTGGATATAACAACATATATGACTTAAATTATTTCAGTAAAAACAAAAAAAAAAAAGTTAATAGTTTTATTGATAATATCCTAAAACAAATTTATTTGTACTATAGAAATATAATAGTTGAGTACAATATTATGTATAATCTATAGTTTATTATACTGTTGTATATTTATAATAGAAATCTATTATGTTTATGAACAATAACTTCTATTTTAGCAATTTATTAGGGGATAAAAATCACCGTCTCTCTTCTTTAACCTTAAAATATTAGTTTTAATTCTTATTCATAAGAGCATATTCTGTGAACCTAACCCAAACTATATTCTTAATTACGAGTACATATAAATAAATAAGTATTGCCAGGCCAAGCAACCGTTTTATATTACAACAACAATTCAATATTATAAAATATACAAAAGAATGGAATTCTCTTCCTATATATATTTTGAATAATATTGAGTATTATTGTTCTATCTTTAGAATGAATTTTTTAAAAGTGTATTGACATTTTGGACAGATTGACTTCTATAAATTCTATCTTAATAAATTATTGAAAAATATCATCTATTATAAACTATCCAACAATTTTCTAGACGTCTAGTATCTATTTCAAATCTATACACTCGTCCAAATATCTAACAAAAATGACGATATTGAAATAAATTTGCTATGTACACTTAAAAAAGACGACTTTAAATTAATCGATATTTTATATATAATAAACTATCTTCAACATTATTAATTCTTTCGATTATTCTTTAACATAACTTATCGTTTCTATCAAAGTACTCGATGTATAATAGATGTATAAAAATAAAGCTATCACATTAAACACATTTATTTATCACTGAAAATGAAATTTACTTTTACTGATTTAATTTAGATTCTGAAAGAAACAAAAAATGTATTGGTTTTACTATGATGTGTGCGATTTATTTACAACTTTTCTATAAGAAATCATAATTCAGTTAAAAAATGACTAGAGACCTTTTTTGTTGCATTTTGAATCTTGTTTATGCATTGAAAAGGCTGTTTTTTTATTTTTTCAGCAATTTTTTTAATAGTTAAGAAAAACCGGTAAAAATGTAAAAGAAAAACTGACAAATTTACAATACATTCACGATTGCATTATCAAAAATGTTTTAGTTTTATATACTAGAAATCTTTATCCAATCGAAAAACAACAATATAACTTTTGCTAAATTTTAAACCTAGTTGGTCTATAAAAAGTCTTGCTTTGATTTTCCAAGTTTATGACATTAACAGTATGTACAGATTTTTAACATTTTGTAGTTTTTTTAGATTTATTTGGTTTCATCACACAAAATTATTAGATCAAAAAGATATTCTTGATAAACACAACGTTTATTATAAAAAAAAAAAAAATTGAGCGTAATGTGATAGTTTTTTTTTATAAGCGTTTTTAAATTCAAATTTTGACCAAAATACTAAAAATTACAGCATTTAAAAAAATGTATAACATAAAGTTCTCTCAAAATTGTTTTTCAATAGTAATAGACAAGTTTATCGTTTCGTACAAATATAAAGTATATATAACTTTATGTAAAATATCTTCCTAACTTTTCACTTACAACAGTGACACAACAAGTCTCAAGTATCAGCTGTTGGGTCAGGTTTTAACTTAGACAATTAACAATTGCTTATAGACATTTGAGTTTTTTTAGTTTTTATTTAGTTTAATAAACAATTGTTTGGCCACATAGAAATGCTTGAAAATTGAATAAGAATTTCATAATATTTTTAACTTTGTGGTAAAAAAAAAAAAGTTTAGTAAAATGTAGTCGTTTTCTTTTTACTTTTAACCTAACCTAAGCATATTTTAAGACTAAATTTTGATGATTATCGTAAAAATCATAGCATTTCAAAACATGTAAAACTAAACTTCCCTAAATAGTCAATTGTTACGAACAGATTTTAATTAAATAACTTTATGTACCCTAATTTTGTTACCTATAAGACTATAACAATGTCACATTCATCTCTAGTATCTTTTTATCTTTCGGCTCACTCTTTTTTTTTTTATTTAAAGTGTTTTCAATATTTTCGGGGTGAAAAAATTTTACTAAAATATTTTGCTTCAGATTTTAAAATAATAATATTTTACCTCAATACTATTCTTTATTTATTTATCTATCTTTATGGTTTGAGCATTTTTAACAATTTTAATCGATTATTTCAATTAAAATTAAAATAGCAACATTTAATATATTCCATTTTATAAAAAAATTTAAATTACCAATTTTTAATAACTAAATTATAATAATTTGTTATTATTTTTACAAAATAACAGTGGTGTTACCTTAGCTTTTTTTACGGGGGGGGGGGGAAATATATTTTCACCCACTCTTAAAATAGAAAATTTCTTTAAAAAGTAACATCAAAGTTACAAACATTTTATTAGTTTACACGGGATTTGCGCTCTTTTTTACTTGTAAAAATATAATATTTGTTTACATAAAATAATACATTTTTATTTAATAAAATCTAATATTATAATGCATGTTATAAATGTAAAATACAAAGTCTAACCTCCGGTTTTTCATAGAAGAAAATGGTTCAATGATGTCCACCGGTACACTTATATTCTGATAAATATGCAACATTGAAAGCCCGCATAAACGATACTAGTACATTTATTTTGTAACTAGAAATCAATGATAAAAGGTAACGGTTAAACCGCCAAAACGAAATGATAATACCGGAAACCTTGACCTGGTTCGACCATAGAGAACAAAAATATTTTAATATCTATAGATTTGACCATGTTATCATATTATTAACTACTTCATGAAAAAAATTTTAAATATAATTGTAAAAATACTGAACGCATATAAAAATACACACACATAAATTATGCGGCCTGCGGAGAGATGAATGTTCCCTTCGACCTCCTCTACAGGTACGACACTGAAAAATAAAAAAACTATTGGGGTAAATTTATGTGAGTATGTGACACTAAACTGTGCATGATTAATTTTTTTTTGTTAAATGTGTTCAAACTCTACCTGCCACACAGTAGTCGGAAAGGTTAGGTTGCACCTTTAGGTGGACAAAATGGAAAAAAAATTAGTTTAAAAATAAAATAGGTATTTAATGTATGGTATTTCACCTATACAATGTTAATATGAATATTTAATAGCATCTGATACACATATATTTCAGTAATAATCACGTCAAAACCCGATTAACTATATTTATTTATTTATTTATTTAAAACAAAATATTAAATAAATATAACACAATAAAGTGTAGAATATAACTAACTAATGCAAATGAAATGTTTAGAATTTCTATCATAGTGAGTAAAAGTTAGTACTCTGTTGTTCGTGTTCGAGGCACTTTTATAAAATTGACCATACGCTAATTGTATTTCATTGCGGAATTATACAAAGAAGGTAAGTACTAGTTTACAATGTCGTATTTTCAAATTTTTGTAGGGGGGGAGGTTAAAATTTGCCTACAAAATAAGTGATTTTAGAATATTATAAAAAATACACATAAGAAGAAAACCGAAAAAGTAATTATGAAGAATTATTTTTGAAATTACCATAAAGAAATGGTCCGCAATGAATCGCGTATAAATACTATTATCGTTCAAAAATCTTAAATCTTTTATAAAAACACATTTAATGTTTAAATATTAAAAATATAATAATTTTGTCAGCCTAAAGTTGTATTCCCGACCACTATGCACCATGAGTATTTATAGATACTTAAATTATTACATTATAAAGAATTTTGAACTATTTAACATCAACATATCATTTCAATTTCGAATATATTTTATTAAACTTGAATTGAAGATAGGAAGAATTATTTTATGTTTTTGCAATATTTTATTTTTAGATGTACCAAACATAATCTAAAAGTTTCATGTAAACCTTATGTATGGATATTGAACATTAACACAAATGGCACATTAAAATAGTATTTTTCAAATTTTCTTACAAAAATATGAAAAACATTTTAAAAAACTGTACGCAAACTTTTAAATTTACGACACTCATTTTCAAGAGTATGTTCACAAAATTCTCAGATTTTCTACGCAGAATTGTTTTTGAAAACTAATTTATTGTTAGGCACTCTAAAATATTAAATATTAATGCAATATTGGCCAGAGTATAATAGTGGTAAATCAGTACGATACCTAAAATATAGAACAACTTTTTATCTTCATGTCGTACAAATAATTTAGCTCTATAAGCTTTACAAAAATTATTTTATTGAAGTATAAAACAAAGTCGTTACAAATGATAACTAAACATGTGCAATACATGCGACCGAATAACATCATAAAATATGTGCAAGTATAAAATTTTACAAAATTAAGCTCTATATAGTTATATATCGAAAAATGAAACCGTGATTTTAATCGAGTAAAAATAGTAATCGATACAAATTATTATGTTAATAGATAATATGAAACAGATAATTTTGTTGTAAAATAATGATTGCACAAATATTAAATTATTAGCCCACGTAAATACTGTGTAGATTGTAGATATAGCCAAGAATCAAGATAATTCTCAAGTACCTAGTCCTCCTTTATTTATATCTATAAACTGTTCGTGATTTACGGTTACCTACCTCCTAAACGAGTCCAACGGACTCGATGAAGAGACAAATAAAAATCTGTTTCAGTTTTATTCTCGTATTTAATAGTTTAACTGATTTCCTGTATTTCTTCGCACTTCTCTTTTGAAACCGAATTCCTTTGTACTCCTTGTAACTATCCTTATCTCCATGTCTATCAAGATTTGTTTCTTGTAACTACTTTATCCTTGGTCTTCCTTTTCCGGTATAACCTGTGACGCATTTTGTTAAACTATCGAGACGTAGTAAATCTTTATATTTCTCCTCATTCTTATATTGTGTTTTTTTTGTTTCTATTATTTCTGTCCATGTCTCTAGTTTTCTTTCTTTTGTACCGATTATTCAAGTTTCGCATAATTTTAGAAACTTTTTCTCACCATTAAAATCACACTTTATTTTTATCTTAAAAAGCCCATTTTGCCATGTATTATCCTGATAAATTACCTATGTCTGTATAAATAATTCGTAAATAATTGGAGTATTGTTCCTATTCTATGTATACATTATTTTATTATGTGCACATATTTTTATATTTTTAAAATGAACAGGGTTTGTTTTGCTACACACCATAACTTTTGTATTTTTCTAATTAATCGCATTTAAAGACTAAAATTAGCGGCTAGGGAACTTAGTTTTCCAAAATAATCCAAAGTTCCCACTAAAATGTATATTTTAATTATATCACGTTGACACAATATATCTTAATCTCCTATATTAAGTTTAAATCTTTAATCTGCAATCTAAACATTTAAAACACTGTTATGGACAGTGGTTTGACACAAATAGGCTATGATTAATATGGCAGGTAGGGAAAATGGAATAATGGATTTGTGTCGACAAAACGGGACGCATTTACCAGTTTAATTTACTACCTACAAAATATTACTATTTTTGGACCGCAAATAGCCTACAGCCTCGATGTTTTGGCGATATATATCCCTTTTAATTATAATACGTATACCTATCGGTTGTATACCAATCTAACCGACCCGACCGGACCCTTTTTCAACTGTCACCCGGAAACACGACGGCTGTGAACGCCGAGATTTATACGAAATTGATTGGGACTTTATTAATTTAATTCACGGATGTAGTATTAAACGTGTATTATATTAGTATAATAATATTTGAATTGCGAAAATCGAAAAGTACTTGTAGCTGAAAATTATAATTTCTTCCGGTATATTATGTATTGCTTATTGCTCTGTATAGGTGTCGAAATTTAACTGTCTTTCTTTACTATATTTTAAAACCAGATAATATGGGCTCTTCTCGCTCATAAAAAAATAAATAAATATAAATATCGTTTTACATGATGTGTGCACGCGGCAAAAAAAAGGAAAATACAATTTTGAAATTGCAAGCTTTCCCTCCTATATAATTAAATACGTATTATATATATTGAGAAATGTCTCAATTCAAAAAAAAATTCGGTAACACACACGTCGTGTTAAATGTAAACGAACGCACGAGATGCTGCAATTTGTATTACTATCGCAAAATGTCGTTCGCGAATCGTTATAATAACAAAATATATGTACGCATAATCATAATATTATACTCGTATAGGTGAGTAGATGAGATAAAATGTATGCACTATACTAAAAAACGGAGCATAAGTAAATATAATTATCTTGGTTTTAGTCCGTATATGTTTGAATTATACGGGATACGTATGTGTGTGCTCATCATATAAGAATACCGGGATAATAAAATTGGATTACATATGGGCGTATAGAAAAGTAGGCTACTGTTATAGGTAATGTATAATCGGGAGAGTGGGATGTGTATATATATATATCGTTGGTTCCAGGGAACAAGTCAATTTTGGCATCTTTTTTTTTTTTTTTAGATCTAAGTGACATAAGCGAATAATGTCTAACACATGTCATATATTACGACTATTAAAACATCCTAAATTACTATGATGTACTTTTTGTTTGGAAAAAAGGAATACGTCATAATATAATTAACTATATGACTTATGTAATTAAGAACGCCATATTTAAGTAAGACCAATTATTAGCCATTTAACCATTCAGCAATTATGGCATTATGTCATTTAGCAAATGAAAACTATACAAAATTGATTTAAGTCCTTATTCTCAAGGATTAAAAATATACAATAATATAGTATAAAGGATAATTTAATTTATATATTATACTGTATATACAACGAATAGTTATTGCAAATGAAAAACAATTTTATAAGCGGATTTTGTATACAGTTGAACATTTTTCGATAGATTCAAAATGGGACCTTAAAAATATTAGTTTGCTGCAAATATAAAATAAATTATAACTATCGATCGTATTTTTAACGCACTTAAATTGGAACTTGTAACGCTGATAGAAGTAAATGCCGACATTTGTATCCACATAAATCCAAAAAAAAAAAAAAGCTAGAGACTTTCAAATACATAAATGGTTACATAAATAACTCAAAAAACGCCAAAATAAAAAACAAACTGTACCACGTCAATAAAGTTCTATAATAATGAATATTCGGTAAAAATATAAAATCCCTACGATAATTTTTCACTAAATATAAACGAAACCGTATATGTTCCCGTTTTCTAGACGTGTTTTCCATTTTTAAGAAAACTACAAGGAAAATCAAAAAAATGATCTCCGAAATGCACCGACTAGACAAAATCTTCTACCAGAAATCCCCCCTATTGTCACTGACGCTGATGATCACAGCAATATTTCTGACAGAAAAATTGTTACAAACAAATAACAAAATAACTCATAGTAAAGCTAATTATAACATATTCATTGCTTCTTTCAGAATCTAAAAAAATAAAAGGCTAGGTAAACTTAGCACTTTATAATACCACGGTTCATGGCGCGACACCGGACATATAATATTAGTGTCACGTCCATGTTTAAGTAGGGGAAAAACGAATTGAGAAATACAACTAAGCCAAGCACACGCCAGCGTGAGTGACAACTTACAAAAGTACCTGTACGTATATATCTATACTATTAAAATGTAGCTGCAACGTGTCAACAATGCTCTACCCACCAAGTTGTACAAAAACCTTGAAGAACGTCGAAAAACTTAAGATCAAAAACTTTTTTTTTTTTCGCACAATGGTATAAAAAGAAAACTAAATATTAATTATAATTTAATCCGCATGTAATTATGCATCCAAATAAATTATTACTATTTTAAATATACTAGTACGTTTATATGAGTGTTATAAGTTTACGATACACGTTATAATGTGTACCATATAGTAAGGTATTTCAGAATTAAAATTTTTCTTCGGTCATTTTCGCGTTCGAATTTTTCTTATGAAAAAAACATATTTATCATGACCCACGTAAGTTAAGTTTTAAGTGAGAAGTTGGTAGCTTATAGGGTATATGATAATTTAGTTTATATACGTAGGTATGGAAAAAACGATAAATCATTGTAATCACAAAACCTTTCTAAGCACGAGCGGAATTTGATTAACTGGTAAAGTTACAGAGTATTAGACGTATTTTCCCCTTACAACAAACGTAATCCAAAAATCAACGAAAATAAAACCGATGTATTGACATACTTCGCACGATAGGGTGGGAGGGGAGAACTGTTTTAGGTGAGAAGTTGGGAAGGTAAAGATGAAATCGAATGTGTATATCTTTACCCAACGATAAACATTGCTAACAGAAAACGATTCAAAGTGGAATTCGATTATACACCACTATATACATGTATTGAAAGGCTGTAATATTTACAATAATTTGAAAATAATACATTTCGTAAATTTCCCTACGTTTTTCCTATTTATTATAAAAACTCCGGGGGAAATAAAACAGAGAAAACAGAGAATAGCAATGAAGAAAAAGTGCACTATCTTAGTAAAAAATATAACACACAATCTAAAAACAAAAATACGGTACATAAATTATATGAATGATATTTTTTTTTTGTTTTTTATAAACTATAATTTTCATATAATATACTCGTTTATATAGGTAATATGTTATAGTTTACTAATATTATAAATACGAAAGTTTGTTACGGTGGATTGTTGGATGTTTTGTTACTCCTTCACGTCAAAATTACTGAACGAATTGAATTAAAACTTTGCATAAATCTAAATCAATAATAACACGTGGGCTACTTTCTCTCCCAACAATTTAAAAAGAGGGGTTGAAACAGAGCTAATGGTACGAAAATCGAATTATTTTTGTTCCTCGCTACGCTCTGAATCTCAAAAAAGTTAAAACAAACTCAACAAAAACATACTATTATACATGTTATAAATTTGACGCTTTTGAAATTTTTGAATTAGATAAATTGTTATTAAGTCTTGAAATAACAAAAACCCTGGCTGTGAAATTTTCTGTTTATACCTATATAGTCCTAATATGGATTATATACAATGAGTGTATTATAAGATTCCGTGAGCAATATCGGTCACGTCGTGGCATAATAATAATAATATGATTAAAACGTAAATCGAATAAATCTCTCGAAAGGATAGTATAACAATTAACAGGTATAGTAAGTATTCGAATTTTGAAACCGTTAAGACTTTTGCTGTCGATCGTTAAAACTGTTAAAACACTTCGAGCTTAAAAGAACATAGAGCTTATTTCTGTTACCTAGCTCTTAATCGTTTATTACACGTTTTAATCACGATTATTTTAACCCCCGTTTTAGATGTTTTGCTCGGAGATACATAATAATACTATTATGGGATGGTCCTTGTATTTGAATTTTTGAAATTGTAATTTCTTACCCCCTCCATTTTGTTCATAGCTATTAGAAAGTTAGCTGGGTTAAGTTTGGACGAAATAGATCATCCCATTCACTTCTCATGAGATGGTTGAAAAATTACTAAAGGTGTAGTTTTCTTATTAATTTAAATTTATTTTAAAATGTATAAAATATCTATCACAGAATCGTATTAAATTTTAATTTTTAAACATACAAATTTTCTAAGACATTTTTTTTTTGGATATCCACTGTATTCCGAGAAAATCGATTAAATATTAGTACGGTTTTACTATAATACGATTACAGCTGTCCCGCACAGTATTGAATGAGGAAAAAAGGCCGGTACCGCTGATGAGTGTGCCATTACATTAGAAAGAAAACCGGAAGAGATATAGAGTAATTAAATTTATACCTGCACGCAACGATAAACCATTTCCAACGAAAAACGATTCTAAGCAGTTTTTTTTTTCTTTTTTCCACGTGGTAACCAAGGTATTCGACGAAAAAAAAAACGCATCATAAAACTCGAAGTTAAATCAATAAACATTAATCGCTTAGCTCAAGATCTAAAAATTAATTTGACAATACAAAATGATACAGTAATATTATGAGCACGGGCGAATGACAGTAAATTTCGAATAGTCTAATATTATAGGCAACATACGAATATTATACAGATACTATTCGAAATATGTTTACATAATAATTCATCGTACAATATTATTACGCTATGTCTCCGCTATTAAATATTATAAGCGATTCGGATACCCATTTAATATCACAATATGAGACGGTGAACGTACAGTGTACGACCGTTAATATGGTAAAATCGAATAATAATTCGTACGACTCGATATTATTGTATTTACGAGTAGTTTCGTATTGTACCCGCGTGCGCGCTAACTAATGTCACATAAAATAAACTCATTTGCCGGCGCGTAATGTATACTGCATAGTATTCCACTGCGCGCGAATTCGTTCGCAAACCCTGGCACCGTAATCCAAACACAAAACGCTTAATCGAATTTACAATTTTAACATGATTATTATACCCGACTACCTGCACTTGTATCCAAGCGCTGAAACGGAGTTGCGTCCGGTATAATGTTACGTTACTGGCTCGATTCGCCTATGCAATATTAAAAAAAAAATCATTGTGCGGCCTCCCGTTACCACGTCTGTTTTACCGCGCGTTCGCTAATGTGCGCCAAATTTTATACGCGATAAACAGCCCAGTCAAGAGGCGTTCGTTGCGCAGCTGTTTCCCGTGCATCCCAGACATTAAGACCGAACTCCTGTGGATTGTACATTTTTCAACGCGTGTACATCAACGATAATTCGAAATTTGAATTCACCTGTAGCCGGAGATAACAACAATCGACCAGTCGGTTACGTGCGCCTCGCGTGATGCCAGAGTTAGGGTCGATCGGACGCGACGAACGGAATGAGAATTTTTAAACCGTATTGAGGCGACGCGTGGGTATCGAACGTGCGTCTGTACGCAAAACCAAACTGAACACGAATTACGTTTACCACCGACGCGCGCTGGAGATTCCGCGTAAACGGCCGCTACGCGTACGGTCGCGCGGGGCCTGTATTATCGCGTCCGCAGTGCACGCGGGATTCGACCGTGAGAGGGCTTTTATCGCTACGACACGTCCGAAATCGAAATCGAATACAACCGCGACCGACGCCTTTCCGTAGACGGCCGTCGTGTGACCATAATAAATTACAGACGGTGTCGGTGTATGATTATGTGGCGCGCCAGGCGACGTTCGTCGCGAGACACGCGTCGGATCTAGAAAATCGGACAATCGGATCGAAATGGATTCCACTACCCACCTACAGCATGCACTACAACTGTCTGTAACGTAGTGTCGCGAACTACCGGGCGCGCGCGTGTTGACCGCGATAATTGTATTGGTTTTCGTTGCGATGGTCGGTTTTCGGCGGGAGGGCCTATCGCGATAGACAGGTATCGCACAGTCGTCACTGTCGCCGTAAGTGTTTCTCCGGTGTCCGCGCGCGAGACTACGCGGAAATTCGCGTTGCAATAATATATTATTGTATCGTTATTTTTTTCATTGGTTCGATGTCAAACGCGGATACCCGCGTAGTTGAAACGCTTCAGCGACGGGTATAGCGACGCGTAGACGCGCAATTATTACAGTTGTCGGAAATACGACGGCGGGTAATTCAAATAACGATAACAATGATAATAAGCGCCTTCTTTGCGCCTACGACAAACACGCGTCTCGAGAATCGTCGTTAAACGTCATAAACAGCGAACGATAACACAGTATACGGATGTGCGTTGTGCGCTATACGCGCATACCTTGTACCTATGTGTAACTATAAACCTATTGATTAGTGAAAAGTGCATGTTATTCTCTTTTTATCTCTAGAAACGAGACGCATAACAGACAGCGTTTGAAAAAATACCATCTAAAGACCAACGCGTTTCCCCACTCGCCGGTATTTCGGACGCGTTCGAGAAAATAATGTTTTCTATAACTCCCCGTGTTTGCTAAATCTACATTATTATTGCTTATGGGTATACTGCAGCAATAATTGTACACTCTGATAGATTAACGCCGTACGTTTACTTTGTACACTGACTAAACTTTGACACCGATTCCGTTTTTGTTGAATATTATTACGATTGAATACGTCGGTGTATATTTATTTATTTTTTTTTGGTAGACATTTTACATTCACACACCGACAGCAAATTGAACGCGATTCGAATTCGGCATTTCTTCAACACGAAGAACGGTGAATGCATTCTATCCAAACAGCGCATTTCGAAAATTATAATTTATTTATCTTGTATCTAAATGGTACACATATGCAGGCGTTTAGGTGAGACCAAACGCGACGGCATGGACACTGTTTTGGAAAAATTATTAATAAAACATTAACCGTTATTCGAATAAATTGAGATGACACACGCCGACATCATAAATTATATCACAATGAACATACCTACTGCAGATCTCTACCGATAGGAATTAAAAAACGTGTTCGATGGACTCGGTTGGTAAAAACAATCTCCGGTCGCATAATACCTACTTGTTTTTATTAATATTTATTCGGGCACGTTGGCTTACCTGTAAATGATCCAAAAACGATTCCAATCCCCGGTCGGTGACGCTTGACGACTGTAGGCATAGCGACAGTATGTTTTTGTTGGGAAACGGGTACGTATTGACGAATTCGACCGTGTCCTGGTCTAGGGCGCCGTATATGGTGACGGCCGTCATCTCCCTGGCCACAAAAGATTTGAACACGGCCGCCTTGTCCGCGTAATTGTACGACCTAAGCTGCTTGCAACGGATCACCGGCTGCACGTTGTACCAAAACTTTGGCGACCTGTAAAGCACGTCGCGCCACCGGACGCAAACCCGCGTCAGCGGTATGCGCTCGGCGGCCGAGAAGTACGTGAAAAATCTGTTCAGGAACTGTTCGTCGCGCATCAATTCCGGCCACGTGACTGGTCGCTTGATCCGGTACGCTGCCACGCGATTTCGCGGTATCGGCATCCGGCCGCGGAACCGCGGGTATTGTATCCCTCCGGAACCGCTGGGACCGAGCACGCTGCCGGTGCCACCACCGCACAGCACGTTGGTGACGCGTTCCATGACGCTGGTACCGGTGCGCGGAGTCCGGGACGGTGAACCGGTTCCACTGGATCCGGCCGTGCCTGTGCCACTGACGCCAGCGGACGACGACGAAGACGGTTTGTTGGCGGCCCGCAGCGTCAGTCCGTTAATGCGCTTGGACAATTCGGCGCTGGCACGTTCCACGACACCTTGGCTGGTCATAGTCGTGGTCGCGGTCGCAGAGTAGATGCCGGTCAATAGGCCCGTCACACCGTGATAGTGCGTCGGACGCTGCTCCGTCAACACTGACACGGCGGGGAACTTTCGCTTGCTCGTCGCCGTTGCCGCCGTCACCGGCGCTGTTGTCCACGCCGCGGCGTGCGCTCCGGGTTCGGTAGCCGCCGCCCCTCCTATTCGGCGCTGGGATTACCACCGCGCGCCGCCCATACGGCCTGGACCGATCAATAATGTACGACGCGCGCCAACAAACTACGACCACGATGTCGAGGGATGCGCGACAATAGCAGCACTGCAGTAGGGGTGCAGGCCACGGGGGTAGAGCAATATCGTTGTACTGTGTGCGCGTGTACACCCTATATATATATATATATGCGTATATTATACGGATACGAATGCATTCGAATCGCGGGACAGAATTAATTGATTTACGTGGTATTGCGAAATGTGCGCGATAATCGGACCCGGTGACTCGGATCCGGGGATGGGGAAGTGAACAGCGAGGCTCGTACACACGCCGCGCGTCCGAGAGGGGTGTCTCGGGAAATATATCAGTTCTCCCGAGTTTCTTCCGAATTACCGTGTTGTACGCGACCATACCCGCCTGTTTACTCACGATATTATATTCAGTCGCCGGCACGTTTTTATTGTTTTTAGATTCCGAGCGCAGCGAGACTACCAGTATTGGTTGGTAGCTATTATAGGTATCGGTTTTACTGCAGCGTGCTTTTGTTGATTTTATTTTGTTTGTAAACAATTACTCGGCCATCAGCATAGACTGGCCCCGATCGAAAACATCACGTGGACTGTGAATATTACACATGAAACGCCGCATCCATACAGTTGATGCGTTAAGGAGGTCGTTTTTTCGGTATATCTATACCCGTTTGTACATTGCGATATTCATAAAAACGCGGAAAACCCGAAGAAGAAAAAAAAAAAATCTCCGTCGGAAATCGTTTTGTACTTATGGTATATAGCAGGCACGTATACAGGCTCGACACCAACCCCCCCTCCCCCCACCTCACGAATTCGTTTTTTTTTGTACACGCCCGGTATATGATGGTAATCGTATAAGACAAACGATCGTAAATCGTACGCAATTGTACTGAGTAACTAGTAAGGTTTATCGTAATTTTAAGTTGTCGAAAACAAAGTGGAGCTTAACGCGCCTAATGTGTTATTTTAAAACGGTTTGATGTACGAATCTCAATGAAAGAGGTATGTCAGTGGCGGATTTAGGGAGAGGGAGAGATCCAGAAGATCCGGGAGTCCTAGATAACGATATAGTTTCGACAAAATGGCATCTAAATAAAGAGCTGATACTAGGGACGCGTGTGCCACTGTTGTAGGTGGATACCTAGTTGAGAAGGTAAAATACATGAAGTTATTTAATTTATATCTGTAATCAACGATAAATCATTGCTAACCAAAACGGAACGAAGTTCAGTTATACGAGTTTTAAAAGGCCGTAATATTTACGATTTTCCTCGAAATTTGGTATTAAAACTCTCATTACAAAAATAATATTGCATTGCACTCAATTTTATTTTTTTGACTCTTATAAGCACGACTTACAACGAACCTCCGGTAAAATTGTCAAGCATTTATGTTTAGTTTAACAATTGTATTCACAGAGTAGGTGCCTACCAAATGAAAATTACGTGAAAAACTCGAAAAAATTAAATGTCTGTAAATATCTCAAAAATAGCTCAAACGTTCAGAAAATTGTGCCACGTAGAAAAGGTAAAATTTAAAATCCCTACAAATATTTTTAACTAAATCACAACAAAAACAAAATTGAAAATAATATTATAATATCAATAATATATATATCATTAGTATCGTCAATTTCCTTGTTCTTTTTGCGTTTTTTCGGTTTTGCTCAATTATTCAAAAAAAAGGTCAGTATACTATGATACATTATTAGTGTGTGTCATCCATTCAATTCTTTAATAAAAAAATGCCGTACTGTCTTTACCAATTTTTTTTTTTTTTTAATATAAAAATTCATTACTATCCATATTAATGTAATTTAACTATTTTAATTTTGACTTAGTTGTGTTTTATATAATATATTCTGTTAGTTGTTAATGTTGAAATGTAATGATATATACGATAAATAAATAATTAGTGCAGGTACCTATGTATTTTCAAAATTTAATTTGCTTGAATTGAAAACTGTACAAAATTGACTAAAGCACTATTCTTCCTAGAGACCGAATATATTATAATTTACTGTACTACCTATAGAACTTCGCACCTACAGTAAAAGTTCATCAAGCCTACACTCACGAGATGCAGTATCAGTTGTTTATTATTATTATTATTTTATGTTCCGAGTGGAGCGAAGAAGCTTATGGTTTTACAAAGATGTTTGTATTTTTTTTTTTATCTATGCGTAACTTTTCTACCAGAAATCTTACTCCGATTTTTAAGCGTAGCACCTTTTCTGAAAGGAAATTTTCTCAGGAAGTTTCCCATCAAATGTGAAAAGCCGAGAAAAAAAATGAAGGAAAAATGGAAAAACCGTAGGAAAACCAGGAAAATCGGTACAACATTAAACAAATATTATTAAAGAAAATATTTAAAGCCTATTTAATTATTTTACTATAAAATGACATATATGTATTGTTGACAAAGTATCACTATCAACTGAACTCTGCTCAGAATCGGTTTTTCGTAAGCAATGATTTATCGTAGCTTACAGGTATGCATTAAATTATCTATAACAGTGGCTACACCCGTCCCCGTTATCCTAGGACGTCTCTTTTTTATAATTATTTGGACACCGCGGCTATAATATAATTATAGTATAGGAACGGACGATACATACTTCCAGTCTCTGTCAACCCATCATGTCCACCAAACAAAACCGACACGAACCGGTACACATCGACAGCAAAATATTAGACTTCTGTTTGTGTGCGCGCGTGTGTACAAAACGCGACGTGTTTAATTTTCGTAATTCTTACTTCGGTCGATGGTTCACCGTATCTATTTAATATACGAATATTACGAGTACGTGTAGGCATATTAATAACTACAGACAATTCATAAAGCGTAAATGGTTTAAGAAAAAAAAATGAAGTAAAGGAAAAGATATAAAACTGACACACTCACACTCCCCCTCCAAGTGAGTTGCATAAGCAGGCCTCTGTAATAATTTTTCTACTTATACTTACAGTCTATATAGACTATATAATATTTTATCACCGTTAACAATTTTATTGAAATTATATCATTAATACAAATAAATTACTATACAATTTTTTTTCTAATACTCGTGCAAGGAACTATATACCTAGTAAATTTGAATATGTATCTAAGTATACCGGATAATTAGTTTAACGTGAAACACTAATTTTTTTGAAAATTAAGTGTTTCACATTAAATTAATTACCCAGTATATTATATTATACAATATACTTACTCATATTTACTACGGGATGAAGGAAATTAAAAACCAAAAACAAGTTCAGTAGATTCAATGTGGTATGCAAGAAAGGACCCTATTCAAAAATGCCCTGGGATAAAAAACGGCTTGTTGATTTTCCGATTTATGAGAGAAGGTACCTTATTCCTAAACTAAGATGTTTTTTCACATGAATTTACATTGTTGTAGTGAAGTCTGTGAAAGCTTATGAAATTCTAGATTTTAAGGGGTAGCCTACACATTTTAAAAGAAATTGTATATCTATTGAAACAGGTGGCAAGAAAGCGAAAAAAGAAAATAAGGTATATCTTGGCATCAGTGATTTTCATCATTTCACTAAAAATGCGTCTCCAGAAATATAAAAGGCCTATTCTTTCATCGAGAAGTTGATTTTTCATACATTAAGAATGAGAAAGAATAGTGTATTGGAGTCCCAATTCAAAAAGCTTGTCCCACAGGTAAAGTCCTCTTAAAAAAAAAGTAAGGTGATAATGTTATTAAGCTACAACCATACATTCCAAAAAAACTTTCTTTTTTCGTATCAATTTTTCTCATGGATTGGTCGATCATTGCTGACGTCCTGACGTAGAAGATGAAAATTTAAAATAAATGTATTTATTATTATTCTTATTTACGTTTTTCTGCAGATTTCATTTTGACAAAAATTTGACCTTTTTTATCACACGGTCTGTCCATTCACGCAAAAAGGGACCTTTTAGTCCAATGCATTTTTTATTGTTTTAACTATAATATCTAGAATCAAAAGCACTTTTCGTTATTGGCCATACATGTCCAATGAGAACACTACAAAAATCATTAAAAATCTTAAATTCACAAAGATAATATTAAAATGATAAGAACGAATTTTTAAACGTTTTAAAATATTTTTGAACGAATCAAATCATATATTTAAAATGAAACTTTATTTGTTTATGATATTTGCAGTATAGGTTGTTATTTGAAAATCAAAAGTGGTAAGTGGTTTCACCCTCAGAAATAAGACCAACGGAAGACATAACGATAATGTGATATTTTGGAGCTACTTTTGTTTCGTGCATTTTCTAGAAAACTCAAAAAATGTTAATACTTTCCGAAATAATTAGTGTATATTACGTTATGTTGATCAACCTGTTTAATATGTTTAAAAAATAATAATGCGCATGAATATAATTAATAACTATACATCAAAAATAAAATACTAAATTTAATAGTAAATACCCACCTACCTACCTATATGTATAGTCACACAATATATTTATTTTTATAATATTATTTATATTAAATTGTCTTATTTCGACACGTATACTTTTCTATTCTACAGTGTAGGACACGTCGACATGATATGATTAGCCATTACGCTAATTGATGACATCCGACATTAATATGCGACGTAAATGTCGCAATATGATATGTATTTTCGTCAAAATTTGATTTAAAACGCTTATAAAAAAATAAAAAATATTATATAACTCACAGTTTTCAAACATTTCTGTATCGTCTATATAAGCGTACGCACGGGGGAAGCAGGATAGACAGCAGCCTACCATGCAAGATTTCGAAGGATTTAGAAGCCCCCCCCCGAGCTGATAGAGTATATAGTACTGATATAGTATCAGCATTATCGCCGCTGTTGTAGATGGATAGTTGGTAAGATAGGAAATATAAAGTTATTTAATTTACATCTGTAAGCCATGATAAACTATTACTAACGAAAAACGATTCTGAGCGAAATTCATTTTTAAATGATTTAAAAGGCCGTATACTATTTACTGTTTCAATCAAAATTTGATTGAAGCAGATTGAAGTACCTATTGGTGTTACTATAACATGTGTCTTTTTTTTCTATCTAAACAACATTTCGAACAGAAAACTTGATCGAATCGGAAAATTATAAGAGACAATGTTTGTTGAATTATGTATCTATTAAATGCATTAAGAGGGTCATTTTTTAATTTCAAAGGGGAGAGGGGAAAGGGTTCAAAATTATTGGAAAAACCCGAAAATAAAACATAGAATGAACTAGAAAAGTTTACGGAAATATCATTGCATGAACAAACCAGAACTGCTTGTAAAGTTAATAGAAGATTAATATTTATTTTAAGTTATACTTGGTGGTCAACAAAAAAAAATTAAAATATAACGTAGTCATTTTTTCTAGTGGTTTTAAAATTAGATTTTAATGATGATTCGTAAATCTTACGGCCATTCAAATCACGTATAAACATTAACCACGCCTAAAAAACGCAAATGTAAGTTTTTTGTTAATTTTTTAAGTTTACGAATTTTTTGATTGAATTCAAAAAAAAAAACCGATTAAATTTTCGATTGGATTAAGTCTTCCGATCGAAAAGTTAAAGACAGAAAAATAAATGTGCACATATAGTAAAACCAATACATTTCTGACTCTGCTCAGAATCTAAAATTTAAATTTTCTGAGATGGTAATAGTCCACCTGGAACTGCGTGGTTGTCTAAATCTTTATGGGTTAATTAGGTCTCTGTCAACTAAATCCATATAAATAACATTGATTTTCAATAAAACTATTAATAACAGAGTAAAGAAAATAATTTTAACCTGTCATGATTATGTACTTATGCTGCAATGTATAATAAATTTGTAATTCATGCAAACCAAATATACTAATATATTATAAGTTATAACTCACTTGTGAGGACATTGTTATATACGTTAATATTTGTTAACACATTCATGCGACGCGATTTACTAATCAAGACAAATGTTTCATTAATACCCAGTAAATATGAAAAAACAAAAATCAATAATTAAAAAAATAGCTGATACTGAGGACGAGTGCAGCCACTATCGTAGGTAGGAAAATTGGGTAGGGTAAGTAAGGAAATTGGTAAGGTAAGGCTACATATAAGGTTATTTCATTCAAATCTGTAAGCAAGGATAAACCATTGCTGACAAAAGACGATTCCAAGCGCAGTTCTGAGTTCTGTAATATATAACCCGAAGTGCAGTAATTTTTTTTGCGATTTTCGTTTTAAATTTGATTTGAAAAAAAACGAAATTGTCCGATGATTTTAAAATTTTTACCACGTCTAGGTAATTTCAATATAAGTATTATTACCAAGTTTCAAGTTTCTACGTGTATTTATAACCGAATTACAGCAAATAACTACCAAAAATTAAAATTTCTTTAAAGCTCAAAAGCGGCTAAAAGTGATTTAGGCGATGATACTGTTAGAAAGTAAATCAAAAAGGTGTTTTTTGATTTTTCGAATAAAACATTTTTGTCTGGTAGAAAACGTCGTCCATGTTTCTATAAAATAATGAAATCGTGAAATTGTACGTTTTCCCACTGAAGGGCTTTTATTTAAAAAATGGCGTTGAAATTCATTGAAAAAATGACCCGTTTAAAGTACAATCTATACAATTTGACCTTTCAGAAAAGTTGCTACACGTAAAAATCGGAGCAAGTTTACTAGGAAAAAAACGTGTCTACAGACTAAAACAAAGAGGACAAAAATAAACAGCATTGTAAAACTAATAGTTCCCTAGCTATGCTCGTAATCTAAAAAAAATTGTAAACCGATTAAGTTTAATTGAATTAAAGTCGTACTGTGCCCCCCCCCTATAAAATTATTCTATTTTTAATTTTACGTATACCTTTATACTACCTTACATACCACGTATACCACCTTTACGTAATTCAACTGGAGATTCAATATAAGGTGTACTTAGGCCCACTTTCTCAATTTCCGGAAAACGAAACGTAACTGCCAAATAGCAGTAACTGGTTAAATTTCATTCATAAATTTCTCAACTGCTAATTAGTGCTATCTCACAGATAAAGTCCCAAATAACTTATTTGGTTCAAATTGTACCACATAAGCTCTTAACTGATAGTTATCACCTCACTAGAATAGTTATACATTTATCATTATCGTCCTAATAAATAATGACTTATAATATTATGATTATTTATCCTTAGTAAATCTCAACAGGAACATTATTTGATATTTTAAATATTATGTTTTTCACTGTTTTAGTAATTTAATGCTGTTTTTATATACAATTTAATCATAATATAACTTGGATTTGGTTCTCTATAATGAACCTCCTCATATATGGGCTGAACCAAAGTAAAAAACAATATATATATATTGCATAACCTAAGTAAGAAATCTATAATGGTAGAGTGACTATGTGTAATAATTGTATTGTTAAAATTTTAATCTAGTATATAATCAAGAAATTAAATTTATATGAAATATCCATTAAACAAATTATTTTATTGTTTCAGTACCTAGTATTGGTACCTAATTGGTTTTAAAAATACAGTATTTTAATACATTTTTTACAACATTTCAAAAAATAAATCTTTATTAAACATACTTTACTACACTTTTGTAATATTATAGACAATAACTTACTGGTCCCTCATTTGTTGAACTAAATTCTGCGTGGATTTTTTCCCAGGCCAAAATTTTCTCTTTCCATGTTACTGTATTGGTAATTTTATTTTCTAATATATTTTTTTTAATATTGTTGTATTCATACAACAATAAATACATTTTAGCATTTATAAAATGCCTCTCTCTGTTTCTATCTTTCTCATACTTTTTGAAATTAACAAATAATATAGTAAATACCGCACTGTTACTCAAGTTCAAGATTAACTGATAAAAGATATTTGTCTTTATCATAATATAAAAATGATATAATCCATATAATCCATGAAGGATTGGGTAATCCTTGATAAAATCTGGTAATAACCTTACATTAACTTAACTACATTACAGTTAAAAAGTCATTCAGAAATTAAACCTCAGATATAACTAATAGTGTTATCTTCAAGTTACTTAACTGTTAATTAGTTAATTGGAAATTGAAAGCAGCCAACAAGTAGTCAACAAGAAAAAGTTAAGTTTAATGCAGTATTTTTTTTGGTGAGAATTTTAATATCAAATTTTGATGAAAATCATAAACATTACTGCCTTTTAAAACATGTATAACTGAACTCTGCTCAGAATCGATTTTTAATAGCAATGATTAATCATTGCCTACAAAAATACATCAAATTCCACTCTATATCCTAATTTTCCAACTTCTCACCTACAACAGCCCACCTATCGTGTGAAGTATGTCAGTCTTTTTAGCTTGCCATTTTATTAATTTGGGATTAAAGATTTTTTAAGTTAATAATCTGATTATAAACTATACAATATATAATTTTAAATTTAAAAAAAAATAATTACAAGACGTATTTTGATTTTAAATATTAAGTTTTATATGAACATAGTACAACAATGCACAGATAAAATTAAAATAATATTTATTATCACAGATATAAGATACAATAATAAATAATATCAAATACTATTATTAAGAATAAATTGCACTAGATTTATAAAATTTAAAAATACCATTAACACATAAAAATAAAAAGAGAATAATAATAAATAAAATTAGTTAACAATAATATCAGGGAGTAGATTTTATAAATTAAGATTTAATAAATTTGTGATGGTATAAAATTGAATTGGTTATGGAAAATAAAGATCAAGGATATTTATGTTGTTTTATTTTAAACATTTTTTTCAAAAAAAAAAATATATAAAAATATTGATTAAAGAATACAAATCTTATATTGTAAAGTGGTAGATAAAACAAAAAATGACATTTATTATTTTATCCCGTTTTATCTCTTTTAAGTAGTTCATCAATCTGTGAATTATAAAACAATAATAAAATATTTTGTGAAGTTATTAAATCGGTGGAAGATATGGTATCCCATCAATTAATTGCAAACGACAAATCATCAAAAATATTGATTGAAAAAAGAATTGAATTTTTCAAAAGCACTGTTTATATCACTTTAGATAGTATATATTTTTTGCAATGTGGTGTTCGATAAAATAGGTTGATAAGCTTGGTAGAACATGCTCTACTGTTCTAGGTCCAGTGTCAAACAGGCCAATCATATGCTGTATACAGAGTCGCTAAATTTTGAGCCGGATATTCAGGGTTAAGGTTACCTAATTTATGTCGCCGGTTTACAACTAAAACTTTATATTGTCAGATCGTATATACTATGTACACATATAATTTGTGTATTAAAATTTATCATAATTATACCAACTTATTTTGATCTTTTTCAATTTTTGTTTTATGAAAACCATATCATAATTAAAAATTAAACACATTACACACTGCAATGACTTATCCAATATAAATAAATGGATATATTGGATGGATTTAAGTTCCGTTTCATAACATATAATATTTTTTGAGTAATTTTTAATAACCTATTATCAATCAAAAGTCATTCAATCAATTGACATTTATATATAGTGTATTTTGATTAATTGTTTTCAATAAATTGCCGTGCAATCAACTGACATGTATTCAACAAATATAAATATACTTTTGAATTACCTGAGCTTTATACATATCTTTAACATCTTGAAGATCAAGTTTTAATTCCTCACTCTCTTCAAGTTTTTCGCCATACAATTGTAACAATGCATCATATCTTTTTTGTAGGTCAGTAAGTTCAGTTAATGATATGGATTGTTCATCTACTTTAGCTGTAAGAGCAGCTAATTCAGTTGTCAATTGGTCCCTTTCGTGATCTCTTCGTGATAATTCCCATTGTAATTGAAGAGCTTCTCCTGAAGATAAAATGTAAAGTGAAACTTGATTATTTAAAAATAAAACCTAAGTATAGTTAAAACCTTCTTTCAGTTTGATTTGTGACTGTAAATTTTCTAAAACTGTAGTGGTGTTACTAAATGATGTTCTCATTGGATCATAAATACTGCCAGCTCTTTCTGTTACTGAACTCCTATCATCATCAGCAAACTGAAATTTAAATAGTTTTATTATAGATAGTTATCAAAATTGTTTTCATATTAAATCAAATATCATACTGAAGGCCAAAATGAAGATTCTTCTACAGAGGGAACCCCTACACTCGTAGTGGGAGATGATTGATGAGATGTATTAAGCTGGTGAGAATGAATATCATTCTGAAAATGATTTAAATATACAATTTTCAAATTTTCAAATGTTCAAATTTATTATCATAAACAACTTATACAATTTAATGAATACATAATTGTTAATTAACATACTTGCAATTTTTTTCTTTTTTCACTTTCAATATTTAATTTATCTTTTTCAAATTTTAATTCATTTTCCAGAGTATTAATTCTTAATGTGGCATCAGCTAGTAATTTTTTATTTCCAGCAAGTTCATTTTCAAGTTTTACCAGACTAAAATGGCAAATATTAAACATAATTATTATTTAAATATCTGTGTAACCTAAAACTTATTATTATAACTAATACAAACATATTTGAGTTTAATTTTAATACTGCATTCTCTTCTTTTAAATTTTCAAATTTAATTTTTAAATTACTTTCATTTTCTAACAGATAGTTAATTTGCTCTCTGCATTTTTTTCCAAAAGTATTAGACTCATTTATTTTAGAGTCCATTAATTTCATTGTATGTTCAGCATTATTTAATGACGCTTGCAGCTCATCTAGATAATCCAACGTTTAAAAATTATAATAAAATATATCTCATTTAAAAATTATAACAAAATGTATTAAAATTTAATTAAATATAATAGCAGTGTTTACTTATAGTTTTAAGATATAACTGTTCTTGTTTATCAAAATCACTTTCTAATGTTTTCAATAAGACTGATTTCTCTTCAAGTTCTTTTACCAAAGGCTGAGTAGCTTTTAAAGTTCCTTGTAAAGAATGTTCTCTTTTTCTCTCAGATTCTTCTAATCTTCTAATCAGTGAAAGATTTTCTTGTTTTAATTCATTCACCAATCTATGTCATGCAAAATAACAATGATTATTAAACAATTTAATTTTAATTTTAACTATTTAAGTAAATTTGAAAGTCAAAAGATCCTTAGAAAAAGTTAATGACACAGACAATAATTTAGTTATCAAACAAAGATTAATCTGCTGTCTAGCCTAATAGCAAAAATGTTCACTAATTTTTAATAGTTGCTATTATATAACAAAATTAAATTCATATTAAATACTTAACACTTACACACGATTATTTTCTTCAACCTTACAGAGATTTGTCTTCAAATTATTTATTACAATTTCCAATTCTGCACAGTGTTTATTTTTATTTGCTAATTTTTCATCTAAATCTTGTTTATCTTTTTCTATTAATCTAAGTTCATTAGAGTTTTTCTGTAATTCTAGCATAGATGTTTCTTTATCTTGAATGTTTCTATTCAACAATAATATTATTTATGAAAATTATTAAACGAGAACTCAAATAATTTAATAAGAAAAATAATTAACATATTCAAATAACTATTATTTATTATTAAACTAATGTTGGAATTATCAGAAAAAGGTTGTACAATTTTTATTTATAACTACTTTTGAAGTGATATCAATGTTGATGTTAAGTTATCAACTTGACTTGTTAAATTAATATTTTCTTTTTCAAAATTTTGATTTGATTTTGTTAACTGATGAATGGCTTCAATTTGACTTCTTTCCATCTCTTCTTTTGCTACTAATGACTTTTTTATTCGTTCTAATTCTAATGATAATTTTTCTTGTTGGTCTCTAAAAAAACAAAAATATTTATTGATTTTGAAAAACATCTATTTAAATTTAATAATACAAGGGGTACTAACTTATATTTATTTATAGTTTTTGTTGATTCTTTTTCAGCTACACGTAATTTTTTAATTATGTTATTTAATGTAAGATGTTGTTTACTTAATTTTTCACCTTCATCTCTTAATTCTTTAATAAGAGAATCTTTATCTTCAATTAGAATTTTAAATTGTGCTACATTTTTATTTTGCTAATCAAGAAAGAATACATTTCAATTTAATTAATAAGTTATAGTACTTCGTATTAATTATTAAATTCTTACATCCAAGTTTTTTTGTAGTTGGTCTTTTTCTCTAATAGCTTGTTGAAATTTTTTTTCCATTGTAGCTAATCGTTGAGTATATTCTTCATTTAAATGACTCGAACTTAAATAATCTAATTGACTAAAACAAATTGTATTTTAATAAGAAAATAGTTTTTTTTCTTAAAACTTAGTACAGAAAGACTAAATGTTGATTAAATCTGACTTTACTTATCATTATATAACTTTAGATATAGCTATTAATCAATTCAAAATATTGAATCATTGAAAACAATTTTGAGAAAGAATAATTTTATCCCCAAAAATCAAGATTATAATAAAAATGGATAATTTTACCATCTATTATCTTATCTGTTTTGACTATTAATCGCTCTTTCATGTTAAATAATTATTGTAAAACGAATAGCTTTTAGCTTCACTCGGTACTAAAAGTTATCAATCATTACCTTTTTATTTCTGAATTATTGGCTGCTAATTCAGCATTCTTTTTACTTAAATCAATTAATTTTGATTCTCTGGCCTTAACTATAGAACTCAATTCAACAATTTTCTGCAAATGTATAGTTAATTAATTTAGTTAAACTAGACATGTGTTATTTTAATTTAAATACTTTTTGAAGATCTTCAAAGTCTTTTGGTCCAGGTTGTTGTCCTATAAAATAAAAATTACCATTATTAAACATAGTAATATACTTATATTTCACAATCATATAGATTGGTGTACTTGTTAAATATATATGTACCTAATAGTTTTTGAAGAGTATTGTAAATCAAATTTAATAGTTAGTCAGAATTCCAAATTTAAAATTAATTTGTTTTAATATGATATTATTTGTAAGAGTTTAACATTATGAATAAGTTTAGTGTTTTACCTGATAAAATATATGGCATATGGTATGAATGATATTTTACTGGGCTATGTCGATGAGAAGCATTGCTTTCACTATCTTCATTAGTAGCAGGACTAGATATAACTTCAATATCAGATGAAGTCCATGTTTCAAGTTCATCACATGAATTTGTACCACTTGAACCAATTTTTACGAAATCTGAATGACTTAAGATTAAATTTTGGAATAATATTAATTTTTAATATTTTTAATTTAAATATTATAAAATTAAATGTTTTGACCAAATAAACCCGGGTTCGACAACTTTGATGTCAAGGTCAAAAAAAAATAAATACATCTTTTCACGGGCCACAATTAGAATACACCTTATTTTATTTAAACAAGAGTTTATAATCATATCAAATTTATTTATTTTTAAATTCATCACTGTTTAGTATATTCATTTAACAGTTATTATAATAATAACATGTCATGATAATAAAATAAATAAAGTAAAAGTTAATGTGATTTTTAAATTTAAATAACTTCCAACGGTTTAATTTTTGGTGAAGAAATTCTCAAAAGGATGTTTAAGTGAACACTAATTAATCATAAATAATAACAAAAGCTAAAAACTCAACATTGAATTTTTTTTTTTCATTCTTGTATTGTATAAGGAGACACAAATAAACTATTTATTATTACTACTATTATTATTACTTATTATTCTCTACAAATGTAGAGAATAATACAATTTTCATTCCTTATTCACTGAAAAAAATATAACTTTTTAAAATTTTCAAAATGACCATTTTGTAAAATATATTATTTTAAAAATTTGAATTTATTATACATTCACATCCAATCAATAATTTCTTAGTAATAGCCATTATAATTTCTAACAATTACCTTGTATTATGACTATAATTCACTATCATATAACATGGTAGTCTTGTTTTTCACACCTTTCTCTAGATATTAATCTAGACCAGGGGTGGTCAACCCATGGAATATCAACTGATGATGCATCTGCTATGGTTGGTAAAGACAAAAGAGCTATAAAATTACTGATCGATGATAAAATAGAATCTACCAACAAAACTAATAATTGCTAGAAAATAGATGATTTATTTACAATCACTGTTTGATTCATCAACAAAATCTATGTTCCCAAGTATTATCAATGAACCATAATATGCAAATAGTTATAAAAACAGTGAATTACATTCGATCACATGCACTTCCACACCGAAAATTTAAGAAGTTCCTGAAAGAATTGGATTCAGAATATGGTGACATAGTATATTTCAGTCATGTCAGATGTTAAGTCGTGGAAAAATTTTACAGCGACTTTATGAGTCGCATAATAAAATTGGCTTGTTTATGAATGATTAGCAAAAACCAGTATTAGAATTAAGTAATGATGAATGGTTATTAGATTTATGCTTTTTAGTGGATATTGTCGAAAAACTCAATCAATTAAATATATCATTACAGGGAAAAGATAATTTAATAATTGACTCATTTAATCACAACAATGCATTTCAGAAGAAATTATTGTTATTTGAATCTCAATTTAAAAATAAAAACGTTTAACACTTTCCATTGCTAAACGAATTGAAAAATTCAAAACATATAGAATACATTAAATATGCAAAAGAAATAAGGAAACTTATATCTGCTTTTGAGAGTTGTTTCACCAATTTAGACAAATACAAAATAATATTTGAAATATATTCATCTCCTTTTCAAACTGATGTCAAGTCAACCCCAGAATATCTTCAAATTGAACTCATTGATTTACAATGTAATAATGAATTAAAACACATTTTTGAAACATTAAAATCTAAAATAGATTTCTATAACATTATTATAATAAAAGAAAAATTTTCCAATTTGAGAAATCTGGCACAAGTTGTGAGTGATTTTGGATTGACTTACACCTGTGAATCATTTTTTATGAAAATCAAATTTGCCAAAAATTAATCACGCTCAAACCTAACAGATAAAAACCTAAAACTTCACGATTTACGATGTGCAAATACAAGCATTGATATAGATTTGCAAAAGCTTAGTGAACGAGTTGAGGAACAAATATCCCAATAAATTAAAATTATCATATTATTATCTATGTTTATAAATTATGAGTGATAATAAAAATAATAATAATTCATGCTGTTTATTTTAATTAATACATCAAAACTTTTTTTTTTTTTTTGCTCAAATCTAAAATATGTAATTTAGTATGTGGCCTGTGAGCTTATAATGTATTTCCAAAGTGGCCCATTTGGGATGGTAATCCTTGATCTAGACATTAAAAGATGGCCATTACTTAGAACCTATTGAATGGATACAAATGTATATATTACATTCAAATTTTTAGAATAATATATTTTACAAATTGGCCATTTTGAACATTTTAAAAAGTGAACAGTTATTTTTCTTTCAATGAATAAGGTATTAAAACAAAAATTAAATTTTCCTCTAAATTTGTGTCCCCGTGTTACAAAACCCGATTGAAAATCAAAAGTAAAAGAAAAATATGAATATTAACAGTTATTAGTATTCAGATAACACTAGGACACTGTATATCAGTAAGTGTTACATTTATACGTTGATAATTAAAGATTAAATTAAATGTTTAATCATATCGGTTATGTTATTGAAATGATAACAATAAAACTAAAATGTTTATAATTAATATAGAAATTATAATTTTGAATTTAACTAAACATTTTAGATAATTTTAAAAATGTTGCCATTAGAGTAGAAACAGTTAACTTAACATCAAACATTTAAATTTCAATTGATGTATATAATTTTTTGATTTTCTACTTCAATGTAATAATAGGAACCAAAAATATACAAACATTTTGAATATTATCTTAATCTTGTATGCTACAATTAATTAAAAATTTAACTGTGTAGACATGTATTTAAATATAAATAGTCAACCAAGTAATAATTAACTTACTTATCCGTAGAAGCTTGAGGAGATGATTCACGTTCTTCATCCATAACGGTAATATCCACTGTACTACCAACCATAGTTTCTACATCAATTTAAATTAATATTTACAAATAAATAATAATAATAAATTACATTATCTATACAAATTTATTTAATTACATAAGAAATAGTTTATTCTGTTAATAAATTTGAAAACAAACATCATAAATTAATATTTACCATCATCACAACTGCTGCTTTCTAAAGTAGTATCAGATACCTTTAAAGAATCTACTGACGTGTTATTGGTACCTAATGTATTTATAATGGCTGTACTATTTTGGAAATTTTCTAAAGGTTCCAAACATTTAGTTTGTAATAAAATACTATTTCTGTTCGAATTTGTTTCGACAGACTCTTCTTCTAATATATCTAAGGCTCCAGAATTCTAAATTTGAGTATAAAATAAATTATTACTTAACATAAATATTATCAAAAAAGTATTATTTAGGAAATTTACCTCATGAGGCGATGATAATTCAGTAAAAGAAATATCTAATGATGATGTTGTAGACTTAAGCATTAACATTCCTCCATGGTGTGGTATTAAAGTATCTTCATTGGCCATACAAGTTGTGTTATCTGATATTGAGCAGGTAAGGCTATCTTCATCCTCAATTAATTCTGGAATTGGTTCTATAGTATCTGGAGAATATTGTTTATCATTTCCCCTAAAAAATTATGTACACATAAAATAAAAGTAATATGCATCATAATTAATTGAAGTACACAATATTTGAAACATAATACATAATTTACTAAAAATGATCACAAACAATTGAATTTAACCAAAACTTAATAAAAATAAATAAATTTGAAATAATTATTAATACTGCATTTAATTTTTTTTATTTTTCTTCACAGTTAATATCATATATATGTGTGTGTGTTTTAAAATAAAATAATAGATGTACCTTAAAGTTCAATCATAATATAGGTATTAGCATTAATAGTTATATTTAAACTATAGATAAGAATTGGATTTAGCTATTTAGTTACTTACAAAATTGTGTCTAATATTATTTTGTTTTCATTCAATTAATTTATTGAGTAAAAAATTTTTAATTTGATGGTGAGTCATTAACATGTTTTATTTTTAATGACAATTAAAAAAAGTACATTTACAACAATTTATTTGAATCAATAATAAAAATTAAAAACTGATATTTGAGTGTAATTATAAATATTGACTTTCACCCTTTACTTAATATGTTTTAATTAAATGGATGTGTAAATATTAAAAGATTAAAAAAATAATAACCTATTTGGTTCTGTGACAACAGCCAATACTTCTACAGAACTAGATGTAATGACTTCTACAGATGACTCAGGTGTAGTAGTTGATGTTGAACCAAGTACTTCAATGCTATCTGTAGATATTGTAGACTTTCTATCACTATCACAACTGACAGCAGATAGACGATTGGTATTGTTAAAATTTGTTTGTCGATTCCTCCGAATTACATCAGTGTTTGATTCTGAATCAATTTCAATAACATTAAATTGTTCATCCCTCAATGTTGGGGATTGTCCTGTAGACCTAACAGGTTGATTTGCCACAATCAAATCATTTTCCGCAGATACCTTGGATAAATCTAATGACATGCTCTGTCTCATTTCTAAACAAATTTAAATATATTAATTTAAAAATCACTATACATACAACGGTGTAGGTATACAATACATGCAAGAAAAAATAAATGTATATTGAAAAAAAAAACATATAATTAAATACCCAGGTATGTATTTTAGATTGTCTAAATAATAAATATTTGAATAATATTTAAAATATCATGATATATTCATAATACAAATATTTATTAGGTTATTTTTAATAATTTTAAGATATTTATATTTTTATAATATTTTTAAGAATATTTATTTTCATTTTAGATATTTCAAAAACGATTTAAATTAGAAGATATTAAATAAAATACCATTTTGTTTATCGGCCACTTCGTCTGGACTTTCAAACACAGAGTTGGTAAATGAACTCCAGAGGCTTGTGCCTAGTTTAGAAATCTTTTGCTGTGAATCAAGATCATCAGTATCTTTTGGAACTTCGGATTCATCTGGGACTTCATCAACATCATCTTCATCTTTTATGTCTAAAGCTTTATCAATTGTCTTTTGTGCTTCTTTCAATGCTGTTTTCGCAAGAGTTGCAAACCCAGATGCATCAAACTGATTAAACCAACTCATAATTTATTTTGAAACGGCAGTCTGCTATATAAAAGGGTTATTAGACATTTTGAAAAACTGAAAGCAATAACAACGTAGTACTGTATTATTGTTAAATACAATAATCATTGAAAATCTTTAAAAAAAATCGAAGATAGTATAAGAAAAATAAGAAAATTCTAATGATGTGTACATTTTAAAGTACCTACTACCTATCAACTTGTAGTCATACAATATGATAAAATAATAATGTTATTACTTCAAGTGTTATTATCAGTAATTAGATGATAACGTCAAATTGCAAATATAATACCCATAGAGCAGCATTGATATAGAAAACGTTATATATTTTTTTTTGATAAATACCTATTATGATAGAAAATTGGTTGCACATATTATGTCACCAAAATATGTGTTACCACATCAAAAAGAAATACCGTACCTCATTTTAAATAATTTGTCTTCTGGTAACAGATATACAATGGTACAATTATTATTGTACTGTTCGTTGATTGTATTAATTTAGTATTAATACACGGATATAGAAATTACCAAAGAGGCATAGACATAATATTATATTCATGAATATTGTATATACTCGTTCATGATTATGTCGTTGTAAATTACGCTTTCGTGTTATTATCATTTATCCATATTATCTGCGATTTTGTAGGTTAGCCTACCCTTTCTTTTGGTTAATATCACATTCACTGTTATCAATTAATATAAAAATTGGGAGTACTGTATCTAGAGAGCGTAAATAATAAGAGTGGTCAACCCGGTGTACATTTTTTATACGTCGGCTGTTATCATAGCTTATGGACGCCATTTTTCGTCCAAATAATTTGATTGAGTATAGTAATTTTGTAAATTGTTTTGTTTAATTTACTCATTTTCTATACAGTTTTTCTTAATTTTCTTATAAATTATATAAACAAATATTTTATTATACATTTTACATAAAAAATCATGATAATGCTTGCTTGCTGTGCATTTGGTTGCCCATAATATTTGGGCACCGGGCAGTTAAGTATACTTTGTACTTGAATATTCAGAATATTTTATTCTAATTAATAATCTAATAATCTTATTTTAATAATTCAATCACTCAGTCAACGAAAAGCACCTTCTATCTTTCCACGTCTGGTGTGTAACCATTTTGTGTCCATTAGTTTAAGGTCTACGATTGTACCTGTCCCCCTCAGATGATGACACCAAGGTGGATTAAACTATAAGCAACTAAGCAACTAGTGATGTTTAAAAAAAAAAAAAATAAATATACATTTATAAAAAATATTTTCAAACTTCAAAGAACTCAATCATTACCTGTTAATTAAATCTAACTATAAATCATGATAATAAACTATATACTATACGTATGATCCATAGACATATTGTATTATATATCTATTATAATATAATTATAGATATTAGTCCGGTCGATATAATAAAAAATAGGGGGGTAGCTGAAAAGCTTTTTGAAGTTAATGAAATTTTAACAGATTGTCTAGGGGTACTCCAGGATATCTATCCTAAGTTTTCGACCTCGAGGACTTTGTGCTAAATTCTAGGGAGAGGGTGAAAAAACCTCAAAACGTTCAGATTTTTGGTAATATCTCGTAAACTAATCATATTTTGTAGGTTATAACAAAGTTGTAGACCATTAAATTTGTTAAAATTTGGTTGGCAAAACTAATTTTTAGACTAAAAATTTATTGAGATACAGACGATCTATGTTAGATAAAGTTTTTCAAAATGTAAAACAATAGCTGAAAAACGAAGGTTTTGATTCAATAACTATTTAATACCATCATTTTCATGTTAACTATGTAAATCACTCATCAACATTAACATCTAGGAACACATATGACCCTCCCTCCCTCACCCCTTCCCCTTCAACAAACGTGAAGATGCCACATTTTAACGCTTTAGCTTAATAACCATAGATAATCTTCTCCTTCTTCTTCTTCTGGCTTAAATGGATCTTTATTATTTGGTAAATTCTGTCGTTAAATTAATTTTTTCAAATACAATTTCAAATGAAGGCGAGTTGTTCCTCTTTGTCATTTATTACGTCACTTTGCCGTTCCCCAAAGGCGTTCTATAGACATTATATGCGCTCCCCTGTAGTTGGGTCCAAAAAATTAAAAGAATAATTTACGGTTTTTTGATCGTAACCGAACGATTTCAATAATTCAGTATTATAGCACACCAACAATCCGAATAAATTGTGGTACCTTCTTGTATTTTAATCTTGATAGCGAGTATGAAGCATTAATTAAAAATACATTTTTTGTCTCGCAACAAATTTCTCCGAATATCCAGTGTACGGGAAGTATCCTCTTTACGTAATTTTTTCTTTTTAAAAATAAACATTCATCTATCTCAACAATTTAACCTGGGCAATCTATTTTTCCTTCTGGTTTATTTTCAATAACCATTGCACATACTTCACGTTATTGTTTCAGTCTATAACTGTATTTTTATTTAATTTTAATTGTTTTTCACATCATACAGAATCCGTCATTTCACGAGACCAATCATACATAAGTCACAGTCGTAAACGATATTCATGATTTTGAAAACCAATTACTATTACGAATATTTACCTTTTTTGGCATTTTTTTATGTTACATTTCCAAAAAATTTCTTTGCCAAAAATATAGAGTTCAGCCAAATGGTTGTTAGGACACATTCTAACACTTGACAAAACTCCTTGTTTTTGCAGGAGTAGAATAGTATCTTTTTCGATAGATAGTAAATTTAAAAAAAATCATGTTAAATGACACTAAATAAGACACAGGGCAATACCAAAACAGCAACTGATTAAATGAATGCCAACTTAGTAATAAATTGTACACCACCAATCGTACAGATTACGACTGGGGAATTAACGCGTTTTTCTAAATTTTACATCAAATCCAATTGTTTATTTATTTATTTATTTAATATGATACAGATTCCAATGCAGGAGTTTCCATGTTTTTCCAAATTGTACATTGAATTTATTTTTTAATCAAACTGTATTTATGCGGGACTTGACATTTATATTCATAGTTGATTTTAGTTAACCAACCATATATTAGATAGTCTTCTGAAATGGATGTAGGATGTAGCTATGCGTATAATTTCTCCAGCACCAAATTGTATCCAACATCATCCCCATCACCTTCAGAATTTCATAATACACGACACAATTGCGCATGCTTAGAAATCAGTATTAAACAATTTAGTGTTATTTTCAACGTCATTACGTATCATTCGTCATAAGCCGCCAACTGATTTCTGGGAATGCGCATTTGTGTCGTATACTATGCTATTTTAAAAGAGGTAGAGATGATGTTGGATACAATTCAATGTACGCAAGGCTACATCTATAGTATACGATCTAAGCCTGAAATATATCGGTAATCGAGATAACAGGATTGTGCACATCACATTATTGCTAAAATCAAAATAAAAAATGTAAAAATGTGTAATGAATATTGTTGTAGATACCTGTTTATTTGAGTATGAGTGAATAACGTTTTGGATAAAATTAGTAATTTTGGGTTTTAAAACAGGCTGTTTCATAATATGATTAATTAATTCTCCGTCATCGGAATCGCTGGACGATAAATAATTCACGAAAGTTAATATATTTTCTTGATTATTTATTGTATTAATCATGCGCATAAAATATTGACTCGTAAACCCAAATGAGATAGAAACAATTAATTCAAAATTCAAAATTACAATAGTAAAATTTGCTATATTATCAGTTTTATCAGGAAATTAATAAAGCACACCGTCTACTGGAGCTCGTGAAATTATCAATGCACTGGGTGCAAAAAAGTGGCCGAGTGTAATGGAGTGAAACATGAAAAATATCATTCAGTGCGCACCAGTATTACAGATGGAACATACATTTATGCACCAGTGCAGTCGGTGCTGTGCGGTGGTTGGTGGAAAACGTTATAAATATATAGGTGTTTCAATCTAGCTGGTAATAAATATCACTGCCAGTTGAGTATTCTCTCCATGACATCGCTTTAGACCAAAATTAAATTTTTATTTCATTCCCTAAACACAATATTTATAATTAATAACTGATGTTAAACACAATGCGGTGTCAGCCTGCTACATCCATAATCTATAGTAAATGATCTAAGGATATAACAACTTACTGACAAGAGTAGAAGATAACACAGACGAAATTATCATTTGCCGGTGTTTATGTTTGAGATCCACGTGCTGCTGTTCTAATGCAAATTGTTTATTGTGCAATGTGAACTGTGAAGTGCAACTTTTGAGATTCAACTACCCGTGAGCCGTGACGTTTCGAAAATGTATAGACCAAACGATCCAAATCTGCTTGTACACAAAATGAATGAGTGGCTCGAAAAATATAGCGGAACATTCATATCGCCTAATAATGATTTCTACTATGTAAGTTTATTTGTATAAGTTGTAAAAACTAAAAAAAAAAATGAGGGTTACAATTTTGAATAAGTTGGTAAGTATACATTTTCGGAATGTTCTAAGACTGTGAATTTCATGAGAGAAACATGATTCACTACGAACTTGGTATATAAGTATTTACATATTTACATATGTATAGTTTTACTAAAAAACATAGTTTATAATATTTTTGGTCTTATTCTAATTTAGTGACCTATTGATATTTTGGTTTTACTATGATGTTCTTTTTTTTTGTGTCTGTAAACAACTTTTTTCTTAGAAATATTACTCCAATTAAAACATCACAATAAAGACCTTTTTTTGTTGCATTTTGACTCTAGTTGGTACTTTAGAAAAGTCATTTTTTTTTTAAAATTATCATTAATATTTAAAATTATACTGAAAAACTGGTTCTTTAGGTTAAAGAATGATAAAAGATTGAAAATAAGTTTGTCATTAGCAACAGTTTTTATTTATTTTTGATATTAAGTTTCTATGATTTTAATCTTTTAATCTTTTTTAAACAATCGTATACATGATAACGTACATTATTAAAAAATGTTACCATGGACCAATTTATCCTCAGAATCATTTTTCGTTAACAATAATTAATTGTTGCTAACAGATATTAATTAAATTCTGTTCTGTATCCTACCTTTCCAGCTACCAACCTACAACAGTGGCTACACTCATCCCCAGTATTAGCTCTTTTTTTTTTTTGCTTCAAAATCTTTTACGTGTTTAATGATAATCTTAAAACAAATAAGTTTTGAAGTTATAGAGATAAGACGCCAAAGAACTCTGTTTTTCTATAATATGCATTGTTTTTAAGAAGAATGATTAAAATTAAATATTTTAAAAATGTTTGATTTTTAATGCTTGATTCATAGGTAAAATTAAAACTACTTATTTATCATAATTACTATTTTACTGTTTATTTCTTAACCTGTTGAGTCGCAGTCGTGTTTTATTGAAACCACCTTTTAAATAATGTGATTTGTAATTTAATATTCTTAGAGTTGTAGTGGTTTTATGCAAAAGCCATAATATTTTAACTATTTATAAGTTTTGAAAATTTTTTAAATTTTTTTTTGTATTTTAAGACATTAAGATTTCACGAAAAACATGTAATGTTTTAAAAAAAAATTTTAAGTTACTCAAGGGGCTTTAATTAATTACTATTTTAAAATTTTTTTGTGCTGAAGTAGTATAACATAATATTTTCAATAAATAATTGTTGATTGATTGATTTTTTCTATTTAATAAAAATAATTACCCAGTTGTCATGGGTTTTAATATTAGGTATATTTTAATAGAACAAATATTTTTAGAAATTGGATAAAATATATAATGAATTATTATCCATGAGTATTAACTACAACACATTAGACCATGGTTCAAATTTATTAAAAACTTTGAAGACCTTAAACATCATATTACAGCTTTTAAAAAAAAACAATAATATGAATCCTGTAAGTTGAATCAATATTTATTATATACCTAACAAGTATTTTTCATTTAATAAGTTTACATTTTCTTTTTAGGTTAATAATAACGATATTTTTACTTGTTTTATACAATTAAGCCGTATTAGTGCTCAGTTTAAAAGTATCATTATATCAGGAATGCTAATGGATCAAATTAAATTTAGTGTACATGTAAGGGATTTATTTAAAAAATTTGACATTCATAATGAAATGGAACAGTATTTATGTGATATATATAAGTCAAAATTTGAAATATTAAAATCAAATTATAATGAAAGTACAATGCATACAGTTAATGAGAATTTTGTAAGTTTTGTTATAGACCTACATTTATCAGTTGAACCAAATTTGTATAAATTAAGTTTTATTTTATTACTATTTTCAGACCCTATTTTTACTAGATTTTGTGAAACTTCTATCACAGTTAAATGATGAGGTGCCACTGAATAATACTATTGAGCTCCTATTGGAAGTTGCTGATGACAAGACTTTGTTGAACAATTTTCATTCACATTGTTTTTTACTTTCTTCAACAACAAAGATCCGTCTTATGAAAAAAATCACAAAGTTTTGTATTAAAAACAATTGCAGTTTAAAAAATTGTGGATTTATGATATCAAAACATAAAGATTTTAAGTAAGAGATTTACCAATTTTATTTTAACACATAGGTATTTTATGTTTGTGCTCTTAACATTAAATTTATTAAAGTATAATTTTTATTAATTTATCAATAAATATTTATAAAAAAATTAAAACAGAGAATTTATAAAGCAATGCTTTAGTAATTATTACAAAAAAAAAATAAAAAAAAGAACTTAATAATATTGAATTGAACAAAAGTTATATCAGATATCAAATCTTTGTTGTTACACCCTGTAAATATATATGTAGCAAATAAATTACTTAACCTATTACAGTTCAAATGTATTACTGTACCTAAAGCGTTTAAAGACCAGGTTTTTGTTTTAAATGGAATCCATAATAAATTATACCAGAGAAACTAGATAAATATGAATTGTTATTATAACTTATAGTTTTTAAAAATATTTTATAGTTTTCCCTAATAAATCTATATTTGGTTTTATTTACAGGTTCGAAACATGTATCATAAGCTATTTTATATTTCAACATATCTGTAAACATTTAGAACTTCAAAAAATGCATCAAACATCAAAAATATTATCTATGTTTACCATTGATGATATATCTTTAATTAATAACTCTCCACTTAATTCAGAATTTGAAAAACTGTATGAAGAGTCAGTTAAACATATTACTTTTAAAAAATGCAAGAATCTCAAAGTTGTACCTACACACAAAATTAACAAGTATGGTTCATAATTTTTTAAATTTTTATTAAATAAAATTATAGTGATAAGTATATATTTACTGCATTTTATTAAAAAAAAAAAACAGGATTTCTTTAAATTTTTAAATATGACTTTTAATAATAAAATATATTTTTATTTTTATGTTTGTTTACTTAATTCATAATTGTAATTTTATCATACATATTAATTGTTTAGTTGCCTGAAAACTTTAAAAATACTACTTGGTTCATTGAGCAGCCAATTTCAAAATTGTCCATTTGCTGTAGTACTTTTATCCATGCTTTCTGAATTGGTTATGGGAACTGATATAGATAAAAACACTGCTGAATACTTGATTGATCTTATTACTGGTAAGTTTTTATAAATAGTATTAGCTTTTTTAATATTCCAATGTTTAATAAATTATACGTGGGGGGTTTTTTTTTTTACACCAACCAATAAATCTATAAAGATTATTTTGATTTTAGATCATTTTTTCTCATTATGTAATTATTTTGAATCTTGACTGTATTAAATATTTTACCTCTATTTTGTTTACATTCTTTCTCTTCTTCATTGGTATTACAACTCATGAATATTTGTCGCCATCGCCACCTCCTTCCATTCTTCACAATGACACAATTGTTTATTTTATATTCCCAATTTTGTATCCTTAATTTCTCTCAAGTTCTGTCATATACCATTTATCTTCTGCTTTTTTGGTCATCTTTGTCTCTCTCCTGTTAGTCTCTATTCTACATCTGCTTTTCTTTTATGTACTTTGAGTTTGATCACCTCATCACATACCCAAACCATTTGATTCTTTTTGCTTTTACAAAATTTATTATACTTGGGAATACTGTCAATTCACTGATCTATTTGTTTTTCTTCTATGCCATTTTGTTTACACTAAAATAATTAACATTTTGAATTCAAAAATAATTTTTTTTTAAAAATTTAATATTCTAGTATTTGAATTGTCAGACTTTAATATTTTGTCAGTTTTAATAGTTTAAACTCAAATCAAAATAATTTCTGATTCACGAAAAAATAAATACACATTGTTTATTATATATTACATTTTATTCTTTCAGGTTACTTAGATTTCTGTAAGCTTCCTTCAAATTTTTTGGCAATTTCTTATGCCTTTAACATTTACCAAAAATTGAAACCAGATCCTGACCTGGAATTATTATCAAAAAATTTGTGTCGACTTTTAATAAAAAATATGGTTTTACCTAAGACTGATGATGAAATACATAATAAAAATTTATTAAAAAAGCCCAAATTAAATCAATACTTAAAAGATGATTTGGAAAGAGTTTTAAATACTCAAGATTGTTGGATAGATAAATCAATAATAGGATCATATATCCTGATTGATCTTGAAGTAAGTTTTATCACAAAATGTGTGATTGTTGCTTAATTATTATTTATTTGTTTTGTATATTCAAACTTATCTAATAATATTCAATTACAATTTAATTATGCATTTACAAAATATTTTATAAAGTAAAAATTCTAATTAGTATTTAAGAATAAAAGCCTGTGAGTAAGAGTGCTTTGTCATTAGAGTCAAATTTTCTTGGGGCCTTTATTTCGCTAAACCTATAGCATCATATACTCCTATCCAGAGGTGTGCCATTACAATATTTTATTTTCAAAGAATATATTTGTATTCATATAACACCTATTGACACAACATCTATCTCTTCCCCCCAGTATCACCTTCTACTGCCCCTTTTCCAGGTATAAAAAATATCTTATTTTTTTCATGTAATGATAAAGAATGAAACGAAAAAAATTTCATTAAATAGATAAAGTAGTTCTCTAAATGTTTGCTAATATGCATACAAACAGAATCGGGGGGATAAAGTCAAAAACTTAAGATATGTCCTGGATACTAATAATATTAATGTATTTACAAATTTATAATTTTAACTCTGTTATTTTAATGAATGTAGAGGTATTTAAAAGTAAGTTTTGAAAGTTGAAACCCTCTAAAGGCATATCATTGATACTAACGTCATGCATATATGCATGTATAAAACTTTATCCCCCTAGCTTTCTAGATCTAGTCTGTAGGGCGGAACAAAGCTAAAATATATCCTCCATCCCCAAAATCATAGTTAAATTCATATTGAAATTCAACCTGACTTATTACCTCAGTCTGCCTACAGAACAAGTGCAATTTCTGATTTTGAACCCATTTGGTCCTGACTCCTGAAGGAGCTGCTAAAAGTTTTTAAGTGTCCCTGGAAAGAAATACAGTGCATTTTGAATATATTTTATAAAAATTTAAATATTTTTCTAAAGAATTTAATAAAACTATAATTATAGGGAAAAAGTATATAAATAAAAAATTAATTAATTAATTAATGCGTCGCCTGGAGTATTATGATAAGTTTATTATACAAATGGTTTTGAATTAAAAAATTATATTTTTTTGAGTATAAGGGTGATTAGAATCATGTGGTATTATAGCATCAGTTTGTGTAGATTTCCTGTACACACTAAAATCAAATGTATTGTTAATTATGGAAACTGTAAGATCTAAGACATAATGTAATAATGTAACATAATAACATAATGTAACATAATAATTTAATGTATTATTTATTTTTATTGCAAGTATAAATTGAATGTTTTTATTTATTTTGTTCCATTAAATAAACATAATTATCAACATGAGCTCAATATTATCTATTATATAGCCCATAGAAATAATTTCAATGTAAATACTATTAAAAAAATTTCATAAACATTTTAAAAAAAAAATAATACACAACAAAATAATGTTGTTCACTATTTTAGTATGAAATATCAAAATAATATGTCTAATGAATTCACTAAAATTCTGAACAATAATACAAATATTGTAAAAATTGCTTTTAAGACTAATATTAATTTTATCAAACTTATAAACAATAGAACTAAAAACTTCATGAAAAATCCCCCTTCTTATGTGAAAATGCTGGTATATATAAACCTAAATGTAACTAATAAATTTTATGTACGGAAGACAAATACAAATTTTAAAATAAGATAATATAAAGAACACATTTCTGAAATAAAATTAAAAAAGACTGTCCCAAATTCAAATTCCAGTAAACATGATTTAGAAAATAATCATAATATAAACTTTGATATAAATACAGACTTGGAGAAATTAAATACCCAAAACAACATTTACATTAATTCAGTTTTAGAAAAATTACACATATACAATGAAATAAGGAAATAAATTTTAATAATATTTTAAATGTATAATGCAATTTTAAAAATAATATCTCATATCTATACATTTTCAATAATAAATAATAACCAAATAATGTATATTTCTTAACATATGTATGTCTAATAATAACCCATTTTAAATAATCTATCTTATTAAAATAAATTATTTCTAATTTCTATATAGAACTACATATTTGTATTTTTTTTTCTGTGTATTCCTTCATTTAATCTTTTATATTCAGTTGTGTTTTACATTTTGACTGTGATATACCAAATGATAAATTTTTAATTTAAAACCGGTTGTGTAATACACTTATTATAATACTCCAGGCGATACATTTATTCATCGTTTATTTATTTTTATGTATACATTTTTATTTATATTTTTTTTTTTACTATATCTATTTAAGAGAATTAACCATTTTAATAATTTTGTTTTTACTTTATTATTTTAAAACTATAATACTGTAGGTATATTAAATATATTTGTAGTCTACTAAATTTTGATCAACATTTTATCAAAAAAATTAATAAAAAAATAATTTTTTTTTAAATTAATTTAGAGTACTTATATAATGGAAGATGAAATTTTAAACAATTTACTTTGGACATTGAATGAAAATGTAGTACTTTCTACTCAATATACAACAACAAATCCTCTATTAATTTTCCCTTACAGTGTATCATTACATTTTTCGATAAAAATGAAAAACGAAGATTGTTTGTTTAACAATTTATGTATACTTGATAACTACTTAAACATTGCAGTAAGAATTGTTTTTAATATTTCTAACTTGTTATATATTCAAATTATATTCATATTAAATTTTAGTATAAAATGTTGAATGAAAATAATCTACAACCGGTGATGAATTTCGAAGATTATACAAATAATAATTCACAATGTTTTGAACTAAATTATTTTCTTGAAATTATTTTACAAAATTATGAATATATTTCACAATGTTTACCTAATGATTTTTTAATAAAATATTGGGAGTTTATGTTTAATCCACAAAAAAAGATGAATGGTCATTCAAAAAAAATATTGAGTTTATGCTCCCCTGAGAATTTAATAAAAATCATTGACATTTTAAAAACTAAAACAGTAAGTCTAAATTTATTATATATAAATTTGTATAATAAATATAAATAATTATTAATTATGCATTTGAATTTTATTTATTAATGATTAGATGGAATTATTTGAAATAAATGAAGATGTGCAATTTGATTATTATTCAATTATTTGTCAATTATGGTCTGAATTACTTACAATAGAATTTATTAACAAGAAGAAAAAAATTCGTAAAGAACTTGTGAATCATTTTTGTTTTATTATAAACAGAACTTTTATTTTTAACTCAAAAAAGATGGAAAGAGTAAATGAATTGATTTTATTGATACAATTAATTTGTTCATTACTAAAGTTATCATGGGTAAGATATTTATTAATAAACATACCTACATTCAGAGAGAATAAACTTGAGAGTGTTGGATATATGATGAAAATAGATGAGTCAGATGCTGTAAAGAGTATTTTTATGAGTGGATGAATATATTGACAGGGGAAGAATATTAAAAAGGAGATGATTACTATGTATACATATATAAATATTTGTTCTTACATATTAGCGAGTGTATCAAAGCGAGTGTGATAAATAGATTAAGGTAGCTTAAAATTTGGTTTTTTTGTTTTTATGAAAATGTAAAATATTTATGTGCAGTTGAGGTACAGTTGCTCATAATACTAACTATTTTTTGTGATATCTAATTTTATTTTTTTTAGATAAACAAAACTATGTTGATGAATTTTTCATTTAGAATTATGAATTTTTTTGAAAGTATACATGAAGAAAAATTATTAAAAGAAGTTGCAGAACTATTAATTGTTCTGTATAAATGTCCAAATAACTCAATAAAACCATTATTAGGATTGTATGTCAACACTTTTTCCAACTTTTTTAACCAATGTTGGTCAGTTGCTATAGATGAAACAAGACCATTGTTGAACTCTAATTCAAAAAATTTATACGTACCTTTGCACAAACTAGAATTGTAACTAATTTAATAATCTTAAATTGTCATTGAAGAATATTTTTACTTATGACATTTAATTTTTTTATTATTATCATTTAGATGTTCAAGTTTATTTAAACAAAATAAAAAAGATTTTGAAGTTATTTGTCAATATTTTATTGCAGACTTGATTAAAATTCTTGCAACACGAAAACATCCAAAAGAAAAGTTTATGGTAAGGTTAAATTATAAATTAGATTATAAATCACTAATTTCAAATTTACTAATTTATAGAGATTTTTTTACAAAATTCTATTCAACTTGATGGACATTTGCTCCCCTGAGGAAATGAGACAACTTATGTTGAATATTCAAGGACCCTCTTTATTGTTTTTAAAACAAGTGTACCAAGACTACCAATTGCATATTAAATTTACTGGAAGACTTTAAAGTATCTATTTTTGAAATGCTTATGTTTCTATATTTTTAAAATGTGTGAAAATAATTTGTTTATTATATTTAATATTTATTAAACTTATTGATAAGTTTGTGCATTTTAATTTTATATCATTTTTCAACAATAATTTTCAAAAAAATAAAAATATGTATAATACTGTATAATATGTATGTATACTACATTTGTAAATTTTTTCGATAAAAATAACTGTCAAACAGCTGAGAATCAAACCCCTTTCTCATGTGACAAATGGGGATACTTACCTCTATGACAGTGGTCTTAAACAAGTGACCCCCAATAAATATTTTATATTTCACATTCACATTTGTGGAATTTAGAAATTTCTGATGAAAATTATAATCACAATGCGATAAAAGTTATCTTATTTAAGTAAATTAAATTAATTAAGTGAATTAATTAAGTAAATCATATTTGGTGTATTACGTACCTGTTGGACTCATTTTATGAGTGTAATTTGTGTGCGTTACTCATTCATTAAAATATCAGGTGTTAAACATAAAATTGATTAAGAAAGACAAGGTTGTATATTTTTCAAGAAATATGGGGGCAATGAGTAAAAAACAAAGGTTGGTCAAAAGTGTGTTTTGCAAGTGAACCTTTGACGTAACATATAAATATATGGCCTGTTGGTAATTTTAGTTTGAGATCACTACTCTATACTTTTCTGCTTTGGAACCTTGTCAAAATGGTTGAAAATTTAACCTGAGGTTTATTGTAAGAAGAAAAAAAAAAGATATTCCATTGCACTGAAAAACATTAAACCATATGTATGTAATCATGTATATTTTTGGGATCTGTTAAAAAAAAATAATGCTAATTTTTTTCTTCGTGTGAAGAAAAATTCACTATTGAACTGATTTTAGGGAAAAATAAAATAAATCAAAATGTGTATAGATTTAATATATGTTTTATTAACATCAACAATTTACAATATAATTTACATTTATAACAAACCAGTTTTTTATCCAATTATTTTATTTCTACAACTAATGGAAATTTACAAGAAAAATACATAAGTGTTAGTAAATATTATAGATAACAATTAAATAAAATTATACCTAATAAGTAAAAATTATTAATAATAGTATACAAATAAAATAGTGAAAGGCAAACAAATCAGTAGTAAAATTAGATGTTAATATGTTAAAAAATTAAACACAAAACATTGTATTTAAAATCCGAGTCTAAGATCTGAAACTCAGGACTCCAACTCTAGTACTCAAGTACTCTACTCTTATATTCTATTCAATTCTATTTAAGAGTACACCGGGTGACAGACAAATCACGTCCGTTTTCGCGCATGCGTTTCCACTCCCGGTTATCGGTACCGCTTCATTCATTCACCCACATATCAATCTCACCACCGCCGATACCCATTTATGCGACATACGTATAGAACAAAATACTGATAACATTTTGTTTTAACGGCCTTACTGCGTACGCATTTTTTCTCCCACAAATACTCTATTTTAATTTGAATAAACGCTACAATTTACGTAATATAATTTTTCTATGTTTCCCATTAGTTTGATTGAAACAGTATAATATTATGCGTGTATGATGTATGAAGATTTATTTGGCGGTAAGGATTTAGATATTATGACTCGTATACACGGCGGCGATGGCGACAACCACGGCGTATGATCCGTAACGATTGTTTCCGAACAATTAATTAAGAGAATCGGCAACGTTCAGCATTCAGTTGCGTGAACTGGTGGACTCCAGTTGAATAGAACTCAAGTTGAATAGAATATACAGTCCGAGATAATTGAATGAATGGTTCTTTGGATAGGGTCGTTAAATGAATAGTTTGTTTTAGGAAAACCTGTTTATTACGGGAATCAATGCTAGGTAGGTATATGACAAGAAAACCTGAGTAAATGTCTAGCATCAATCTTACCAAGAGCTAAATTTTTAATAAATCTTGTGTTTTCATTTTCTTTCTGAATTCTAGGTTACATATATTCAAAAATGTCAATATTAATGTGTAATTATGAGGAGGGTGAGCAATTTTTGAATCCGAGAATGAAAGAAAACGTTTTTGAACTTTTTAAATGTCTTTTGAGTATAAGGCCATCTACACACGGAGCTATTCATTAGAAACTAATAACTGACGAAAATGACTAATCAGTTCGCTTTGAGTCACAACGTATGTTATTCAATGGATCACAGCAGACAGCGCTACTGGTTATAAATTAGTAACGTGTTAGGCTGGTGTCACATGGACGTACAAAATACGCGCGTTATGACGGAGGTATTTTTTAACGCGCGTACCAGAGCGGGCACACGAGTGTTGATAATATGACGTCCGTTGACATTACGTGCAACTCTATAAGAAACTAAGACAAGATCCTGTACAATTTTTTAATTATTTTATTATAACGTGTTAATTTCAGTTTAAAATCAGTATAATGTTTTGCAAGTAATTTCAAAATTCAATACGTCCTTACTTTGTGCGCACGTGTGTCTACTTATATTGGAATTAAATATAATTCTAAACGCGCGTTGATAATTTTCGACGTGCATACTAGACAAAATACGTCAATGAGAAATTGACGTTCGTCCGAACGCGTTATTTTTAGCGCACGCTGCTCGTGTGTAAGCGATAATGTACTTCTACAACGCATGTGAAACAGTACGCGCGTATTGACGTATTTTGTACGTCCGTGTGACACCAGCCTTAGTGTTCAGTTCCGAGTGATTCAATTGTTAAGTCACTTCCAAGTTGCGTCACGTATTCTCGTTGAATTGTGTGCATTTTTAAAATCTTTTTTTTTTCTAATTTTCTTCTATTAGGTTGAAATAAAAAGATGAATGAACAAACAATTAACGTAAAGTTGGTAGAAGAAGTAGAGAAACATCCCATTCTATAAAACTGTACTAAACATTTCTTTCGATGCATGGATCAATCCAAAATCTTCTTTGTCTTCTATTTATTTAGGTAATTAGCTTGGTCCAAGTCTGACGCATTTCAACGAATAAAACTTAAAATACGTAATGTTTTGCAAGTAATGAGCTCAACATGAATAGGTACTTACATAAGATAACACAAACAGATTTTCCGCCATACCTTATTTTTGAAAGTTTTTAGCCTCTTTCCCGTAACCATTGTAGTCGATATGTCAATGTAAGTCTTAAAATTGACACATGGTCTTGTTTTTGGCTTTATTTGTTTTCTTAGACCAGTCATTTTTGATGCTCAATATTATGCATACGATGTACACTTTTCTGAAAGGAAATTTTCTTGGAGTGGTACTTTAGGGAGGTCATTTTTTGATTTTTCTGACTGTGTTCCCAATAAAAGAAAGAAAAACGGAAAACTTATGAAAATAATTCTTTATTTTTTCAATTTTATTATATTGTTGTAATTCAGTTTAAAATATTCGTAGACTTAAAATTTAGACAAAAAACTTATATTTGCCTATATATTTAGCTAAAAGCTATATTTTAGCTTATAATCGCTTATAATCATCACTCTTGTAGGCCGTGAAACCATAGATATATTAACTAATTTAGTTATTATGTGTATAAACGATAGTGTATGGTTCAAACCACTTCTTACTTTGCGCTAATTTGTTGATATAATTTGTACTTATTATCACGCTTATTAAATAATCAGATGTATAATTATTTAACTGTTTAACGTCTGATTTGTTTAATTTTTTTAAAAATGTTTCCTCAAGTTCTAGTTGTAAGCGTATAAACTATACTATATATTATTACTTACTATTTACAAAAACTATTAGATTACACTAATTAAAAAATAATTAAACCTAAATTATCTAAGCTTTAAAAATTTTATTCGAATAATTTATTACAACATTTTCCATGGATTTTTCATTTCGACTTAGAGATTCTCTAATGAAACTTCATAATCATCAATACTGAATAGTTGAATCAGTCCACAATCAACAAGAATGTATTTGAACAGTTGCAGACATGGCTACAATTTCGTTATTATTAGCTATTTAATATAAAATGTAATATAATAATTATATTCATTTATTAACTGGGTAGTATCCTAATATATTGCGGCCGAAATCTAACCTATTTCTGATAAAACTATAAACAGGTTTACATACCTTAGTTAACTTGTTGGTTCATTGAAATGGGCGGTGTTAATTCCCCAGAAATCGTGGATAACGTTTCTGAACCATAGAATACTCTATGTTCAGAACAGATTATACTCTGGGATGAATATATTTGTTATGTGGTATAATATATATTATTATTATGTTTATGGTATAATATGGTCTATAGTTAACCTAACATGGTAAAAATCCTTAGATAATACCACCTTAGACATCCAATTTGGATAATTATACCTTAGGTATACGGGCATATATTCTTACTCTATGGGTTATACATACATGTATTAGCATTTTAAATCGATGATTATATATGTAAGCAAAAATCATGGACTAAAAAGTCTGTAGTAAAAATCGAAGTTTTGATAACGTGATAAACTAACTACACAAAACCACTTACCAGAGTACCAGACCCTACAGATCGTGGTTACAGGATTTCCATTGCAATTTGCAACATTCTTGTGATAATATATTTTCCCCCTTTCACCGTCCAAAGTGCCTGCTAATACAATAACAATTTGCATAATTTTATTTTTGTGTAATTTTTGCTCGACATTTCTTAATTATTTACATTGTTGTCGTCTCGTACCTGGATGATTTTACGGCCTTCCAAATCTTCGCAATAATCAGTGTAAATCGATTCGTTTTTATCGCCGTCTAATAGTGCATGCTGTAATTTTAGGAGAACGCGTATTATAAAGGTTTGTTAATTCAGTGTCATTAGTTTTCTATAAACCCACCCAATTTGTTTTAAAACAATAACACAGTTCATATTTGTTTTGAAGTGATTATTATAACTATTGTATCTAAGATTCATTATCACTGACGTCGACATTTTTATAAATCCTTTGTCAATGACCTACTTAATTTTATACCAATTAGGTTCCATTGATTTTTGTCGACTCGGTATTCTTGTTTACTCTCGGGAATCGGGATCGTTTTATAGATATTATTATACATTTTAATATATTATACTAAAATATATAATTTATTTTAATATATCTGGATCATATGTGTTGCGAGAGTATGATGCATAAAGTACTCTATGGTATGGCGTCTTGTCATAGTTGCTCGATAAATAACTCCATAAACTAAACTCTTAGTTGCGATAAACATTCACAGGATTGCCAGTTGATATTAGTGCCATTTTATTTACCCCTGTCAATATTCAATATGGCATATCGAATATATTTTAATCTCATTACAATAAGATATAAAAGAAAGAATTTAGATTTAGGTATATGTTGATTTTCAAACAATGTCTATCAGTACCTATACCTATCTAGTATAGATAAAAAAAACATTTGTACCCTTTATTTTAGACAAGTTCTTGTAGGTATTGAGATTTTATGATTCAATAATTAGCTTTAAACTACCTTGATCATTTTAAAATAAAACTTAAAATTCACAGTTAAATTGTAAAGTAAGTGTGTTATTTTCTAAAACTTCTTTTTATATTATTTTAAATAGGTATTAATTATAATTATGGCTGATCAGAGTCAAAATCAAGGAACTCCTAGAACCAGTACTCAATATTCAAACTGGTCCCAACCAATGAATTGGTCTTACGGAAGGTAAGTTTTTTTTACCTTAAATTAATGGAGTTTTTATAATTTATATAATTATCTTAATACTAAGTACCTATAGAACAAATTTTATTTTTACTAAACTTGCACTTAATTTTTATTTCTTGAATTTAATATTACATTAATTAGATTTTTGGTAAAAAATGATAAAAGTTATTATTTTGATTACAATTTTTTTAGATTTGGAGTATAACGAAGAAGTTATTAGTTTTACAAAGATATTTTTTTCTTGGAAAACCTTTATGGTTAGTTAGTTAATATAACTCTTTTTATGCTGCACCTTTAAAAATGAGAAATTTTTTAGTCAGTGATATTTCATTTGAAATATTTTCAATTGTTCACCCTATAATACTTCTTTTGATCTTTGATAATTTTTGGGCTACCTTGATAACATTGTAAAAAGCACGATTAATACTACTCTACAAAGATTGGTTTTTTGTTTTCTATGATTTATTGTTGCATATAGGGTATAAACTAAATTACCCTATTCATACTAACTTTTGAATTATTCACCTATAACAAAAGCCTACCCTAGAGTATATCCTAGTTTTTGAAAGGTAATCTTGTAAGTCATTAGTAATTAATTATTATATTAATATACCAGATAACAGTATAGTTAAAGACAAAGTTGTAATTAACTATAGACTAAAAAAAACAAGTCTTAGATTAAAATTTACCAATACAAAAAAAAAAATGTTTAATTCAAAGGATTGTGGCTCTAGGAATAATATTAATTGAATTACTTAATTTTAATACTTATGTATGACCAAAACTTAAAACTAGAGTATTTAAATAAATAAAAAAATGTATTTAATAGAAAGATGATTAATTAGTTTAAATGTATAAATAGGTAATATTTATATTTTATATTTAAATAAGTTTTAATATGAGGTGTGGTATTTTATTTAAATATCTGCTAAGATTTTGGTTTGGTATTTTAATTGTTTTACTATTATTGTAAATTGTACAATTGATGAAAATTATATGCATTTGTTGTCTCTCAGTTTTTCTAATTGTCAATATGGTAAAAATTTGTTTTTGTACTTCTTATTGTACACAGACCTTATTGGTTGTATAAAATTGATTTTGGTGTTAAAATAAATATTGGAAGTTGTGTCTATAGAACACTTTAGATTTTGAGTAAAGCAAGGATGTTTTGGTTTTACTATGATGTTTATTATTTTTTATACTGTGTATAAACATTCTACCAGAAATCTTGCTCACTGTTTCTAAAAGGAAATATTCCTGGGGTGATCCATTAAAGAGGTCAGTTTTTGATTTCCCAAGCAGTTTTCAAAAAAATTGTGAAAAAAACATAATAATAAACATAATATACTTTTATTTACATTTTGTAAAATTTCTTATGTTACTTATTACAAAAATCAAGTCTATATGACTAACAAAGTGGACTGTGTACTAATAGATGTATGTGTATAAACATATTTTTACCATGTTGTCCAGTAGTTGGAGAAGATTAATTCATGTTTGGGGTTTTTTTCAATGTAGAATTGTAGTATCTATTTGAATACCTAATATATATTAATTTTCTTAATTTTACAGTTATGCTGCACCACAAATGTATAACATGAGTGCGTTTTATGGAGCACAATGCTATAATCAGGTATTTCTTAAATTTTCTTAAATTTATTTTAAATCAATTATTTTTCATGTTTTTATATTTTTTTTTTAGCAAGGATATCAACAATTTTCAAACCAACAACTGAATTGTAACTATAAGTCATTTGTTCATGGAGGTAAAATATTAACTTGGTTTAAATATTGAATGATAATATTATACACATTGACGGTGTTTAGTTAAAAGAGCGTTTATCAAATTTTACTTTTTTTCAGGAAGTAAAAAATATTTTGCAAAAAAAAAGTATAACAGTTTAGTTTTTAATGATGTTTATTATTGAAAACAATAAAATTACTCCTTGTATTTGTAATCAACTTTGTATATAAAGTATACATGCATTGAATGTGGTATACGCCCTTTTAACAAATCTGTGTTGATTTAATTATATTTTTAAAAGTCGCCTGAATATCTTTTAGTTGACATTACCAACTTAATTTTCTGTACTTAAATAGGTTCTTTTACCAATTTATGCTCCTAATTTTTCTGATATTTTTGGTATCAAATCAAAAATGTATTTTTCGAATTTTTAGTGGTGTATACCCTTTTAACAAAACACCATTGGTATTTTGTATGTAGGACTATTAATGTAATGCCTTTTAACTCCCCTAACAAGAAATACTTGTATGCATTACAATTTTTTACTTTATTATTTTATTATATTTTCTAAATAATGTATGAGACAAAATTTGTATTTTTAATAATTTTGAAATAAATAATATTCTTCATAATAATTATTCAGATGTATTATGACTTATGATAATAAAACTTGTACTGAGCTGTATCAATTGTATTTTTCATTATTTATTAAACAGTAAATCTAGTATTTATAAATATATCTGATTGATTTTGCTCGGCATGATGCTACTCATTGTCTTAATTTTGCTAAAACTATTAGCTAGCTTTTATGAGTATTCAATAATTTGTTATATTTATAATACAATTTTTTTAGCATGTAAAAATATTAAAACAAAAGTTCAAATTTGAACTTTGGACCCAAGAGGTACATAAAGCCCTAAAATGATTTTAAAATTATAAAATACAAAATTAAATTTATTATCAATGCTTATTTTCAGGGACTTTAGAAACTTCTACTACAGCACAAAAAAGTGGTCCATCAGATAATTCTCCTCCTTTACCAAATGGCCCAGCTCCTTCACAACCTCCTCTGCCTCAATTTGATAGTGATGATTTAGATAAACTACCACCTCTGCCTCCTGGTTCTCCACCACCAGTTTCAGGAATATGTGATGTACCACTACGTAAGTAATTAATTACATACAGTACTGATGTTATATATATATATATATATATTTAATTTTTAATTTTATCAGATAGTAAATGAATTAAAATATTAAAATAAAATTGTTATTATTATATAAGTTAAAGTACCGATTTTCCAAATTTTGTAAAATTGAAAACTATTTTAAATATTTTAATGACTATCTTAATGAAAATACTTTTTCACTTATTTCCTGCTTGATCTCTATTTATGGGAAAAGGGTAAGGCCATTTCTAAAGACAAATATAGATATAGGAATAACACACAATCAATTTAATGTTTTATACCATTTATTTTTAAACTATTAATCAACTACAGTCTACATTAAACTCAAATTTAAATAATGGTAAAAAATATTTGTGTATATTCTATTATAAATAGACTAGTGAAAGATTATCAGTTTTTTAAAAGGTCTTAGTGATAAAATGTAACCTAACTGAAAGAGGGCTGTTCTGTATTTTATTTATATATTCCCCATTAAGCATTTTCCTTGGTTAGACTTTCTATTTTTTTAAAGTGGGTGAAGAAATGATTTTTCATCTATTATGACTAAATAAAAAGAATAAAAAACTAAAAATTAAAAAGTAAATATCAAGGAAATATGACAATAAAATATATTCATTAAGCATGAGATACTTTTTACATGTTGATAGGGCACTAATACAAACATATGAGATGGTCATCAAAAATTAATGTTTAAGAGGTGGTTCATGACTAATAATACATAAAAAGTGTTTTATTAAATTTATGTAATTTTTGCCTATTTTTATTCATACTTAAAAATATTATTTGCAGAGTTTTTAAATAGTTTTTCTTTATAGCACCTCAACCAAATTTACGGTCTTTACCACCTATGCCTCAGACTAAAAATGGCCGAAAAAAATGGCGAAAAAAGCAAAGGAGTTTAATGGAAGCAATAGGCGCAATGACTAATAAATCTTCTCAAATAATTCCACAAATTCCTCACGCATATACAAATTTAAATTTTGTTTCTCCTGTACCTAACTTACAAACTCCTCCACCTCCAAAACCAGTAGTGAATACTTCATATACATTTACTCCTATAGTTCCCAGTGTTCTACCAATACAACAAATTAAACCTACAGAAATTATAAATATTCAAAAAAAACAAAATAGCTTCGATTTGCCTGACAACTGTCCCACTAGTTTGAGGTAATTAAAATAATTATATTTTAATATTGTTAAAATAATTTTATTTAATATAGTTCAATTATTTTTAAGAGAGTACATACAAAAGTGTCAAGATAAATGTGTTAATAAGATAGACCGGGACAGAATGGACATTATTTTAAAAGGAAAAGTAACGAATGCAAATCATGACGGTTCATTATGGATTAAAGATTGGACTAAAGAACCAATGCCAATGTAAGTATATTTGGTTTTCTATATAAGAAAAATAATTTGTTTTAATACAGAAATACTAATTTTTTTAAAATTTTTATTAATTTTATACTTAAAAGTATGGTTTACCATTAATAATAAAAAAAAGTAACACATATGTTTTTCTTTGTATAGGTTACTTAGTGAAAATATTCCAATTAACCAAAATCAGGAAAATGGTAAAAACAAAAATTCTATCATAAAAATTGCATTTAAAAAGTCTACTAATAATTATGTCAACTGTTACTTCACTTCAAAATTCAAATCAGGATTGTCTTGTGCATCACCTTCACCTACTAATGAGTAAGTATTTCAAATTTGTGTAGTACCTTTATTAAGTTATTTTTATTAAAATAATTATAATATGTTTAAATATAATTATGAATTAGTTTTTATACCTTATAATCATATAATAATCTGAAATAAAATGAAGAATCTCATATGGCAGTATCACTTTTAAGTTTTAAATTATTTCTAGGTCCAATATTGATGTGAATAAACAAAAAAATAGTCCATTGCGGGAAAATAAAAAACAAAATACTGAAGATTTTATTTCATTAAATACCAATAATGAAGAAAATAATAACAAAAAAATGAAATACACTAATAAAAATAAAAAGTAAGAATCTATTATTATTTTAAATATTAATTTATATAATTATAATGATTAGCCGGGATCCAATACATCAACTCTTGAAATTCAAACGACATGTATCAATTTTCTTCAGCTATCATAATGGTATATTTTTAAATAATTAATAGCTAGTCAAAAACCATTATATAATTTAAAGGTCTGACTGTCCTTGATTCGAAGTTTTGTGAAATATATTTTGGTTATAATTTGATTCCGTGGTTTTCAACCGGTGTGTTCTAACCATTTGAATAAATACAAGTCATCAGTAAATTAACATGGTCAAGTGACACATTTGTATAGATCTACATTTGGGTGTTGTACTTAAAATAGGTTCAGAACCACTGACTTAACTAATTAGTCTTTTAGCTTAGTAAGATACTATTAAATCTTTTTCTTATAAATATTGAAAGTAATAATACACTTATCTTGTGTTCGGAAGTTAATCGTTATTCTTTTTACTGAGTGAATCACAAAATTATACATTATAAAGAATTTATTTAACATTTTTATTTTTTATAAAGTGCAAAATCTCATGGCAATCTCATATCAAATACCATTTAAAATGTGTTTGAATAAAATGGAAAGTTTGATTTAAGTTCCATTAAATATTTTTTAACCATTATGCAAATAGTAAATACATTTATATTTAATAAAATTAATTTGGTATATTTTTAGAAAAAAAACATTACATATAATTGTTTAATACTTTACACTATAATGTTTATATTCAACATTTGTTTATCATTATTAATTGTACCAAGTGTATTAATGATAATATATTACGAGTTATGTGGTTAAAATATTTTAAATTCCAGACTATATAATGAAGATGCTCATTTATATCAACAATATGGAACTATTGATAATAAACCAAATTATGATAAAAATGTGTTGACCAAGCGTGCTGCTCGTTTTTCATCCCAAGGAAATCCAAAAAAAAAGCCTCGTCAAGTGTTAAAGTTTGATAATCATACACCAAAATCAATTACTAATAATGATATTGAATTTTATATAGATTCTTGTCATGTTGTTGGAACATGCACGGATTTGGAAAAAAAATATTTAAGATTAACAGCGGTTAGTTGTGTTTGCTATACTTATTATGTTAATTATATTAATTAAAATTCCTTGCATACAAATTATAATTAAACAGGCTCCAGATGCTGATGCTGTAAGACCTTTAAGAATTTTAGTAAAATCATTGCAGCATGTCAAGTCTAAATGGATAAATGATAGCAACTATCTTTTTACGTGTGACCAGTTAAAGTCAATTAGACAAGATTTAACAGTAAGATCTGGTATTTTAGTTTAATTATTGTAAATATTTTTTATCAATTATCTTCCTTAAAGGTTCAAGGTATTAGAGATTCATTCACAGTTGAAGTTTATGAAACTCACGCAAGGATTGCTTTAGAAAAAAGTGACATGGGTGAATTTAATCAATGTCAAACTCAATTATCCGATTTATATGAGGAATTAAAAGATAATCCCATTGCTCAAAAGCATCGTAATGAATTTCTCTGTTATAATATATTGTATTGTATATATACAAGAACTTTATGTGGTAATTATAATGTTTATCATTAAATTATTATTCATCATGCACTTATGAATTTCTATAATTTTGTATAGAGTTAAACAATATCATATTGTATATCAAGGAGTTTAATATCAAAGATGAGTGTATAGATTTTGCATTGAACGTCAAAGACGCATGGTGGTTAAGCAATCATGTTGAACTATTTTTTTTGTACAAAATTGCTCCTAAAATGGCTGCATACTTAATGGATATGTTTTTGGCTAGAGAACGCAATAACTTCTTTTTGGCTATTGCCAAATCGTATGTATTAAAACAATTCTTAATATACTTAAATTAATATTTTGCAGGGCGTTACATAATTTGTACAGGTATTAAATGTGCTATACACTACATAATTTTTTTTCAAATTAAATTTTTATGGGTTAAGATTGGGATCGTTTGTGTTTGTTTATGTTACTTAAACTATTATAGATATATTCAATTTAAAAAAAAATAATAATAAGTAATTACCAATAAAATTAATAATTCAAATTAGATTTGGGTAATTTATATCATTACAAATTAAATAAATATTATTTTTTTAATGTATTCTTATCATAATATTACATTTTTTATTAAGTTTTAGTTTTACTGCTTTATACTATTTGTTTAATATTTCTTGCTAGTTAATAATTGCAGATTTTTAAAGATAATTTTATTATGATATAACAGTTACCGCCCAACTATTCCAATCTCGACCATTCAAGATCAAATGGCATTCGATAAGCGAGAGGATTGTTTGGCTTTTCTTAAGGCTGCAGGCGCGGTATTAACTTCCAATAATGAGAACATCGACTGCAAAGCAAGCTGCGGTTCGACCGAAGCTTGACTTTCAGAATGGTGTCGTTCCTATGCCTACATAACCACATATAATATATATATATATATATATATATATATATATATATATATTTATATGTATATGTGTATATACATATGTTTATATATATATATATACACACACTATATATGTATATTTATGACATATGATGTATATATGTAGTATATGAAAATTCTCCGTTCATTTGTCGTCGTAGAAAAGAACCACAATGGGCTACAAATTGATATTCTACTTCTAAAAATAAATCTTACTACATCTATGAAGTTGTTTGATGAATCAAAAATCAGTTAGGTATGTTAGTCATGGAGATTAACATATAATTTAAACAAAATTTACTCAATTGGATTACTTTGCTTTACACAAATGTTATCCTTTCGTTGATGGAAATGCGACTTCGTTTCCTGCAAATATTCATAATTTTTTAACTATTTTCTTTTTGGTCGATTATTATTTATTTCGATCTTCATTGTTCTATTGGCTGCTCATTTTTAAGAAGCGATCACTATTTGATATTTGTCATCACATTTAGTGTGCTGTGAGTAAGTAATGAGCTGTGCTAGTCACTTCAAGAAAATGCATACATCTTACAATCAGGGGAAAAATTTACTCAAAAACTAAATGTATCACATTAACATGGAAATATGTTATTCGTATCTAAACTTGAGTTAGGTAAGTAGGTGATATGGTGCTGAATTCTTTGAAAATCGTACCTATGTATGGTGGAAGAAAGTTAAACGGATTTCAAGTTCACTGTGGATCAATTTGTAAATTGAAATAATTGGAAACATTATAATTAAGTTTTGTATATAACTTATACATTCAAAACATTGTTTCCAATACTTTTTTCTTATGTCTAATAAATCAATCAATTTTAATATTATAATCTTATAACATTGGTATACTAAACATTATAATTTAAATTGGATAACTCAAGGATAATTCAGTGATACAAATTGTTTTACGGCGAAGATTGAAATAAGCCATGTATAATATGTAAGCTTACAGTTATTATTATAATTAAATATGTTTCATATATTGTGTATCACATTTAAAAATGTAATCTTGGACAAATACACTTTATTTCAGTAATACAATTGAAAAGGTCCAATATTATAAAAATAAATTTGTATGAATTAAATAAATAAATCAATCCAAAACAGAAGGAGGCATATATATATATATATATATATAAATATATATAATATATATAATGTTAAAATGTTATAACTGGTAAGAATATTTTTTATTAAAGTTGTATACCTTCACTTATGTTTCTTAAGTTTCATAATTTGTATTGTCAACTTTTTACTTTATTGTATTTGATTGAACATAATATTTAATTAAAGTGATCAAATATTTTTGTTACATGAATTATAATATTGTAGTCAATATTCAAAAATAATTTAGTATTCACCAAATATTTGTTGATTAGTGGTTATAAATAATTTATTTTATAATTCAATTGTTTTGTTTGTTTATAGAATACATACAGGTTTTGAACAAAAAGTTTGGTAGTAATTCAATGAAATATTCATTATTCCATAGTCAATAATAACAGGATTGGTAGTTTGAAGATTTATGGTTCAAGTGTTCTTCAAAGTGAACATTTTATGCTTTTGTGGTTTTTTTTTCTTTTTAGTTAATTTTTTTCTTCGACGTCTAATCTGAACAATACTTAATTTAAACTTTGTAAATAGATGCATTATACATGTATAAGTTGCAATTAATTATCATATTTTTATGTAAATATATTTTAAACAAATAAAATAAACCTTTTATTTATATGATTTTTAAAAATTGTATTATCTACTTATCCTTATCCTTCTTTTTAAACATATGTTTATATTTAAGGTATAATCCTTTTTATTAATCTCAACTCATGTCTCTAAGCTTTTTTTTATATCTATTATTATTTAATTTTTCTTTTTAAAATTCACCACTGTTCTATGTTTATATTCCTGAATTTTCCTTTATTGTTGTATTTCACAAATTATTTTATAATGTTCTTAACACAAATGTATGGAATATGGGTAATTTACATGAAAACATGGCATATTTTACATTAAAAAAAAAAATGTTGGCATTTGCGTATATTGTAACCTATGGTACTATTATTACACTTGCAACATTCTATTGGACCGGGTAAGTTTTGAAAATTAAAAACATAGGATAAAAACTTCATAGCTGCTGTCGGGGTGATCAAACATTTGTAATTAGTAAAACTGAAAGTAACTATAGATATATTGATTATAATAAATTTTCAAAAAGGTTAAAAACACAGAAAGAGAGGTCAGAAAAATTGTTTAAGAAATTACAATGTTCAAATTTTGGCTAAAAATTGTATTTTTATTATAGCTATTGTCTTATAAGCAGCGACAAAAAAAAAGGTTTTAGCTATTTTACAGAAAAATTCAAACATAATAGTGATCATTAAGCTTTGACTTGTTGCTGGGATACAGAAGTGAAAATTATGTCAAATTTTATTTTGGGGGGGGGGGTTTCTTGACCCTCTTGCGTCCATAATTGTAGTTTAGACAGGGTCAGTTTTTCCCCCCGAACGTCTATTATGTCATCACTCAACAACGCGTTGTGCGCAGGTACAGTATCGTAGAAAAAAGTTACAAAAGTACAGTAGGTAATATGTTGCAATAATATAATGATACCGTTGGTTGAGTTACGGAGTAGCCGAGTAGGTACTATTTTATATTCCCGTCATTATTAAATAATATTGTTACATCGAAACAGCTGATTGGGAAATCCCTTCCTTCGCCGCCATGTTATACATCTGGAGTAGTTTTTTTTTTTTACTAGTTGACCATGTTATCATTATTATCAGAACTACCAATTCGTAACTGCGCGACGACATAAAGACGACTGAAAAGCTCGAACAAGATCCCGAATAAAAAGAAAAACAATAAATGAATAGAACTGCAACCACTGTGTTAAATTTATTGAATAAAATAGATAATCGTCAACATTAGCTGTTTTTTTTTTGTTCTATTGTGTTAACTATTGGTTTTTTTTCGGTTTTTATCGAGTGCGTTAGTCTTTTACATTGATTTCGAGTGGTAACAATTTTATATTATTCCGTCGTCGCTGTGGCTGCTTAATTCGATTTTCGTTGTTGGATGTTAATTATGATGGACGGTCACCACATGAGAAAATACTCGATTTGCCTATAGATAGTACTGCGCGCCATACAACGAAGTTCTCGTCATCCAGTGTTGTTTTTTGTAGACGTCTGTTGCATGCGAAATGGGAGCAAAGGCCAGCACGGCCAACGGTGATGACAACAGCACCAGCCACGGTGACCGGTCGTTTTCTTCCGGCAACGGGTCGGATTCCGTACAGACGGCCGGGAACCCTGGGTTTAGCATTCTACGTTCTTTGCCCAGTGCAGTGGCTAACGACAGACAGCGTGCCAGATCGTTGTCCAGTGTACCCGACGGCCATGATAACAATAGTAATTCTACGACCCCTCGGTTCGACATCACAGACGTCTTGGAAGCGGACAGTGGCTCAAACGACGATCAGAATTTAGACAGCCCTACAGTCACTGCTAATATCAGTCTTGGACGCGTTTATTCGGCACATTCGTTACCTGCACATATTTGGTCATTCAATGGTATGCCTAAATCTTTTTATTTCACAATAGGTATTTAGTTTTTACTTAACAGACCAAACAGTTTGCCTATTAACTATTTACTTACCTACCTAGTATGTTTTCAATATCAACAAATATTATATAATATCTATGTAAGGGTTACTTTAGTTATTAAAAAATAATAATAATAATACTCAATAGGTAAACTTTTTTTTGATTAAGTTAGTAAAGGATAGTAAGTATTATAAGATAATTTAAAATAACAGCTTCGAAATATAATCAATTTTGTTTAGTATTATTTTAAATGTTATATAATCATTTGGTAAGTTATAATATTATATTTCACATTAGTCTACCCCAGCTTTAAGTTTCTTATTACTCTTTACATTGTTTAACCATCTTTATTTACGTTTGACTATTTTATCCTACGTTAATTTCTTTATATAAGTGTGGTATAAAATATGAGAAAATACAAATACCCTTGATGTCTACCTATTTTACCAATTTATTTATCTTTTGATATTTACCAACCTTAAAATAATTTTTCAAATTTTATAATTATTCACTATCAAAAATTTAAAAAAAATCTTTGGATATTTTTAAAAATAAAAGAGTACTTATTGAAATTTGGTATCTAATAGTTTTTGGTATTTAAATTAATGATATTGTTAAAGAAGTGTTCTCTATGGAACTGATGATCACTCAATATAGATAATGACATTTCCATCAATTAATTTTACAATAATTCTTCTTCCTCTTTATTCTCTTTATTATGTAAGTAATGCAGTAGCTACCTTCTGATTGAGATTTAACTGAAATATTGATTGTACCTTTATAGATTCAATTTGTTGAAATTCTCATTTATAGGATAATATTATAATTATTTGCAATTAGCACATGTTAAGTGCATATTATGTATTACTCATGATGATAATCACACCACCATCCTTTCTTCACTAGTATTCACTCAACTGATAATGATTTAAATACAATTCTCTTCGAATAGTAGATAAACTAACTATTTTTGTTTTATAGTTTCATAGTCGAGTAATTAGTAATTAGTCGAATTATATATTAATAATACAATTTTGAATTTGAAATTTTCAAATATTTGAGTACCAACCAAGTGTAATTTATTTTTTGTTTTTATGTAGGTATTACCTGATGATTTTACAAATGAAATAATAATAATAATTATTCTGTTCAATAATTTTTAGGTTTTTTTGTTTTCTTGAATAATTTTAATATTAATATAATTATATTAATAGTTTTTTTCTTGTACCAATTTTTCTCTATTATATATATGTATATTTTTTTTTAAAACAAAAAATGAAAATTTAAATTTAAAAAAAAATTAGTTTTACAAAATCCAAGATATTTTACAAACATTTATTTGAAATAAAATGTTGGTGTTAAAAATATTTACAAATGATGAATAATTATGTTTCTATAATTCTTAAAGTTTATAAAAATCAATAACAAAACTATTTTTCAATTTTATCACTTGATATTTTATAGTGACAATGAATATGATTTAAATTATCGTAAACTTTTATGATTCATTATTAGTAAATGTTTATAAATCTAATTTGGCGTTTCAAAATAAATTTAAAAAAAGGTAACCTTGAATTTTGTAAAAAATATTGTATTTTTAATTTTAAAAGAATCATAGCAAAAGGGCTCTAGTAATAGTTTCAAAAAAGAAAAATTAAATATATTTATTAGGTAAATGCAATAAAGTTATTAAATTTATCAAATCTTTGTGAAGATTGAAGTATAAAAAAATTAAGTGGCTCACTTAGGCAGTCACATGGTAAGATAGGTGTAGATAATCCTCTGGGTGATTCATTTTCTCTAAGTTTTCTAAATATTTTTAAAGAATTTAATATTTGTGATAAAAATATGTTTTATTCATGATCAAAATATTTATTTCAATTTGTTTGATAATATTTGTGTGTATTAATGCATGGAGTTATAATTATTAACTTTAAATATAAAAAAGTTAAATTAAATATATTTTATGATTTTATTAATTACTATTTGATCCTATTGGTTATATGTTTATATTTATAAGCTATAATTTGAGACAATATGTATTAAAAATCACATAGATAACTAATAATACTTGATATTTAAAGTCAAGTGAAATCATAATAAATTTTTTTTATAATTTATAACTTTTATCTTGGCATTCAATCATTTTCAATCAAGAGGACGTTATACGTTATACCCACATATACTGTCTCAGTCCAACTACTGAGTAACATACAAAAACAATGCTTGTGTAGAATAAGTAAAATTAGCTTAATTTTGATTTTAGAGTAAAAATATCTATTATGAAATTTATAGAGAACAATATTTTGGAGAGAACGTCATAAGGTTTTTGTTTTATTAAAATATACAGCTCGACATGTAAGATACAAAATTTTTTTTTTTAATAGTTCACAATTCAAAAAACACATATGACATTCTCTTCAAAATATTGTTCGCAATAAATTTCATAATGGATACTTTTACTTTAAAATCAAAATTAAGCTAATTTTACGTATTCTGCGTAAGCATTGTTTTTGCATGTTACCTGTAGTTGGACTGAAACAGTATATGTGAGTATAATAATACTCTTCTTAATACTCATATTTCAAGTTGCTTTTTTTTTTTTCTAAAAATTTGTAATGTTTTAAAATAGAGATTCAGTATACTATAATGTTTTGAAAATATACATTATCATCTTAAATATATCTTGTTTATAGAAGAAAGAAAATTTGATTTTCAAGTATAAATTAATTTATATTCTTCATGAAAAATTTTAAATAGCTAAAAGTCTTAATTAAACAGTTTATTTATTTATTGATAAAAATACAATTTAGGGTCAAGTGGAGATATAGAACGAGGGTAGCCGACCCGGAATGTAATTGTAAAATTATTTATTCAGAATGAGCACCTTAAGTACAAATTATGAATTTATTTTTATTATTAATTTATAAAATGTACCATTTATCTCTCACGTGTATATTGCAATAATTGGAAATTCTGTTAAAATATTATATTACAAATTACAATAGTATTTAAGAATTGTAGAAAAATTTATTACAAATGAACCAATCTGGATGTGCCTAAAAGGACTGGCATTCAATTTTCACTGCCCCAAATACTAATATTGTAGTTATATAATTTTTGTAAATATTGACACTTTTTCTATTTTAATAGTGTACAAAAATTATACCAGAAATCTTGCTCCGATTTACATTAATAACACTTTTTCTAAAAGAAAATCTGACTGAGGAGGTACTTTAGGGAGGTCGATTTTTCCAGTATATGTGAACAACCGAGAAAACACAGGAAAATCGGCGAAATCTGATCAATATTAATAAAATATCAGTAAAGAAAATAGTGCTTATCTAATTATTTTACCATAATATAACATATAGGTATATTGTTGACAAAGCATCACTATCAACTGAACTCTCAAAATCGATTTTCTGTTAGCAATGGTTTATCGATGCTTACACATTTACATTAAATTAACTTCTGTATCCTACTTTCCCTACTTCCCACCTACAACAGTGACTACACCCGTCCCCCGCAATGAAATGGCTGCATACTATCAGTACCTATGTAATGTCTGTTTGATAAACATTCTGTATGAATCATATGTTTTAGATTTAGAATTTTTAGTTGTGATGAAAATATTAAATGTATACATATTTCTATAAATTAATAATACATAGATAGCCTTTGTAATTGTTATACCATTTCTGTTAACAATAATTCATTTTAAGAAATCTGAGTTGCTTAAATTGTGAATTAGGACATAATTTGGAATAGATGAGTTATATATTCTAATAAATTAGTCCCTCTAGTGATATTTCATGTTATGATTATTTTGTTTTTAATAAAAGTTTATTTTTTTTTTAATACCCAACAGCAATTTTTCACATGTTTATTTATTTCCCTAAAAAATAAAAAAAAATATCTATTGATTTTGTTTGATAGCTAAATGAGTATGAATTATTGTGCAGTTTTTCGAGAATTGTTTTTAATAACAAAATCTGTATTCTGTATAATATTAAATTAACATCGTATACTCGTAGTGGAGTGGAGTGAGGAGATTACTGTACGCGGTAACTGGTCTACATTGTAATTCGTTCAGATCCCCGCCACATGTTGAACTTCCTTATTCCAATCGGTTCTCTTTCTCTTAGTATACACACGCTACAACTCTAGATATGTCTACGATGTACACTGTATATAAACAAGTGGTGTGGTATGACTGCGTTATTTTTGGTCTAGTAATAGCAGTTTTCACTGCTCCCGCGCGTGTACAATAATATGTTTTATAGTTTTCTTCGTGGGTATTATAACAGGTGGACCAAATCTAGTTTACGACCCAAACTTGTTTTTCAAATTTTTTTATTTTTTTTCAAAATGTGTGTTTTAACCTGTACATTAAGAATCTGAAAAAAAAGTCGAACGAACTTCGTTTGAAAGTTATGGAGAAAACTTCAAGAAGTTCTGGTTTTCCGATTCGTGTATTTCTTAGTTAGAATTTAATATGCTAATGCTAATTCATTAGTATAATCGAAACTTACCTATCATACTTACTCTTACAGTTATTGTACATAAACCGTGAAAAATAGCATTTTCGGAATTAATTAAAAATGTGGTCTAAAATAGACATTTTTTCTATTATTATTTTTAATTATTGATATATTTTAAACAAAGTTTTTTTTATTGAAGTCAGAATAAGTCTATCTGGCTTAGTTTTAGAGTTACAAACGTTCGTGTTTCACTGCGCTCACTCAGACAATTTTAATCGAAAATAACCCTCGATTTGTGCAAAACTACGTCGGGTAGGTAACAGGGTAAACGTTAGTCTAATTTACTGGCTATATAGCAGAATTATGTTACTTAGAATGCAAATAGTTTCGTTGAAACTCAAATAATAAACATTAAAGAAGAAATTATTTTTGATGGGTTGAGAAGCTTTTACTAAAAAAATTGTTGTACAAAAAAGTTATATTATTAAATATTATTTTAAACGGATTTTACACAAATTTTTACTTGTAATGTGGTCACATTGATTTGAGGTAGATAAAGTTTGTTTAAATTTTAGAGAAATACATTGTTCTACTAAGTGCATCATCTCGCTTCATATAGTTAGTGGTTATACTAGGTAAGAGTGTTTTTTTTTCTGTCTGGGAACAACTTTTTACTAAAAATCGTGTTCAAATCAAAAATTAACAATTGACCTTTTTTGTTGAATTTTGGATTTAGTTGGTATTTGGAGGTCATTTTTGTATTTTATAAGCGATTTTCGTAATAATTCATCTCGAATTAAAAATTATCATTTTTCGAAAAAAACTTTATAGAATATTTTAGTTGACAACAAATATCCATTGAACTACGATTTAAACAAAAGCTATCCTAGGATAATGGAGACGGGTACAGCCACTGTTATAGGTAATTTAATGTATATCTGTAAGCAACGATGAATCATTGCTAACGATAAAACGATTTTGAGCGGTTTTCAGTTGATTGGCCAAATATTATACCTATTTTCTCATTTATTATGAAAACTCCTTACAAAATGAAAAAATAGTGTCCCTAAATTACCTCCCCAGTCAAATTTTCTCTTAGAAAAAATATACCTATTATCATTGTAAATCGGAGCAAAATTTCTGGTAGAAAAGTAATCCACAGAAAAAAAGACCGTAATATTGTTTTAATAAGGCATTTTGTACATTCTCCCGTTTTTTCCATTTGTTGAGAAAATCAAAAAATGACCTTCCTTTAGTCCCCATTAGTATTAAAAGAATGTTTCTATTATAATTATATTATCTCATTATTTTTTTTAATGAAAATTAGTGATACTTAAATTAATTAATTATCTATATATATTAACCTGGGTCCTAGATCCTATATCACACAGTGACATAACCATATGTTATTTTATTAATTACTAGCTGTGCTAGCGTTGCCCGTGCCAATTTTTTTTTGTTATTTCTTTTTGGTTTTGATCGTGTCAGTATCAAATGAAAATTAATGGGTGGAAAATGTGTAGTCCTCCGACGGATTACAGTGTTCTGTTTTCATATTTTTTCATAATTTGCATATTAAAAATATTTTTTTATTTTTTTTTTTTTTGGGGGGGGGGAGGTGAATTTTAAAAGAAGTGAAGCCTAATCTAACCTATCGGGGAATGGAAGAGCGCGAGTACTGCATTACTCATCACTCACAGATGACACGGCGTTCATTTTGTATTTTTATTTGGGTATTTGCCAACAATTTATTGATATGTGTGTTAATATAAAACTAATAACTCGATTGTTAATCTATTTGTGTAAAAAAAAAAAGACATACTTCGCACGTTGGGTGGGTCACTGTTGTAGGCGAGAAGTTGGTAAGGTAGGATATAGAAGGGAACTTAATTTTTATCTGTATGCTATGATTGATCTTTGCTAACGAAAAACAATTCTGAGCGGAGGAGTATATTGTATCGGTTATACATATTTTTAAAGGCCGTAATATTGTAAAAATTTGACACTAAAATTCTTTTAAAAAAAAATTCTTCATTACTTAAATTTTTCTTTTTTGACCACAAAGTACGACTTATTTCTTCATTTTCTAAGCATTTTTGTTTAGTCTAACAATTTTATCCACAGAGTACTTATAGAATCAAAATTGCGTAATAAACTTGCAAAATTAAAATGTAGGAATGGGTCAAAGACTTGCAATTTATTACTCTTCCCTACTCCGGTCTAAACTTTAAACTCTTATAACACATAAACAGTAAATCTGATATTAGTGTTTTGCATATCAAAATTTCTAGAAAAATATTTTCTATTTAAATCTGTTTCCAAAAGGGGGATTTTTGTTTGAAAATCAAAAGTTTGTATTTATTTAAGGTACATACAATTTTTAAAATAAAGCTTAAACAATTCCATAATTATTAGAAAAAACAGAAATCGAATTCACTTAAAATCCTCTGAGATAATTGCTGATTCATGATAAAAAATCACTCTGTATAATGAAATAAAAAGAACGAGGGTGCAGCCACTTTTTTTTAAAGTTTTTTAAAGTTAGGAAGGTAGGATAATGACGGGAATTTAATGTATGTCTCTAAGCGGCGGTAAACCATTGTAACAAAAAAAAAAACCGTTCTTAACGGAATTCAGTTGATAGTGTTGCTTTGTCAAAAATATATATCATAATATTAATAATTTATTGTTGTAAATTGAGATTTTCATACAAAACCACCATCCTAATTTATATTTCCAGTGGCTTTTCCAAAAATTGTTTTTTATGACAGCCTTTTTCTAATAATTAAGAACACAAGAACAAAATCAGCCTAATCGGTCCATCTGTTTTCAAGTTATGGCGTCACCAAAAAACTATCGATTCATTTTTATATAATATATAGGTTATAGGTATTTATTCACATTTGTATTTATTTAGGCCCCTATGCAATAAATTTTAATTTCTATATTTGATAAAACATTTGTGTAATCTGATATATTTCTTTCTTGAATGATAATCTTGTTATGATATGATCTAATCTGAACCTATGGTTAAGTTATATTCTACAATTTTATTTTTAGATTTAATATTTTTTGTACATTTATTTTCGGATTTTGTTTAGGTCATCCTAAAAACGAATTCCACGAAAAGTTAATATTTTCCGAGTGTCTAGGTTATGTTAATCACAATATATCAACAAAATATTATTTATGTTATTTTATGTTTAATATTTTTTACATCACGGGTTTAAAATTAATAATTCTAAATGGTTGATTAAATTAAAATGTAATAAATGTAGGTAGTTACTTGTGTATAATAATTATTTATTATAGCTTAAAATAATTTCAAGAAAAACTAAAACCTGTGGCTTAATTATTATGAATACTTATTTTTAAAACTATCCAATTTTCGTTAATCAAAATTTTATCTAATAATATGATGAACTATAATTGATACAAAAACCAGATGTTTATTATTTGCAGTGGTGGATTTAGCGTCAGGCAAAGTTGCTTTGGGCGACAACTTTACGCCTTTTTTTTTTGAGAATACTAGTTTTTTTTTTTTTAGATTTTGTAAGGTAATTTTTAATTTTTACAATTGAACGAAACTATTTACCTATAATTTATAGTAATACATTTTCTTAATCCAAAAGCTATTTTAATTTTATGCATATTTATCAAGTGTTGGTTATTACACACTATGTGTACAAAAAAAAAAAACAACTTTTTAAAGAAAGATAAAATTGTATTAATTTTTTTTTTCGTAACTATGAAATAGAAAGCGGCCGAGTCTACTCCTTAATCTACCTTATTAGAGAATTAGGTATTATCCATGTATTTATTCAGATTTGATATTCGATTATTTTCAACACAACTTTCAAGGCGGATAGATTTAATATTCGGATATTATTGATGAGTAAACATTACATTTTATAAACAATATTTGTTTGATTAGAATATTTTATATAATGCATTTTTTTTTCAATAGTTATGTTAAATAAATACCTTAAAATTCGTTTTCTCATTGAAAAGTTTAATAGGGCGACAAAATAAAATTTTCCTAGGGGCGGCAATTGTTTAAATCCATCTCTGAATATTTGTTAGGTTTCACTTGTCTATAGAGTATGCATACTCATGTACCTATTCTATGCGCATTGCACATGTAGTTATTCCAGCAACTAACATCTGATGATGATGTGATTTATAATATTGTGTTAAATTAGAATTTGCTAATAAATATTACCCATTTACAAAATCATTATTTATTATCCTCGTTTGCAACTAATTCGTTCGGTTTAAGTAAAAGTAGTTTTAAAATTTAAATTATTGTGTTGAAACATACTAGAAAACAGCAATTTAAATTATTAAATAATGTATCTCCATGTCTCCAATGAAAATATTTTAAAGTATTTAAACTTAACCTACTCACTACTACAAGTCAATAATTTGTTGATTAAATACATGATTAATATAATGTTACAAATATAATATTAATATTATAATAATTGTTATTGCAGTATCAGAGAAATATCCACTGTTGTTTTTAATTATTCTGTACGTTCTGTGATTTATAACCACCACGTGTTTTTTGTCCAAAGTTTATGATTTTGTAGTCAACAGTATTATTTTGTTATTGGCTATTTCATATTCTGAGTGGGGAGTATAACAATATTTGTACGTCTAAATACGTCAATGGTTATGTTCTTGAAACATGAAATTTAAGAAAAATCTATAATTTCCTAATGTTAGATACATATATTACACTGTTACCCATCGGCTACCACTCTTCTATATTATTATTGTTTCCTATGAATTATTTACTATTTATTGGTATTAAATGAATTTTTAGCCTTGATAAATTAACAAATAAGCCATTGAATTTTTATGAAATATCACCAGGCGTCAAACATAAGGAAAACAAGGACATTTATTTTGAAATAATGCCTTAATATCTTTGTCATTTACACTTGTAGACTACTTTTTTTTCTTACTATTTGGCTATTGTGGTCATACTTTTATAGGAAAAATCTTTAAAATTGTTGTAGTTTTGATCTTGGGTTATTGATTGCCTTTAACAATAATAAAAAAATAATTGTCATAATGATTTCGTATTCATATAATCATAATATTCATTAAAACATTATAATATTTAGTTTAGTTTTATTTTGAAAATAAATTGTGCTTGTGCAATAAAAATAACTATACTGTTTTTTTTTGTTTTGACTAAAAAGTTTAGGTGTCAATGTGTCAAGGGCTAATTTTAAGTGTTCCACAGAAAAAATGTATGGCCTCAAGTGCGCTCTTCCTACCCCATAAAAAATGATTAGTGCTATCTCTATGAATGAGATAAGTGAGGAGATAAGTATACTGTCTCAGTAGGTAATTAATACTTTTAGGATTACCTAAAAGTATATATATAAACAATAATTTAAAGAAATCATAAATTTTAAGAGTTGTTAAACTAGATCTAGACCATTTAAGGAACGATAACACAAATCAAACATCAAAATTCTCAAAATATATTCATGTCTTACACAAACATATTAGTAGCATACTCTGACAGATTTTTTTTCAATATCATGGCATAATATGATTTCATCATGAAAAATTCAAAGTTAGAGATTATATCAGAGAAGAAAATAACATTTTATTTAAGATAAAATATAAGATTGTAGCTTTATTTTTAGAACTGTCTTGATTTTGATTGTTTTTTATTGTCTTAACTAACATACACTGGTATGTTTAACCTGTGTTTTATAAACCGAATAATTGTTTTTAATAAACCTTTATGTTCTTTTAAATTGTATTATACTGTTTGTCTTTATAATTACACGTTGAATGCATTTGCAAGTTATAATACATTAAAAATAGAAAACAAATTATAAATCTAGAAAAAAAAAAAAATTAAATAATGAATTAATAGTTATAATCTGTTAATTATTGTCCATATTTTTGTTCCAAACAACAGACCTTATCAAATATTTAAATGTGAAGCATTAAAAAATAAAAAATGTTATCTATATTTAATTCTGTATTTAATATTTTTAAAATAATGAGTGGCTGACTATCTTTTGCCTTCTTTCTCTCTCTGATCTCTCAATAATTTAATACACGAACATGCATTTTTTTTTTCTTTTAAAAATTTAAATTGTATCATTATTATTATGTATGTGTTATGTATATCTTGTAACAACTAGTTTATGTGAATGATATATGTTAAATTTTAACATAGAAAATTTATTAATGTTTGATAGTTGGAAAAGAATTGAGAAATTTGAATTAATATTTAAAGCTTAGAGTTTGTTTTTAAGATATTTTATCTTAAAAGGAAAGCTATATTATTTTTATAATGATGTTTTATTGTTTTTTTCAGAAAAAAAAACTGTGTTGTAAAAAAGCTTAAAAAGTTAAAATAAAAAAAGGTTTTCTTGGATAATTGAGATTGATGCAACCTCTGTTGTAGGTGGGAAGTTGAGAAGGTAGCATAGACAGGACTTTAATGTATACAATAAAAAATGATTCTGAGCAGAGTTTGGTTGATAGTGTTGCTTTATCAACAATATACATGTTATATTATACCTATACATTAAACATTTTCTTTAATAATATTTGTTTAATATTGTACCTATTTTCCTATTTTTCCTATGTTTCCTATTTATTGGGAAAATCAAAAATAACCCCCCTAAAATATCTCCCTAGTCAGATTTTCTTTTAGAAAAAGTACTATCGCTGTAAATTGGAGCAAAATTTATCACAGGAAAATAAGTATAATATTAAATAAATATTATTAAAGAAAATGTTTAATGCATATGTAATTATTTTACCAAAATATGACACATATATTGTTGACAAAGCAACACTATCAACCGAACTCTGCTTAGAATCCGTTAATAATGGTTAATTTTTGCTTGCAGATATACATTAAATTCCCGTCTAAATCCTACCTTCCCAATTTTCCACCTACAACAGTGACTGCATTCATCGCCATTATCCTAGGACAGCTTTTTAATATTCATATTATTATATGTTGGAAGAAATAGAACGAGGTTGCTTGTTTAACGGTTTTAAATCTAACATTGATTCTAGTTTCAAGATAATATTTGATTTTTCTACTTTTGTTAAAAACGTAGTATGATGGTCAAAATAACCATCGTCTTAGATGTTCTCTTTTCCACCTTTTGTGGCATTCAAAAACGCGAGCTCATAAAAAGTATTCTTCACTAAAAATTTCGGTCAACATCCAAATCGATTCCACGATAGTTTTTTTTTAATTTCATAAGAAATTTAATGTTAGCACCTTGTTCAATTTTTAAAAATAACATTTTCCCAGTAAAATAGTTGAACACACTAATAACAAGGCAAATAAATATAAGAAAAATAAATAAATTTCATAAATACTAATAATACTCTTAGGTAAGTGTTTCTTAATCACATTTTAATAATCAATTTATAGATAAAGTTCATAGATTAGCTTATATTTAGAAAGTTCCATTTCTGTACATATTTCTGTGCATTATAAGAATAATATAATATTACTGAGTTATTATTGTATTAGTATTTACTAATTGTAGGCATATAATTAACAATATAATTCACTATACCTACGTGTATATTTTTAAATGATATTATTAGACACCGTAAATATTATTTGTTTTAGGAATTAAATGTCCAGTTTGTTCAAAGTTTGTTTTGCCAGATGAGATAGAGGTACATCTCGTTATGTGCTTGACCAAACCTAGACTGATTTACAATGGTAAGTTAATTTGTTTAATGATCCATGTGGTTAATTCAAAATTAATGCACACGTCTTATTAAAAATACACTGTATGTTTTATTGATTGTAATATAACCTTACAATATAACCGTTATATTGTAATTAAATCTCAGTTTGTTAAAATTATTATACACAAATTTGTCTAATATTTTTGTGTTATTTTGTAGAAGACGTTCTAAACGACGATAAAGGTGAATGTGTCATATGTTTAGAAGAACTGACACAAGGTGATACTATAGCTAGGCTTCCTTGCCTTTGCATATACCATAAAACGTAAGTTAAATTTAAATATTAATTTTGTTATATTTTTAAGCTATATGCTATAGTGTTTTTAAATGGTGTTTTAATACCTAACTTTTACAAAATAATAAAAGTACAAAATACTACTCTTTTCAACTGCTCTAACTGTATAGTTTCACTGATTTACCATATCATCTCTAGTACTTTGTTTTTAGTTTTGCATAGTTAGCATAATATTGAAGGGTAAAATACGAGCATATATGTTTGTACAATAAATTAGTTCAGTTGGAAGTTAAGTCCTAACAATAATCGAGTCTTAATAATATGATTGCGTGTATAATTTTAATATTTTTTCTAAATTATTATCAATCCCCACATAACACTCATACATACCTTTATTTGTTACTGGCATTACCACCCTAGAAGTTTAAAGTTACTTATAATGTGTATTGGTTGTTGTAATTGGAATAAATTTTATTGTTGTTGAATTATGTTTAATTATATTAGTGACAAACACATGTCTTAAGTCTGTAAAATATAACTTTGAGATCTTTGTGTATATCAGTCCAATGACTCAATCCTAAAGGCCAGTTAGTGTAGTTGAAAAGCCACTCAACTACTTTGACTAAATGGGTAGGACTAAGTATAAATATTTATAGCGCTATATGTACCATCTAGGAAACTAAGGAGGTGAGTTGTACATTTTAATTCTATTGTTGGATATTTCTTGTATTGACCAAACTTTTTAAACATTATTTTTATTTGTTTCTAATAAATATTGAGGTATGCTGAGATAAGAATTTGTATTAGATTCTAAGTAGAGCTAAAAAGCTTATAATTTTACAAATATGTTTTTTTTTTTTTGTGACAACTTTTCTACCTTGTACTCTTGTACACTGTCCATCCATTTGACGTGTTTCCTTTTATAAAGCACCTAATAATTGATTATTTGATCTCATTTCTACTATTCAGAATTATGTATTCTCAGGGCCTTGTATTTTCCTCTCAAATCTTTGGAGCTTTCCTTTGTCACTCTTCGTAATGGCTCACGTGACACAGGCATATGTAAGGACTGGTTACACGTAGCTAATATATAGTTGTTCTCCTGTGTTTTTTGATATAAGTTTTGACCTAAAAAGATTTGATAAAGCATAGTAACACCTTTTTCGTTGTGGATGTCTTGTATTTATTTCACCTTACAGAGAATTTCACCTATCTAAATTGAAATCATTCCTAGATATTTAAACTCTTGTGTATGTTCTATTCTATTGTTTTTTATACATGGTAAATTTTCCTATTTTCTTATCATCATGTATTTTGATTTTCCCAAGTTAACTGTTAAACCAATACTTTCTCTTGGTTTCATCATTTCCATCATGTTCTTTTTCACTTAATTTTGTTTTTTCCCTGTAATCACAATATTATCAGCATATGCAAGTATTATATTTTCATTTCTTAATATCATTGATTCTGTTAGTGGAACTTTCTGTACACACTAATGCGAGGTTGAATAGTACCGGTGACATTGTGGTGATCTTATTGTATTCTGTTTGTAATCGTAAAGGCAGGTGACAAAACATTCTTAAATTTGACACTGCTATTGGTTTTTGTGTTGCATATATTTATCAATGTGATAATCGTTAGATTACAAGTCAATGTTGATGTAATTAAAATTTGAAACTTAACTTGGTACATCGTGATTAAACTTTTAATTTAATGAAATATGAAAAAGTAAATGTAGTACACATTTTATGTAATTTAAAGTATGTGAATCTGATATCTGAATTTTGAAATTTTAGTTTATTTGTCTAGGGTGTCTGGTATTTTTCAACTTAATCATTTATTTTTAATGTAAAAAGTTATTTAATTGACCTTGATAAATAGTTAGTATTTTTATGTAGAAATACTAAGAAATGAAAAGAATGATTAAAAAAAAAAAAACGAGAAATAGAAAAAAAAATGTTTGTTTTAATAATTAAATAGATTATTAAATGGTTACAATCCAACACAGCATGCAGACAACGATTAAACATAACATTAGTGATAATAATAATTAACAGTACACATAATAATAATAATAATAATACGAGAATTGATAAAATAGAGCAAAACAAAATTATTATTACTATTATAAAATACGTCTCATGAATTATTCAATATGTTATGACGTTACTGCAGGTAAAATGTACATTTTCTTTAAAACATGAAACACAGTAGCAAGGTGATTGCTTATATTTTATTGTATAGTTTTTCGAATATTGTTATTTTTTTTATTCAATATTCTTTTTAATATTATTACAATTATTGTTCTTTTCAATATCTAATATATTTCATCAATTTAAGAACAATCATTTATTTATGTTTTAAAACAAACTTATTTTATAAAATCATATTCACTAATATTAAATATCTACTTCAATAACAGTTAATATTGTAAACACTTGTATTGTCAAATATTTTTATTGGGTTTATCGAGCACTAATACTTGACATAGTACAAAATTAAATATGTTATTTAATTTCCATTGCCGTAAGAATTCTAGGTAAATTTTATTAAATACATTACTGTGGAAAAAAATACAAAGTCTGTCCTATAGTAAATAATTATAGAATTTAAATTATACATACATAATTATTGTAGTATTACTATATCAATATATTAATGTCCATTTATGCTAAGTCTACATAGACCTAACCTAACCTACATTGTAGACGGACAAAAAACGATCAACAAATTACACCATACCAAGGTCATCAACACTAAATACAATAAATTTCATTCGAATCTGATAATTTATACTTATATGTGGTAATGTAATTTGTCTTATTTCACTTTACATTACAATGTATGCCTCGATGTACGCATTTGGTTGTATATATTTGTTTGTTTATCTAATTTCTCAAAACATTTCTGTTAAAGTATTTATATAATATTTGGCTCTATATTGATATATAGATAACAGCAAATAGGCACTTAATATCTGTGTTTATATTATTGTTAAGTTAACATAAATGTATTTAAAAAGGTTTCCTGAATGCTTAGTTTCTGAGCGTAAAGATGATTATTGATTTTATGATATGTGTGTGTGGGTTTTTTTTTCTCTATTAACAACTTTTACTAGAAATTGATGATCAACTCCAGCTTCTGGTAGTAATTTTTGTCTTGTTAGTGCATAGAGAAAGCAATTTTTTGATTTACCTTGTAAACCTTTTCTTAAAAATTTAGAAAATTTATACAACAATGGGTTGTCCTGTTATTTTGTATTTAAATTCAGTTGAAAATAATTTGAAACCTGAATTATCACTGAAAACTTGTATCATTCCTTTCTAAGCTTCTTAACATATTCAAAATGTTCTGGTAATATTTAAGCTATTTATAGCCATTTGAAATTGGGGATTTTGTTTAATTTTTATTGAGTTTTATGCAGATAAGATTATTTTGGGTTTTCTAAAATTATTGAAAATTTTACATGAGCTTCATTATAAGTCGTACATAGTGATAAACAAAAATGAGTATAATGAATTGTAATTTTAATTTTTTTTTTATAAGAGTTTAAAGAATGTATAGATTACAAATGTTTTAATATTTTATTAATTATTTTATAGTATAAGATTTAAAAGTTAAATGTTGAGTTGATTATATTATTAATATTAGATACATTTGTTTTTTAAGAGAAAACTTCTTTTGTACCTTTGTACTTCCTTAAATTGTGTATTGAAAAAAAGGAATTATAATTATAATAATTATTGTTATAATTGATTTAAAAATATTTAAAATAGATTCTTATATTGAGTAGAATAAATAATTTTTTCATAGTATAACGGAAAATATAATATTATAATTTATAGCTTATGTTATGCGAGAAATTAATATTTAGATTACAATTTAGTGTTACATATAATTTAATTTAGGGGTCGATACATGATTCTAGACCTGTATCGTTTTTTTTTGAAAACCATTAATTTCGGAGAAAAATTTATATTATGAAAAAAGTATTAATATTCATTGAGTTTTCTATCAATATATCGGTTAATTTCAATGTTAACTCATGTTTTTCTATTTTGGATATCTGGTATTGGTTTTATATCAGAATACCGGATATCGATAAAAAGTGGTATTGGCCTATCCTTACAATTTATGATAAAATGAATCAGTAGATGCCCACTACATGGTACATTTTGTTAATATTATTACAAAATATGTGTATTCGTAAGCGTACACTAATCTCATAAATTGTTAATATTAAAAATGACGGCATTTGATAGATATCACAAGTCAAATAATAAACGTTAGTTTAAAAATTTATCATTGTCAATGTCTGCTAAAAATGATACACAAATTTTGTATAACACAACAACACATTATGTAAACGAATTTTCATTTATGATTTTATATATGTTTATACGTTGTCTATAACACAAATCATACATACATAACAATAATGCGTACCTATTCGATTGGTTTGATAAGTATATTGTCCGTATACAGTGAATTACATAAAAAGATTGTTGACCTAGGAAGTGCTTGGGTCGTTGTGTGAACTTAACCGCATTGTGATTTTAAGGGGGGAGATAGTTTGAACGTACGTCCATACAAGTATTATGCGTCTATTGCGGAGTTTCAAGGTTTTTTTTTTTTAATTTCAATTTTTTCACACGGCTTATATATTACGTTCGGTGTCCCCGGTATAATTTGTTTATAGATCGATTTTATTGATTTTATGACACGTAAATAATTTTCGGTAAAAATTATCGCTCTTAAATTCTTTATTTCGAGCATATACCTGATAATGAGATTATGACACTACCATTTTTAATATATATTATGTATTAGTCGATATTGAAGTAATAAAGATATATATTATGGTTAATTATTCATATAAAATACCAATTATTGCATTAAAAAAAAAAAAAAATATGTCATACTAATTGTACAAAGTGATCTATTTATAAGTGGCTACATTCGATATTTAGAAGTTTTAAATTTTTCAAAGAAAAAAAATATTACATTCATTTTATTTTTTATTGTTTTATATAGATGGAGTATTAGTTAAAATTAATTTTAGTGTTAAAATTCCGTCGATCCGTTTACGAGATATTCCACTTTTAAATTTGGGTTGGAGGAGAGTAGTGGTGTAACATTTATGAGGCGGTACGACGCCCGACGTGTTAATAATGCACCACTTCTCTTTTCCAAACTAAAATCCAATTTGAACAGATAACTCATATTTGCTTTTTCTAGACGTGGTAAAATTTTCAAATGCCCTACTTTGTGATCAAAAAAAAAAAAAAATGAATAATGTTGTAATTTTTTTCATAAAAATTCTAGTATCAATTTTTGACGAAAATCATAAATATTTGATAATAATTGATTTTTCACGATTCGATAAGTTAACCATGGTCATCAATTGCGACATTTCGGTAGTGAATTTCCAAATTAAATAGGTATCTGTAAACGATTAGGCTATTGTTATTTAGGCTTTATTATTCGGAACGTTTTAATCATAATTAAAAAGAGTACAACTTGTGTATATTAAAACCGATCAGTATTTTTTAAAAAATTTTTTTACACAAAAATGATTACATATATTATATAATATTTTACGAAGATATAATTATAAAAATACAATTGAATAATGATTATCAATTGTTATGATTACAGTAATTTTATCTGTTTCCAATTTTTTTTTTTTTAAATTTCTTATTATTATCCCGCAGTCGTTTAAAAATGTGTCGTCCATAATTTAAAGTGGAGGTGTTCTACAATCTGAATATTTTTGGCTAGAACCTCTATAATTCGAATTTATGTTATACCTCATATTCGTATTTAGTGAAAATAATACATATCATTTTTTTTTCTGTTTTAGCTATAGGCTTTTTAGACCAAACTGACAAACATATTTCTCTCCATATTTGTTCTATCTCTTGTGAAAGCTTATTAATCTGTATCTGGTTCCATCATCTTCCTAGCTCAGCCTGGAGCATCCTAATAATGGTCTTTTTCCTGTTAGGCTATTGTGTAGTACCAGATGGATAAAATACTCTTATTTGCACCAGGCATGCCCAGCCCACTTAAATATAATTTTAAAATTGAAAAATAATGACTGCAATGGTACAATAATAGTCTATTAGTAGGTAATTATTAATTAACAGTTGTATTAATTGAATTGTGTCTTGCAAAGTAAATTAAATTATAAATATGTAATCAAATTGTTCAACTCTTTAATTCGAATTATTACTCCTTTTTTTCATTGATAATTGAAACTCTTTCTAATTCGAAACATCTATAAATTGAATTTACAGCTCGATTCGAGAGTCTGCTTTAGTTATTTCTATAGTCTGAGAATTATTCGATTAAATTGTTTGTTGTGGGGAGGGGAACGGTTTTTTCCCTTACCTAATTTATTTGTGTAACAAAATTAATCAGTAGGTACGTTCAGTTTTAACGACAAATGTGAAACTCTAATGTTTAGCATGGCACGAACGATAGTAATCATTTACGTAGATTAACCTCTAAACATATAATAATAATAGAATATTAATGAAATTTTATGTGCTTTTATTGTTTTGTAGATGTATAGACCGGTGGTTTGAGGTGAACAGATCATGCCCTGAACATCCTGGAGATTAAGCCGTGTATTGTACCAGTGTTGAACAAAACTAATAATGGGAAATATTTTATTGATGTAATCAAATCCTATATTTCACCGTTATATTATATTATATATTATTATATGTGTATAATTATATATATATATATATATATATATACATTTTTTTTATTATTATTATTATTTTTTTTTTTTAAATGACTACTGTGAAAAGTTTGACATCAATCCCAACAAACTACGCTATAATACCAATATTAATAATACATTAAAAAAAAAAAAAATGTCAAAATTAGATCTTTACCGCTTTTGATATTTTGCAATCTGGTTGTGATTTGGCTGATAATTTGAATAGTATGTTTATTGTCGGTTTTTGCTCGATTTTATATTTTTATTTACTAATATTACATATGACATGAAAATATAAAAAACAGTCAACAATATTTTATTTAGAATTAAAATATATTCTTTTTTCATTTTTGTTATTAAATTGTAAACTATCATTCAAAATTTATAAATAATTATAACAATATAAAATTGAGCAATATTCTGTTGAATTTAAAAAGTAAACTGACTTTATTAAGTAATTAATTAGTAATTATAGTTGACGTTACATAAAATAAACAACTGTACATATCATTTTTTTTCTTTATTGGTAAATTAACATTAGTGTTGAAGTAAAAATACTATGAATGTTTTCCTACCTTCTATCTTAACTTTTTTTTTATATATATATATATATAGAATTTTCAGTTAAAATTAATGTTTTGTACATGCAACTAATAATAATAAATATAAAAAAGTGTTGTATATTTTATAAACCTTCTGAACGCATCAGCGGCTATATTATAGGTATGCTATTCCAGAATATTTTAAGATTATGTTTTATATTACTTCTGATTTCGTATGTTTGATAAAATATCTATCATTATTATTATTTTAATTTTACCCAATTTATAATAACAATATTGAAATAGACTTAAGTGTTTTGTCGTTATTTTTAATCCTCATACGGTGCATTGTAACTTTGTTTTTGTTTTGTGTGTTTTTTTTTTTTAAATTTTATAACCGTTTATGGGTAGTTAATGTAATGTAGTTTGGGATTCTCTTTGTATTACATATTCCAATTTATATTAAATGTAAAATCATTTTCAAACCGAAAATGTAATATCAATCCTAGTTTCAACCAATTAAATAATTATATTCAAGTGTTTAAAAATAAATAAATAAAAACTCGGAAACGCAACAAGAAGACTTAATTTATTGATGTGTCACATTAGCCCCTAATACATATTTCCATTTCGATTAAGTGTACTATAATATTAAACAGTGTACACATTCGGGTACAATATCTTGTAATCGTATAGTGTTCCGTAAACTGCTATTGTGCTATTATATAATAATATAATTAAGTATTAAATAGGTACCTACAATGAGCCTGCTTTAACTCTATGCATTTTTAAAGTTATACGTTTTTTTCTTGAAAATTAAATAATAGGAAAAAAAAATTAATATTAACTGTTATGTTGAACAAAGAAATTAAAAAAAAAACAAAAATGTATTATTCTTACCGAAAACCACTGTTTTATGTGTGTGTGTGTCATGTGATTGTTATATACACGTGTACATTTTTGAGAGTAAAGAGTTGTAACTATTACAATATTGTTTTAACCGATAAAATTTAGTTCAATAAAATTATTATATGTTTATAATTTTTAATGTGTAATAATATAATTTTGTATTATGTATACTGACGAAGAAAATACATGTTTCTGATTTCTTTATATCGGCAGTAACATAATATTATTTTTAAACTACATGTAAAAACTCATTTAAATTTATTTTATTTTGATATAATATCTAAACATTTATATAAAATTATTGAAAAGACCATACATAAATACAAAATTGTGTTAAGCCTCATGTTATTACCTTATTTTTAACCTATTTATTTATTTTTTTTCATAGGTTATGAAATTTGAATCAAGTACCTGGTGTTAAAAATATTAAAATACATAGTCTAAATTAAAATTACTTTGGAAATATTAGAATTAAAAGATACCTACATGAGTGGCATAGTTATGAAAGGGGGGAAATGGGTATAGACCCTTCCCAAAATTATTTTACCGTTCTAAGTATAAACTTACTTTAGAAGAAAAAAGTTAAACCTTGTGTTCGATTATCCACCCACTTCCCGTGATCCAATCAATTTGAAATTGTATATGCATCTATATTTTTGATGACTAATCAAAAATAAGATTTTCCGTTTTCAAAAGGTATAGAAAATAGAAGGTGAACACACCCTCTATAGCTATTTGAAATTATGTTGAAATATCGAAAAATGACTCGTACAACAATGTTCGTATGTTTCGCTATAAATAATCTGTGGTCAGATTTTTCATTTTCCCTGAGGGGTGGATAAATTGTTTTTCTTAAGATAAAAAATAATGCTTTAAAACGAACTAAAAGGTAAATAGTAATGAAAAATATTACTAAAAATAATTTTTCGCTCAAGTATCTACCATGATAACATCGAAATTGAATAAGAGAAGGTATAGTAAATGATAACATGCATACATTTACGCGTGGAGTACTTATAAATAAAAAAAAACGAAAGAATACCTAAACGATATTGCCACCATATGCAATGGAGCCCTTGTCACAAATTATATGAAAGGCCTGTATTATTTAGGTACTTTTAAGTAGTTTTAGCTTGTGCTTTTAAACCATGGTTTTTAAATTTAATTTGTTAATGTACCCAAGTACACTTTAGTATATCCGTTTGTAATCAACAATCGATTCTAAGCGGTCTATTCTATTCTTATTAGTCGTGTTTTTCCCTTGTTAATTTGTAATTCAGAAGTCAACAAAAATAATAAGCCTATGTATCGATATTATTCGTCAATTTTGAAATATTAGGTTTAGAAAAACTAGGTAATCTAGGAATTGTTTCAAATTAAGTACTATCAGGTTAAAAATATTTTAATGTTTTAAAGTAGGTAGGTATGATGCAAATAATATTTAAAGCATTATTTTTACCTAAAAAGTATTTCCAGAGAAAAAAAACCAACAAAAGGACCTAGTAAACTGTTCAAAATTTAAAAAAGTGTTATGAAATATACTATCGGATAAAAATTTCATATATTAAAATATAAATCTTAAAAAAAGGTACATATTCCACGAAATAATTGGATAATTTTACTTACAAAAAACATTTTTTTCTTGTAAAAAAATGCAAATTGGTAAAAAGTCTGCACGATTTTACAACTGGTATATCTTCGTGGGACCACTCTATAACTAAAATATTGTACATAGTGTATATGACTAAAGTCAGTTTATCAGTTAACACAGATTTATTTATTGAACTTGACAATAGAAATACAGATTAAAATTAAAATTCGAAATGTTTAAATTATCTGTAGAAAAATGACTTCTTCTTTGGAACTAAAAATATAGTTTAAAATAGTAAAGCGCCAGTAAAGTAATCGGTATTGGTGTATGCCCAATGTGGAGATATGGAAAAAAAATGATCATTATAATATTTTCTTACTAAAAATGAATTGCCTAATACCTTGAATAAATTTAATTTAATTCGGTTTTAACTGTTATAACCTTCGTTTTTATTGAAAGTAGGATTTATAAACTTTCTATAGATTGAATTTTATATACCTATATATATTTAATCTCCGATTTTTTTTCACCATAATTGTATATTATCAAAAGTTTCTAATTGCCTTTATTCAGTACCTAATTTGTAAAATGACCATTACAATTAAATATTTAAACATTATTTCTCTGCAATTGTTCGAGCGTATTCAAGTTATAATCGACTTATCATCATTATGGGTAAATGTTATCGCGCATACAATTAATGTTAAATAAGTGGGTAACAACTGCTTTTTTTAATAAATGGTTCATTTAGCGGGCGTAATTGTTAATTAAGTATCTACCGAATAGTTTTATTGTGTATTTTCTTTAATTTTGAACAAGTCTGTAAAATGTACAGTTCTTATTATGCAGATGATGATAAAAAACGCATTCTAAACCTTAGGTATTATTTTTAATTTACTAATAATTACTTAATTTTAACATAAATAAAATACCAGCAAAATTGAATACATGAAAGTTCTTATATTAATATTCTTACATTTCTTATTAAAAATTATTTTTACATATTATATATAAATAGGAATAGGAATTTAATCAATTAATACAATTATCACAAGTTATTACTATAATTTGAACGGTCGTACAATAATCGTATACATTTACAAGAATAGATAATTTAAAACAATTGAAAGACAAATTGAACGGTAATATGCGATGACTCATCGGAACCCCGAACTGATAAAATGATAATACAATAGTTGACCGCAGCAAAATTAACGCAGGTATAAAAATGTATAACAATCTGGTGGATCAGTGGAGTATCCGGGATTTTTCAATGGAGGGGATCACGAGGTCTAAACAATGTATATGAAAATAAATAATATACAATAATGCGAGCAAAACTCAATACTATTATCTATATTTAAATATTATTCGAATTGCTGTTATTTTTTGCAAAGTTGCTTAATTGGGTGGTATAATTTTATTAATAATACTTAGTTGGGAAGTAGTACAAATTAATTATATAATGATTATTATTTTATCATGGTAATACCTACGTTTTCAATGAAGAATAGTTTATATTATTTTTTTGTAATTTAATGCGATGGGAGGCGAGGGTGTGAAACACTTGAATGTTTCATTTTTTTTTATTAGTTCTTTCGCCGAACCCACGGGAGAGCTGTCCGTGCTTTGCTTTCCCGTCCCTAAGTAGGTACTCAATTCGAGTATCCTCTCGAAAAACGATTAAAAAACATCATCGTCTCTTTCTTCTCCTGGTGCATAGTAATCGCTGTCGTCGTCTTCATCATCGCTGTAATGGTTGTCCGGTGATGACGTCAACATAATATTCGATACAGGGGTCAATGCGGTGTGGAAGTTACTTTGTGGTGGCTGTTGGTTTGTCTTATCACTCGCATCGCTTTTATTGCCAAAAAAACACGTCCTGGTGACAGCATCGTTATCGTTGCACACTCCTGTAGAAGGTGACGACGATGTACTTTCGATATTGGCCGGCTTATTGTCTTCATCGTCGTCCGTATCAACGTTCCAGAAATCGTCATTTTCCGAGTCTCGGTCGTCGTCCGATCCGACCGACCAAAAATCGTCGTTGTCGTTGTTGTCGAAATTGTTTACCAGTATGGTCGGTTTAAAGTAGTACGCGTTTTGTGTATCAGTACCCCTTCTTGGCATCCATAAGTTGTCGAACTCCAACACCGGGTAGTGATGCCGCTCGTGTTGTTCGTCGAACTGCACGTGCGTCCTTTGTCTGTACGGATGATAATTCGACATTAGTCCCAAAAGGTCGTAGTGTACCAAGCACGCCATCACGGCGAGCACTATCTGTAAAATAATATACGCATTATATTTTACGGATAAGCAAGATACTTTGTTATGAGTATCTAGATACTCGACGCTAAATGTTACTTAAGTAACAAGTATTCAGTATTATAATAAAACTAAAACGAAATACTAAACTGGGACAACTCAGCATGTGACTGCGACGAGAGTCAGCAAATGATCGATCACATTGTTATGGACTGCCCGAGATGGAAATTCTAAGGAATCATGAAAGAACTAACAAGCTTAACAGAAAACTGAAAAAGCAGTAGATTGGATAACCAAATTAGACATTAAATTGTAGTGACCTATCTTGTTTTATTATTATGTATGTTGACTTTAAAAAAAATATCTTGGTACTCAATAGTAGATAGTAGTTACATTAATTTCAGTATCATAATTCATAATACAAGATACTTGATATTTTCCTGTAGAACTGTATTGTGAAATAAGATACAAGAAACAAGATGTATTTAAGGTACTTTAGTATACTCAACTCTGCCATATTATTTTCATAATATAGTTAATTTTCTGTGCAACATTATTTTTGAAACTATTTGTGTTGGTTGGTCACTTAGATTAGATTCTTAAATAAATCTCCCATATTGTCAATGCACATTATTGCACAACCTAACTGTTTCTTCATCATCACTCTCAATCGTATTTCAAACCATTATTTTACGTTTTAACTTTTCCTTATACTCTTTTATCATTTCACTGTAGTTACACAGTATGAATCTAGGTAAAAATATCCGAGGAAAGTTTATATCAAAGTTTAAATGTATAGTCATTAATAATAATTAATAAATAAATAATCATGTTGTTATTCATATACATATCCATACATACAGGGTGATTCACTGAGCGTGCTCACCCCATTTGTTTGGTTTAGTTTTGCATATATTCAGATTCTGATGTTTGGAATTTTTAAGTGCAGTTAAAGCTGACATTTTTGAATACTTAGATTTTTCATAAAATTTAAGGAGTATTCTATAGTGTACCAACTTTGGTTTTTCAAATGAGAACCTATATTAAAAAGTCCATAAATAGACTGAGTATTATTTTAAGTACATTTTAGTGTTAACATTTTTGATTTTCGTCAACCCGTTAATGAGATATTCCGCTTTTTAGTTTTGATATTGGGAGAGTAGTGTTCCAGCATTAATAAATCGTCAAATGATATTCCATTACCTAAATATGTTAAATTTCAAAAAATTATTAAAAATGGAAAAAATCAAAGTGTTGCAATTAAAAATCATTGAAAAGTACATACATGTTAAAATTCATAAAAATAAATTATGATTACAACGCATTAACAAACTCAGTAGATTTTTCAGAAAGAAACAATTGTTAAGAAAAATCACCCGAAGTTAATCAGTGGCTATCAGAAGACCACTCAGACTGTATATCTATCACCCGGATTCAAGATCCGGTTGCGATCACCGTCGCTAACTGGCCAATAAAATGACAATCCAGCAACTTTCTCACGTTCAAGAAAATGGGAGAGTGGCTAGCATCATTTTGGCCAACGTCGACTCCAGATTTGCACCTGGAGGGGACGATGCATACTACAGAAATAGTCCTGTGAAGTATGTTCTTAACTTTTCAGTAGGTCGCCAACCAGTACTTATGCTAAACTATGGCAAACCAACTCGAGCAGGTTGTAAAAACGGTGTAACGATTTTTCATATTTGAACCGTCACATTCACGCGAGAATTGTCCGAACTTTTAATGGTACCGGCGTGTCACGGTTCCATCGGAAGACCTCGATATAAGTGTATTGACTGTACGGAAAAGTCCGTTTGGCGCAGTTGGTGGACACGTCTCGATGAACATACAACGACGGAGCCATATTGTGTCGTTTTCTCGCAGCATTGACGAGTCGTCGTGGTTTCATCACCACGGCACACGTTGGCCATTGGAAGCGCTGCACGGTTCTAATCGACCATATAGACCTTATAGACGGAACATCCATGTCTTTCCATGTAGGATGATGCAGTCAAGAGAAGTAGAGTTGAAGTGATGCCCATTCTTTGGAACAAAATTATTTTTTTAAATTTCCATAAAATAATTATCATTGTAATAATATTAGCGCGCAAAAAACAACTACTGAATACTCAGTGAATACTTAGTTATAGTTATACATTTAAGAATTTATTCAAATAGTCAAGTCTTAAACAGAATATTAAGGTAAATAAATATCAATAAGGGTCTAGGTATGAAATAATTAACATGGTACGACAGCAACAGAGTTCTACCCATGGTGTCTACGTCACCTATTATCACAATACGTTGTTATCCCTTATTATTTATTTTATCTAATTAGTAATTTTGCCTGGTTCAAGTGTTCAACAGTTGTAAGATTTGTGTGATTTTTATTTATATTTTTTAACTACTTTTGTTACCTATTGTAATTAAATATGAATGTACTTACCTAGTCTTGTTGAATGTTAAAAATGTAGATTTGCTCACTTTTAAGTCATAATATTATTATGTCTGATAATTATTTTCATTTGCATATCCTATGACAAATTATTAGAAATTATTTGAAAATTCAATTTAATCACAGTAAAAAATTATAAACATTTGAATATGCCATATATTTTCTAACTTTATTTATTTTTTGTTATATTTTTTGTCATTTCATGCTCAATTGCAAAAAATACTTTGTATACATATATACATACAATATGCATATATATCATGATATGAACATTGAAAAATGTATTCTAAGATCCGAAAATAGTCTCAATTTAATAAATTATAATATTGTCGTCTTTTTTCGATTTTAAATGTAATTTAAACAGGACCAAGTGACGTAATATATTATATGATAAAATATTGTTTATTTCATTAATACTCAATAGTATCTCATTTTCGTTGAAGTTCCTATCATACCATGTTAATTATATCATGGATCTAGAATATATTATTTTGTTTACATGTTCCACATAATATGTAATATTATTACACATTTACGAACCATTATGTACCTACAAATGTCTATTTTGTAGGTGTAAATATATTTATGTACATAATAATGTAAATATAAGTATTGTATTTAAATTAATATATTGAAGTACTTATTCAATTTAAATTTATTTCAAATAAGTAAATAACAATAATGATTACTAATTATAACTGATAAACAATAATGCACATATTAGTGTATCCGTAGGTTATCTTCTACTCTTCTATATAGGTATAAGAAAACGAATATTTGACTATATGTCTGTTTCATAGACATATTAATTTATTATTATTAATATGTCATTGGTATTGATGTATTACTATACTATTCATCTGATTACCATAAAACTTTTTGAATTTGTTTCTCGTTGTCTGGAGAAGGTTTGTATAGCTATTGAAATCCACCCTCTATCGAATACCATTTCCTAAAATTCCGTTTTAAATATTTTCAATATAAAAATCTAATTATTTTTGTCGATTTTATTTAATTTTTTATGTTTAAGTGGGTACACTCATTATCTCTAAAAATATTAATATTTTCCGAACTTTATTTTCTAGAACATTTAAGAAACAAGCTGTTTTATAATTTTATATTTATGTTATTTTTTGTCACTTTAATTTTTGGGGGTAAAACCACTACCTACTTTTTCAAATTTTCAAATAGCGACCTATATTAAAAATTCCATAAATAGATGGAGTATTAGTTAAAATACATTTTAGTGTTGAAGTTTTTGATTTCCGTCAATCCGTTGACGAGATATTCCACTTTTAAGTTTGGGTTGGAGGAGACAAGTAAAGTATCATTTGTGTGGCGGTATAGCGCACGGCGTGTTAATAACGCACCACTACTCTCCTCCAAACCAATTTTTTAATATAGATTCTTATTTGGAAAACCAAAGAAACCAAAGTTGTATGACTACAGGATATTCTTTAAATGTTTTGGAAAATCTAAGTATTCGAAAATATCAGCTTTAACTACATTTTCAAATTTCAAAAATCAGAATTTGAATATAGGCAAAATTTAACCAAAAAAATTAGGTGAGCACGCTTAGTAAATCACTCTGTATATATACCTATACCTATATATATATGGTTTTGAATTTTTGATATTTTGATATTTTTACTGACGAATGTGGTTTTAAATATTGTATTATAAACTAAATTGTAACTGAGTAGTCAAGAACTACTTTGAATGTATGTGGATAGGTATGTATAATGTATATGGATAACAACATGATTATTTATTAATTATAATATACATTTATACTTTGATATTTTTTCCGCCTGGATATTTTTATCAGTTACCGTACAGTATACTTAATACTTATACATTATAATATTACCTGATGTGCTACCTGAGGGCATGCTACCCGAGTATGCTGTCTCCGTGTTACAAACGTATACGATATATCATAAAAATAACATGTTAGCATTCAGCAGGGAAAACTATGCTGTTAGTTTTAGTATTAGAGTAAATTGACCTATTGTCGAACTTAAAGTAAGAACATTAGATATGTAGCAGTATAGGTGTTTTGTTTTTTGATATTTTAATTTTTAAACAATATATACGCATTCTCAAACTATGATAATTCACTAATGATTATTTACACATCTACTCATAAATCATAATTTCACTTAAAAGTTAAATTATCGGAACAAACTTCCATGGTTTCTCAAATCCAGCGTCGTGATCGAGGTGCAGTGCTAAGTAACAAAAAAAGCAGTATATTACACGAGACGGCCAACTTCTATTTAACCTGTGTAATTTTACGGCAAATGGTCCGGCCTCTCTTTAGCCAAAACTAACGGATTGATTGTTTTGAAATGTATACTGGCTGATCAGTATGTAATGTAGACGATAGTTTTGTAAACATCAAGTTGGTCGAATGATTACAGTCTGAGTAGTATGCAAAAGTATTAGCATAGTTTTTACTCGAAACGCTATTTTTTTCAATAATTCAATAATGTATATGTTGTACGCGTTGTTACCACCTGTTTGCGATGGTGGCCGTTTGCGGCAAATAAAAAACAATTGTGTTTATTTATTTTATCGTTGTATTACTATAACATCGTTTTCAGCAACATTCATGAGATATCACAACTTTTCTAACTTGTTTTTTGTTTTTTTAAATAGAGTTTTACACGAGGTTGACGGAGGATTTTTGTTGGGATTATATGTTTACCTTTTATTTTAAACTAATATTCCACTCTAATATTAACACTAACATCACAAAGTTGTCCCTGCTGAACACACATTTTTAATGTCATACGTTCGTAAGACGGTGACAGCGGCTATCTCACGTTCTCTTTTAATACTCATTAGAATAATATATAGCTAGGTAAGTAAACTAATACTGACCGGATAATATACTGGCTCAAAAGAGTTTAAGATTAATATTAAAAACATAATTTCTGTATCTAAAATGTCTACAATTTTTTCTCATATTTATCATTTGGTCTGTTCTAGTAAAATTGTCAAGTTTCACTTACGTTCACGGCTAAAGGTACGGTTTCTTAGGCGCGGCTGGCCGTCGTAGCCTGCCGCTCCTAATGGCCGCGGTGGCTAGTGGCTCGGGACTATCCGTTTTCCTAGACGTGAATGTAAATGAAATATTTGTAAGAAAAATCTATCACTATCAAAGCATTCTTTTTTTTCTGTATAACTGATTTTGTTTTCAAAAACAATAACTTAATTTTAAAATTACTAGAGGAAGAAGAAGAAATTGAAAATTTTCTCCTTTGCCCCCTAGGAAACCAATTAATGCTGATATCAGCCCCCCCCCAAAAAAACTACAGAAATCGTAGAGAACATTGTTTTGACGAATTTATTCGATTAGAAGTTTGTTTTGTTCATGTAAAAATGAAGTTATAATTTTTATATTTTCGGTTTTAGTCTTTAATTTAAGCATACTACTAACACATTGAATTAAATTAAATAATTCTTGATTGAAGCGCACACTAATACTTGAAATAATTTAAATAATTTAATTAAAAAGTGTACCGTTTACCACATTGAACATAATACGATTATTATAATTTTGAATATTCGAAAAAAAGGGGAAAAAAATGTTCCGGAAGAATAGCCAAGTACCCTGATTACTTCGTGTGCACGCTTATTTAACCGTTAAATATAAAGTGAGATGATAAAGATTTAATCGCACGGATAAACTGATTATTGATGGATTAGAGTAATTAATAGTAGTGTAGGTATAATAAAATATAAATGAATGGATTTTATCTTGTAAGTAATGCCATGAAACTATGTTTACAGCTATGGATTATTTTATACGATTTAAAAACAAGGAGTTTTTAAGTACAAATCAAATAATATTCGAAGTTATTATAAATGGGTTAATATTGTTAAAAACTTAGATTTACAAGATTGTAAAATTCTTTTGTCAACATTATTGTATAGAAAGACGCACCACGCACGTGATAACTCGAATTATATCAGACCTAATCACTAAATGAAATAAAAATAATACACTTGTTGAAATAATATGATAGATATCAGATGAATTGTGGATTTTTATAATATATTATGATGGTTTGTGCCCAAACATTTAGACGTACTAGAAATATTAATATTGGCACCCTAATGGATACCTACTTTTGCAGGTAATAATTGGATTTGGTGCTTAAACGGCTTGCGCTCAAGAATAAATAATAATTATTAATTCAAATATGAAAATAATTTTAAATCGTCACACATTAGATTTATTTGATCACATTATATTATAAGGTTATACCAAGCTTCCTATATAAGTAATATATTCCTGTAATAAATTTCCCCAATGTAAATTTAGTGTTTTCAAAATTTCTAGACGCCCGATATTTGTCGTAATTAAACGTTTCGTTGGGAAAAATGTGACCCGATAATCATATAATATGATGTCAACTAAGTCAACTTAAAAAATTAACATGACCGCATATTTTATTGTTCGTTTCAATAAACGCCTGTGTTAAAAAATGTTGTCATAAAATTTGACAAAATGTTTTTCGAAACTATATACATTTTATACAGTTATTATTATTGTGTTAAAATTGGACTTTAAAATTAGTAGGTATATCTGCAGAGACTAAAATTGTGTGTATAACGGTACATTTTGTGTAATACGAAATGTTAGATGTGCAGTACGTATCTAAAAAGTCTGTAGTGGCTATATTATGATAATTTTTTGTATTCGTCTTTAATTTTACATTTTTTTGCACTTTTAATAATAATTATTGGAAAAAAAATAATTCTAAAATGTATAATCTTTATTAAAATTTTAAATAACAACAAATTGACTCGTAAAACATTGACACTTATCAAATACTATTTCAAAGACGATGAAGGCGTAGAATAGATTAAAGGTAGGTCCCTATTTTTATTTATGAATGTTTAATTTTTAGGTATTAATTACTAATTACTAATTTAGTCTTATATGTTAATACACAGAGGAAAATGTAAATTGAGATTAATTTGAGACTAGTTATTATTTCGTTGATGTGCCATTCAAAAATATTTCCCTTCCCCTTCCATCAAAAATTAAAATGATTCCATTGCGGAAGGAGGGAGTGATTATACCTATGATACAGTGTGGTTTGATATAAAATGTGCAGTACGAAAAATTATATATTTTAGCTTCTGAGGTATACTATACTGCATCAGTAGTAGTTTTAAATATTAATAATACAATAAGGCGAGACTCTTCAAAATATAAATTAAAAAACGTACAACTTACCGTCATCGCTGCAAAAGATATCATGTTTGAGTATTTTGTACAAACACTACTGCTATAATACATTGCGTCTATAAAAATCTCGAATAAAATAAATTTATTTCTTTGGTTTTAATTTTTTTTTTCTCGAGATTTTATTTCTTTTGTTTGTTTAGTTGTTTTGGGTTTGTATACAGGTATATTGGAGTATTATTTGTCGTCGTATTCCTAAACGGGCTACACGGATATTATGTTTTATGTATAACACACATTGCACTTGTATTTATTCTAAATATTCTGCAATAATCTTCGACTTTCGTTTAAACACAGACGATTGCAAAATTTTTGAAAAATATCAATAGGTACTACAATGCACTTTGTCTATACATACATTTTTTTTTTGTCCATGGAGCACTTTTATTTACAATAAACATAAAAAATATATATATATATATTTTTTTAAATCCTAATTAGATAAAAGTCATTTTTTATATTGCTGCCGGTAACATCACACACACATAGTTATAATTAATTTTTTTATTATGTTTTATAAATAAATCAAAACATTGTAACCTGTAGGTAACATAATGTATTGTAGGGTTCAAAAGTTTTTTTTTGTTAGTTTTAAATGTAACTGAACTATAGAAATTATTTGCAAATCAAATTGACCGTGAAACCAAATTATATTTCTGTCTCATCATATTATTACAAAAATATTTTCTTTTTACATAGAAATGATTAAGTTTGTAGTTTTAGATTCTAAGCACAGTCTACTAAAAGGACAAAAAAAAAGAGCTGATAATGGGGATGGTTACATTTATTTTCCTATAGCGATTCAAAGCCGTTTCGATTTAATTCCATAATATAGTGCGATATATTAAAACATACCATATTAAAGTGTTTGAGAAGCCCGAGAAGTTTTAAGAATTTTTTGTCTTCGATTAAACCAAGTATGAGAACAGAAACAAAATTTAAATACATTTTTGTTAAATATTCCGTTTAGTGGTTCACTCTTATAGATGATCGGAATTTGTAAAAAACTCACACCCGAGGAAACACGTTTTTCATTTAGAATATAAATTATATTATATTATAATGCAATTTAAATGATTTGCGAATTTCTTTTCTTGACACGCGTACCTATTCGTATTCACTTGGATGCACATTAAAAAAGCGTATAAGAGATATGTGTATGTCAAAAAATGTCGGAACAAACAATTACTTTTATAATTTTTAAAACCAGAAATGGTTCTTTACTACCATTTATAATTCAATATTTAAAAAGATAAATGTATTACAAAATCAAATGTTGGACAAATAATGTATTATAGATACGTGCCACTTTTGAAAAGTTAACCTTTATATTTTTCATTTTAAAATAATAATAAACTATTGTGTTTTAGAAACTATGTAAAAGTTTTAATCAAAATAAAATTTGATATGGGTTATAACTTATAACTTATAAGTATTGACAAAAACATTTAGATACAGTTAAGAGGTAGAAATCCACAGGGGTATGAAAACCTTCCAAATTTATGTTTAACTAACAATTTCTGTTTGAAATATTGCCATCGTTGTTTTAAACCTTTTTTTGACTTGAAGTTTAAAGGCAAAAAATGAAATAAAAGGTTTTACCATTTTCAGAGTCTTGCTCAGATGTATATGCGCAGCATCATTTCTGAAAGGGAATGTTGTCCATATGGTACTTTTGAGGTTATTGTTTGATTTTCCAAGCGGTTTTCATAATATCTAAAAAACATCCCAGGATAAAACGTAAGAAAAACGGGAAATGTACGAAAATAATGCTTTTATTATTTTAAATTCTGAGTGGAGTGAAGAAACTTATGGTTTTACAAAGATGTTTCTTTTTTTTGTTTATCTGTAAACAACTTTTCTACCAGAAGACTTGCTCGGATTTCTAAGTGGAGCACTTTTTCTGAAAGGAAATCGGTGTGGGAAGGTACTTTAAGGAAGTCATTTTTCGATTTTCTCAGAAGTTTTCTGATTAAATTTGAAAACCAAAAAAAAAAAATGGAAAATGTAAGAAATACACTATTCAAATATTACTATTTTTTTTTTATGTGAACACTTTTTATACCAGAAAATACTCCGATTATCAAGTATTATCAAGCACTTTTTCTGAAAGGAAATTTTCTCTCGATGGTACTTTAGAGAGGCCATTTTTTGAAATTCTCATTAATATTAGAGATAATGAGGAAAATCTCGGTTTTAAGGTTAATAAAGATTGAAAGATTAAAAATAAGGTTGTTATTGGTAACCATTTTTATTTATTTTTTATTATTATTATGTTTGTATTAGTTTAATATTTACCAAATAATCACTGTTGTCATAGAAACGCACATTTTTTTAATGATTTTACCATAATATGATACAATACCATATATTGTATTGTTGACAAAGCAACATTATCAACTGAACTCGGCACAGAATCGGTTTTTTGTTAGCAATGGTTTATCGTTGATTACAAATATACATTAAATTCCCGTCTGTAGTCTACCTTCCCAACTTCCCACCTACAACAGTGAATGCACCCATTTACAAAATATGACCGTCCTTTTTTTTTATTCAGATATTTATTTACTACATTTAAATGTTGTAATTTCTATACTATGTTGTAGCCCAATGGTTATGTATACCTAGTTTCATCCTAGGATTTCCGTTTTTCGAAAAAAATTGTTTATACTTATTTTTCCTTTTACCTAAATCTATAACATAAAAAAATATGGATCAGCATAACACCTATAGTAATAATAGAACCTGTAATTACATAATATGTAGGTATTTATTTTAAACAATGATGCACACAGAAATCTAGAACAAATGATATTTTCTTTGTTTAAATACAAAAATATTTAATCATAAATTCATAATAACAACACGTAGTATAGTTATTAATTACTATATACCTTTACACATTAGTCAATAATTATTATCTATATGAAATATACACGTAAGAAATTTCCATGTTCACAATATTTATGCAGGTCTTTGTGTCTTTAAATAAATTGTTGATAACTATCAGTGACGTACCTGTAAAACATGTTTAGAGAGGTGCATATAAATTGAATAATTTGTTATAGTTACATTATCTATAATTATAAATAGTTAATTAAAAATAAAAAATAAATTATAAAACAAAATTTTAATTTCGTTTTTTACGTAAGTATTTTGTGATGAAATCACGTGATAGTGACCACATGTGAGTATGTGACCATGATTCCCAACCCCAATTTGGTAAAAGTTTGACATTTATATTAAATTAATAGATGGTATTAAAAATATAACAGATAACCCGATTATAATTAGAGAAAAATTAATTATTATATTATATATTATTTAAGTTAGGAAAAAATATGAATTATGCCAAAAAAAAACTTTATCAGGGGTACAATTGCCCTTTTTGTCCCCCTCTTAACGTACACTCCTAATTACAATTTGTTTACATTTACAATCAACAAGTCTTAAACAATTAAAACAAATAGTTCAATCAGTTGTCGTTTTTAAATTGATGGACGAGAGATATGCGTACAGCTTGTTTTTTATGCTTAAAACACACTTTTTAAGAAAATTTCCGATTCAATAACAGAGAGATTATTTTCTTTTCATTTTATTCATTTTCATATTGGACTTCGATTTTTAATTATAAAAACCGAAACCACAAACAAATTGATTTTAAAAAATAGCGAAAATTTGTTATCATATTATAATTTTCAAAATCTATATTCAATTTATCATGTATAAAAAGTTTTCTTAAAAAATGAAGGAGCTGATAATGGTGATGGGCAGTGCTGAAATTATGAACTCTGAGGCTCGTATGCAAGGATTTATTTTGAGACCCTAAATTATATTATATATTTTACTTGACCTTTGTATGACTACAGCAATTAATATGTATTTTTTAGGATTTTAACTTAAAAAGAATCATTCACTAATGATTCTTTTAAGTTATCTTTTTAAGTGATCTGATACACATATAATAATAATTAGAAAAGAAGCTTACCTTATAAATTGTCTAGTATTATATTCTTAAAATGAAGCTTCATAACCAAAACTAATGTTTATAATGGAATCACTAATTTCAATATATGCATTAAAAAATTGTTGAAATTCTTGAGATTTCAACCATTATAAAATTATTATAAAATACGATGAATCGTTAAGTTTTTTAAAACACATGAAGCAGTAAAAAAACATAATAATCAAGCAATTTGATAATATACCTTAAATTACCTTAAAAAGGTTTTTTTTCTGACTTATGCGTTGGCAAAGCCTGTTATTATTTTATCAATATTGAGTTCGGTTGTCCGTTTGCTTTCTATATTCAGAATACTTATATTTTTCATTCAATCTTGACAAGAAGACTTACGAAGATAATTCTTTATTAATTTAAAATTTGAAAAGCTACGTTTTGCGGACGCAATAGTGATTGGAAGTTTTAAAATAGAAAAAGAAAATATTATAAAAGACATGCTGATAATAAATCTGGGTAACTTAAAGGCAAATTCATTTCAATAATAAATATGCATAGATTTTTAATATTTTTTAGATTCTGAGATGAGATAATTGTTTTAGGCATACAATTTTCCGTTTGAAATCTGGAGTAATTTCATCTTTATAGAATTTAATGAAATCGTAAGGAAATTTAATTAGATGAAACTCTTCATAGTTCAAAATTGATTTAGGGTTTAGGAATGTGAAGCTATCTGTAATATTTTAGATATAGTATTCAGATATCAAATATAATATTTATCGTATCTGTGCCCGTTTATTCTAGAACTAACTATTAATAGACAAGTGGGTAGGTACTTCATACTACTAATATTAAATTATCATCTACTTAATACTTATGCATATAATAATTTTAATTGAAAAACAAATACATAAAATCGAAAAATATTCGTGGCATGAGCTACGAAGAAGTCAAAAATATTTGAAACAGATAATTTTCAATTTTAATTTTTGGTTTTGAAGGCTCTTTAGGACTGGAGGCCCGTGTGCACACCTTGCACACCCAATTGTTGCGGCACTGGTGATAGGTGAGCCACTGTTGTAGGCGGAAACTTAGAAAAAGTTTGATACATAATGTTATTTAATTTATATCTGTAAGTAACGATAAATCATTGC